AAAATTCCAAGAAAACCGCTTACCTGTTCAACTTGAAATTTTTACACATGCAATAGCAGACTAGTGCCAAGATCTGATTAGGTTTAGGGCATGCTGGGTAAACTACGTGGTGGCCATTTTGAATTTTTCAACAAATCTTGTCATCAAAATTCCAGGAAAACCACTTATCCGTTCAACTTGAAATTTTTACAGATGCAAGAGCAGACTATTGCCAAGATCTGATTAGGTTTTGGGTATGCTGGCTGAATTACATAGTGGCCATTTTGAATTTTTCAATTTGGCGGCCATTTTTATTAATTTTTCAACTTGCTCCAAATTGACCAAATTTTTTTTTTAAAAACATCTACAAGTTCTCAGAAGTTCAAATCTGACCTTAGATTTCAGATTTGACCTTTCATTCACCTTCAGTGACCTTGAAAAGGTCAAAAAAGTTGATTTTCTAAATTGATATTTTGGATTTAAATTTAGGTCAGCTTAATTACAAAACACCTACTGAGGTCTGAAAAAGTTAAATTTTCAAGGTCGAAGGTCATCAAATTAGGTCACAAACGATGTTATCTAAATTTTCCCAAAGTTCCAGACTACAAATAAATTCTTGTCATCAAAATTGCAGGAAAACCGCTAACCTTGTCAACTTGAAATGTTTACAGATGCAAGAGCAGACTAGTGCCAAGGTCTGATTAGGTTTTGGCCATGCTGGGTAAATTGCATGGTGGCCAGTTTGCTCTTCAAAGTGCGATATTTATCACTGTGTGTCTTGTTGTATTTTGATTATTGTTCATTTTCTCACAATCAAATGGCATTAAACATATTATCTGTTGATAAATGAAGAAAAACTACTCACATGTCCTTGTCATAAGTCATAACACCTACATATATTAAGTCTACTGGTCCAGTAGTGAACAGAGGTGATAAATGAACTTGTATATTATATTAGATTATCAGAGGGAGGATTTGTGAATGACCAATTAGGTAGCTAAGAAAGAGAGAGCAGGTTGGATAGAGTCTCAGTTGTCATTATTGATGTGAAATATCATGACTTTATACCAATGTATACTCCTTTAAGGTATGTTTAAAGAATCTCTGAACTTAGAACAAGCCATTTCACCATTGGGATCCTTTTCTGTAACTATATAACATATTCTGGGCCTGCAGATTGAAGGGAAAATTGAGAATTGAATGAAAGGAAAACATCATCCTATATTGTTTCTTATACAGAATGAATGTACGATATTGATAATATCTTTTTCATTGACATGTTCATGATCAGCACCAGTTATTCCCCAGGAAAATATTTTGCATCCATTGGCAGTTGTTCCACGATATTTGTTTGCTAAAACATAATTGGTCATACAATATTAGAACATATGATTAGAGAAATTAGATATTTTGAAGGTAATTGTCAATTGTCTTTCACAATGTTTTTGTAAAATGAATTTAGTTATTTATTAAGAAAATATTGTGATCAAGGAAAGAACTTTTGAGTCATTTGACTCAATCTCCTAGCAGTTTTAGTCTTCAGTCTTCAATTTGGTCGAATCAAAAGTAAATCAAAATTTGGTAAAATCAAAATATCCTGCATTTGATTAAAATCTCATCAAAATCGTATTTTATGTTTATAAAATCTGGATAATCATTTTTATAACATACGGTATAATGTTTATTTAATTATGAAAATTTATCATTTTGATTTGAAAAAATTTACTCGGTGTTGAGTGGATAACACCATGCAAAGATTTGCTGACCACATAGGTGTTTCGGATATTGCAACTCTTGTAAGCAATTGTAAGTGCCTTAACTGTAATTAAATCATGCTGGGTTATTAATAAGGCAAATGATTATTTTGATGCAAGACATACAGAATATTTTAATAATAGATTTGTAATCATTTTACATGCAGGAACTTCACACAAATATGATATAACATTAATTTTCCTAAATAAGACTAGATGAGAGGTGCCATATACTACAGTTCTAATAATATGACTTGATATATAGAAGCTACCAGTATTACCACAAAAACTTAATGTCAAAGTTTGATATTTAGAATACGATTCAGTTGTATATGAATTGTATGATAATATCTGCCTTGTTAATTTAGGAACATTTTTCAATTTTTCCTTCATTAACTCTTGGAGAAGGATGAGAAAATTGTGAAAATAAAAACAAAATTTTAGTTCTTAAAAAATATTATTAGTGGGTATGAATAATTCAATAGTTCATATTGAAATATGAACTATAGCTCATATAGCTATAGCTATTATAGCTTTCTACGTCATGAAGCTATCAACAATAGTGCACTTAGCCTAACTGGACTCCTCTTCCAATTTTCCAGATTTGATTTCTCGCATTGCTATATTTTGTAGGAATACATGTAATTAGTATTTTCTGATATTATGCAAGTTTTCAATCTAGGAATCCACCACTGTGAAGATATTTCTATTTTGTTTCATTAATAATTTTGTGAGGTCCCTGTAACATATTTTGTGCAAAATAAAGGTCAGTCTATAATCCTTGGCGAAGTCATTTCTTGTATAATTATCTACAAGACCCTAGCTTAATTCCACATTCTTTAATTTACATCAGGAAACTGATTGAGTTCATTTATTTAGTAATTTGTGATTCAATTGAAAATACTGAACAATGTAAGTCTTCTCATACAAGAGTAGAATCCAATGTTAAAATTGATCATTATAGTTTCTCATTGATATAGAATTAATTAGAAATAATTTAGATTTGGATGCAGTGATACTGTACTTTAGATAATGCGATTAATTAAGTAAATATTGTGAATCAGGTGCAATTTCCTGTCTTTGAATGGCTTTGGGACGTGAAATCATTAATAAACGTGTAGTTGTCTGATTGATTCCATAATAAAGGTGGTCTTGGTAAAGCTCTGTCTTGGATAAAATTGACTCCATGATAAATGTCTGTCTTGGATAAGCTTGACTCCATGATAAAGGTCCATCTTGGATAAGATTGACTCCATGATAAAGAATTGTCTTAGATAAGCTTGATTCCATGATAAAGGTCTGTCTTGGATAAACTTGACTCCATGATGGATGTCTGTCTTGTATAAACTTGTTTCCATATTAAAGGCCTGTCTTGGATAAGATTGACTCCATGATAAAGAATTGTCTTAGGTAAGCTTGATTCCATATTTAAGGTCCATCTTGCATTAGATAAATGTCTGTCTTTGATAAGATTGACTCCATGATAAAAGTTTGTTTTAGATAAAACTTTTCTTTCACCTTGAGACTCTGTTATGTTAACCTCTGTTAGATGCATTTGATAGATTTGGTTAGGCTGACTGCGCTTGATTTTAATTATTGAGTCATTTGCGCAAAGTATACTTTACTTGAAAGATATAATGTATAATTCAAAAGTGGACTGATCGTGACTTGCTTTTATGATCTAATGCATTTTTCTTGATCATACCTGACATGCATAAATTTTAGTTCAATGATTGTTGCACATGGTTTTTGACTTAAAGGAGTGGTATCGATATAGAGAACTGAATTCAACAATGTTTTTCTCTTAAACCAATCATTGAAAAATTCTTTAATAAAAAACACGGTATTTTATGTAATGTTGACTGATTGACAACAATTTAATGCGAAAATTATTTAGAAATATTTTATATGCGCAATTGTTTTTGCTCCTTTCTACCAATTCTTGAGAATGAAATAAAATGTCTTTCCTAACCTTGTTGGAACATAAACAACATGTTTTAGACCTCTCAATATTATAGTTATTATACAAAGGAATTTTTGGTTGATTTTAAAAAAGTATTCAAAAAATTAAAACAAAATCCCCCCAAAGTAGATAAAAATCAAGATTAACCTTTAATTTCATCAACAAGATACTTTTTTAAAATCAACCCAAATTTCCTTTGTGCAATTACAATATTGAGAGACCTAAACATGTTGTGTTTATGTCGTTTTGTTCCAATGAGGCTCGGATAGATGTTTCATTTCACTCTGGAAACATGATACCAAGAACAAAACAAGTGTTTCATGTGTTTTCTAAAACAATATAGATGAAAGTATATATATATATTTCAAATCATATTGTTACCATTCAAAAGATAAACATTAAATTGACAATTGTGTTGAATTTTTAGATTTTTTTATGTCGACTGGTTTAAGAGAAACGTGTGTTCTAAAAGTTCTCCATATCGATACCACTCCTTTATATCATAGAAATATATATTTTATCATTGACATCATAGAAATCTATCATATGCATGGATTTAACTGGGTGTGAATTAAAAGCTTGACATGATGATTTTCTTATGTAGCCTAGCTGCCTTTCTTACAATAATTATATTTAGTTGAAATTAATATATTATTATTACATTTATATTGTTATAATTGTTTCAAATTATTATATTATTCATTTGCAACAATATCTACAATTATGTAGGTGTAACAGTGTATATGTTGATGCTTTAATTTTTGATATTTTTATTCTTATTATTCTTATTAATACCATTTTTATAGATATTTATCATATAGAACATATATTCCTTTCAGAATGAAGTAACCAGTTTGAATCCTGGAATAAACTAAGCTGTTTTAAAATAAAATATTATGTTTTTTTGTAATTTGTAGATAATATTTTAATGGAATCGTCTCATAAAACATTTTCTGGGATGCTTCATAATATCTAGAACCATTCGGTTTTTAGCCACGCTTGGTATTTTGCTTATTAGCTGAGTCATTTTATGACTTTTTATTTTGTTTACTAATTTTATTTTATTGTTTCGCACATTTACAGAGCCTCATCTAGTTGTCATATTATGTCTAAAATTATGGTTGTATTGCAAAATTTGAAGTCTATTAGTTGACTCAAATTTTTTTATGCACCTTTACATGGGCCTACGCCAGCAATATCTCTGTCCAGATACATCTAGAGGAAAAAAATGAGGGCAAAATGTATTGTTATACTTAAGTAGAATAATCTCCATTGACTAAATATCTTTTTATTATCTGTTTCAGATATTCTGTCTTCAGCCATTTAACTGTAAACTTAATGGTGCAAGAAAAAGACGGAAGAAACGATCAAAGGCCAGTAATGAGCAGGAGGTGAACGAGAGCCAATCATGATGCAGCATCTATGGGGAATGCAAAAATTAGCCAGTTTGAAGATCTAACAACTCAAATGGTGGCTTCAGTGGTCCACACTGGTTGTGGCATAGAAATAATTACTTAATCTAGTCTGTAACCGAGTCATATGTTTCACCATAAAAGTTATTATTCCTTAAATCTGGATCATATATGAAGCTACCCCTTGAGCATAATATTGCCAGGAAATAATAATCTTGAGACAGAGTGAACATAAAGTACAATAGCTTGTACTATTATATCATGTGAAGCAAGGATCTATGAGGCCCATGTATGCTGTATGGTGTCAGTTCAGAAACAAGACTCTGTATGATGTCACTTCAGAAAGAGACTTCTGTATGATGTCACTTCAGAGGAAAGACTGTCTTTGTATGATGTCACTTCAGAAACAAGACTTTCTCTGTATGATGTCACTTCAGAAACAAGACTTTCTCTGTATGATGTCACTTCAGAAACAAGACTTTGTATGATGTCACTTCAGAAACAAGATTTCATATGATAAGAATGCAGAGGGTATTTTAAATGATACAAACATCACGCAACTGCAAACATATGTAGCAATTTGGCATTGTGTTTTAAGGCAGGTCAGGAAGAAGAGTAATCTGGCGAATTGATTTGGATGTGTTACACTTTTACAAGTATCACCTTAAAGTCACATATGTGACCAAGGAGCTATAGAGACTAAAAACCACCTTAATTTACCCACATTCGTACCACTTCAACTGAATGATAATATTCCCTATATGTATATACAATTGATAATTACTACATGTATATGTATATCAGGAAAGTTCACTCTAAGCCCTCTCTATACTCTTATTATTGAGAAATAGATAAGAACCATTTGAGTATTAATTTAAATGAACAATTACTTCTGAGCAAGATAATAAAGGCAGTTCTAAAGGTATAAGAATCTCATACTGTACCGTGATCAAATTATGTCCAGAGGCACATTTTGTGAGCAAGAATACATCTTAATAACTGTATGATAAATATCACAGAATAACTAAGAAATGTCACTTAGTACAAACATGTCACAGTACTATTAATTCCTTCAAGGCCTCGTTGCATAATTCAGAAACTCAGATGAGAAAATGCAATGAATGAATGATTGATTTTTGAAAGTTATGGCGCACACATTCATTAGAAATCCTACAAATTCTACAGATTCTATCTTAAAACTTTGAGTAAATGTGTTATTCTTAGCTCTTGCTCAAAGATATAAAAAAATTACTGCAGCAGATCTTCAAATTAATTGAACAAAAATAATTCATCATTTTTCATGCTTTAAGTGATAATTATTCCTGTTTGTAGCAACTGCTCTATTAAAGTGCACACTTAAAGTGATACTTACATCTACTTTTAGTTAATACTCTGTACTACGTACATGCTTACTCCTTAAAATACATTCATAAAGTGTTCTCTGGTTTTTCAAAGTTGTGAGATTTCAAGCTGCACTTTGTGGGTTCCTTGTTTTCTTTATCTCACATGCATTTCTACCTCCTATTTTACTATGAAGGATGAATAAGACAAAGATTTTGTCAGTACATGTACTTATTTATGTACAATGTCATCATATACTTATTTATTCAAGAATAAATATATGCCGCAAGGGTTGAATGCAAGAAATATTTTAACAAAAATGAAATTGGTTGTTGATTCAACATATCTTGCTTTCTGTGATGAAAAGGCTCAAATTAATGTTTTTGTCTGACATTTTTCAAACTTTCTGTCGTATTTTACTGAATTATTTCCAAATGAGTCATGAATCATTTGGAAATTCGTATGAGTTGAACACAAAACATAACCACTAAATAGAATTAAATTTGTTTTTGTATTATTATTACTACTTCTAATGACAGCATTTAGATTTTGCATTATTAAAAATACCAACAAGCAAGCCTACTCAATGTGGTCTTTCTAGAAATCTAGACACTGCTAATATCTTGTGTTTTTGTAGATCTAGAAACCTTTGATATCTGGTGTTTCTTGAGATTTGGAAGCTGCAGATATCTTGTTTTTTTGGAGATCTAGAAACCTTTGATATCTGGTGTTTCCTGAGATTTGGAAGCTGCAGATATCTTGTGTTTTGGAGATCTAGAAACCTTTGATATATTTATCTCAGATTTCTTCTTAAAGTTTCAATTGTTTTTACCCAGAGTTGTTTTAGCTACAAATTATTGTACATTGTGTGAGCTTTTGTTAAATTTTAAAAAGTCTATTTGTATATAAGAATTGAAAATGATTGTATATTTTGGCTTAATAATTGACCCTTTTAAATGAGTCCCAGTCATGGAAATCTCACAAACATGTATATTATATTATTTGTATGTTTGAAATTCAGGTAAATACTGTGCCTGTTTAAAGCACTATTAACCTGTTTACATTTCAATGATATTTATGAATGTTGACTACAAGCTGTTCACATTGTCATACTTATATGTTTTAATTCTAAACAAACACATTGATCAACTTTATTATATTTCTCAAATGATGCATGAGTATTTAATTGTGTTAGGCATTTTAGTTAACTTTTATTATATCTTTCTAGGCAACCTTTATTTTCGACAAATATGATTTTAAAATTGTACTTACAGCATAATTGATATTTTGGGTACTTTATACAGTACATGGCTGCATAAACAAGTTTCCTTATTATATGGCATTTTCTATTTGATTGAACTAAGCTTCACAAACAACTTAAATACATTTAATAATCTGTACATGTAATAATCTGTACATTGTTATAATCTATTCATGTACTACATGTACTAAGTACATGTAATAATGTGTACATGTGATAATCTATACATGTAATAATCTGTATAAATGTACTGTAATGATATTTACATGAAATCTATACATGTAATAATCTGTATACTTTAATAACCTATACATGTAATAATCTCTACATGTAATAATATATACATGTAATACTATGTACACTGTAAAAAGCTATACATGAAATAATCTGTACATGTAATAAGCTATCCATGTAATAATCTGAACCTTACCATCTACTCATGCTATAAGAATGTTTATGGAAATTTTTGATTTCTCAGAGATTCCAGAAGGATCGAATTGATTTTATCGAAAATATGGTGTACATCGTATTTTATGTCTTCTCTTATACCGACAATGTATGTACACATCTTGTCATATTTATTCATTTTTAATATTATTTACATGTATGTAATGACAGCTGCAAAACCAATTGGAATAACAACTTGTATATATTTATGTATAATTTGCACTTTAGAGCTTAGATTTTCTACTCTACTTGAACAAAGAAATCCAAAACCATTATTTTAAAGTTTTTTAATAAGACTTAAAGTGAAGGACAACAATCATTTTCAGAAAGAGGTGTTATTTTTGTACTTAAAGACTGGATTATATTTCATTAATAAATCATCAGAACTTCTAGATTCTTGAGATAATTTCAGACATTTAGAATTAACTTCACACAAAACATGGTCTAATCTTGACAAAGCAATGTAACTTTGTGTGATTTTCAATTTTGCATACCAGTAGAGTCTGTTACTTGATATACACATTGACTTTTTCTTGTTCTTGTATCGAAACAATGGGCGTTCTGACTTAATGTGCAAATAGATACCAGGCCTATAGTCAACTTTTGCCAAAGGGGTTCACTTTTTTTTTAAATCAGGGGGGTTCACGATCACATTTCACAACATTGGCCTAATACCACTTGAACATGCTCAAAATGTGGAGATTGCCCTTGATATTGTTCATCTTTAATATCTATTTTATATCTGGTTGGCATAGTGTTTCTAATTATCCTATTGTTTGTAATTATCTGCTAATGATTGGAGTTTGTACCGTAATGACTGCAAATATTAGGTGTGAATGACTTCACCTTTTTTCAAGTCAACACGCTTCTCAAGGTCAAATCCACTAAAGATGTGCTCAGGCAAATTTGACAATTTTTGAATCCTTCTATCATGCGGTACAAACATCGACCGTTAATTTGAATTTTTGACCTACCAGATGCTCGAAAATCAAGGATTGCGAGTCTCATACTACACCGTTTTTCTTCAAACGTATACCATTAAAAGCAAAACAAAATTGCCTTTCTGTCGGTGCATTACTTTATTGTAAAGAGTCCCTCGTTCTAGCAGCATTTTGGTCCCCAGTTGTTAGAAGGCCTTCTTACAGCTGGGGACCAAAATGCCGCTGGAAGTAGGGACTCTGTTTAAGAGAATAATGTACCAACAGAAAGGGATTTTTGTTATGCTTTGAATGGAACAAGTTTGAAGAAAAACGGTGCAGTACGAGACTCGTAATCCTTGATTTTCAAACATCCGGTAGGTCAAAAATTCAAAATAACGGTCGAAGTTTGTACCGCGTGTCTATGAATATATTTCAAATATCATAGCCTTGTAGAATTTTTGAAAATTCCAAATACTATAAGGTTCATCAGATATTATGCCAATTTAAAGTGTCTTGAAAAATGTGGCTAAAATGTTGCTAATTAGGTACCAAATGTGCAAAAATACTGCATTTTGCATTCGTTTCTGGAGGCTTATGGCTATTGGCTAGTTTTATCATTTGATGATACCATTCTCTTCATCTTGATTTTTAGTAAAAAAGATAATTTTTAAGTAAAATGATAAATTTTCATCTCGGCAAAATCTACTTATATCAAGTACATTATTTTCACACTGTTTTTGAAATAGAACTCCATCATGTTAACTTATCATCACTTTGCATCTAGGTTTGTCTGGCCTTGCATCTATGTTTGTCTGGCCATGCATCTATGTTTGTCTGACCATGCATCTATGTTTGTCTGGCCATGCATCTATGTTTTCTGGCCATGCATCTATGTTTGTCTGGACATGCATCTATGTTTGTCTGACCATGCATCTATGTTTGTCTGGCCATGCATCTATGTTTGACTGGTCATGCATCTATGTTTGACTGGACATGCATATACGTTTGTCTGGCCATGCATCTATATTTTTCTGGCCATCCATCTTTGTTTTTGTTTCCTTGTACCCTGGAGCCCATTGGCTAGTAGTCAAAACTCTCAATTAAAGAAGCTGATAATCAAACTATTGAAAGGGTTATTTCCTCGGGGACTGTTTATAAAATGACATCACATCCAATATGTTGTTTTGTACCAATTCTGTTATTGCTATTTACACTGTTTAGTATATGCACATGGAGTAAGTCACCCCCCCCCCCCTCTTTCTCTCTCTCTAATATTATCTATATAAAAAATATAGGCTACAGGATATAAGAGGGAGGGGTGACTTACTCCCTATGGGTATATGAAGGGAATATGAGTCCACATATATAGTATGTGTATATGCAATTTACATATTGTATAAATGAAATAGAACATGCATATAAGACTGTCTTTGTCAGTTAATTTACATATGTACTGTATATGTATGCATATAAGACTATCTTTGTCAGTTAATTTACATATGTACTGTATATGTATGCATATAAGACTGTCTTTGTCTGTTAATTTACATATGAAGGCATAAATGCTGTTCTTGTCATTTAATATACATGTGTACTGTATAAATCCTGTTTAACCTTATGTATATCATATATTATTGTTATTTTATTATTCAAACCTAGATTGTTATGTGTTATCAAAACCACAACTTTTCAACCAAGTTTTGTATATATTTGTTCATAATTGTATATATGGTATATTGTTCTTATAATAAATTTTCAAAGTGACACAATTTTTATTTTCAATTTATATGAGGGATTTGCAATTAGCTACTCTTGATGCCATGTCGCTACTATGAATGCTAACATTGTTATCGTCACCATGTTTATGTCACCACTAGACGTGGTGACATATATACTTTTTTGGATGGTGTTTGGCATTCGGTGTTTGGTGTCTTCAACAAATTCTTGTTGTCAATGTTTGTAACAAACTGTTACACTTCTGTAACCATTTGCAATAATATACAGGTGGTAACATACTGTCATGTAAATGCCTCGTTATGACTTGGATTGGTGTGTAGAATCAGTTGGTGATGTTTCTAATAAATTGTTACACATTTTGTTATCAACTGAAATAACTTTCCATGTAGTTCAATTAAGTGTTTGAGAAAGTGTACGCTGGAGAGTGATTTTCACAGCTATTTAATTAGCAAAACATCCTGTTACCACCCACCTGCTTAACAAACTTGATTCCATGTAGAATTTACTATGCAGCAAATATCACTGGTCAGAAAGTAACAGCCTCTACATTTTCTTTCAAAACGAAGGGTGGATGGCTTTATAGTGTCAATTTCTATATTTTTAGTTTTAATTGAATTAAACTAGCTTGCTGTAGACACTGAACTAAAATTTTCAAGCTTTTATGATACCATAGAAATTCTGCAATCTGATTAATATTTCTTATATCGTGTGTGGACACCACAACCCAACAATATATTCTATTGTCCAAAAACTAATGATATTGAAATCGACTTTTAGGCCTACCATCTGCCATTTTGAAACTATAGAGTTTTCAGGTTTATCATCCAGAAACAGCTTCAAATTGACTTAGTTAAGATGACATTTCACCGAATAAGATCTATTGCGTCAGAGATGATTTGTTCAATCACAGAACGAAATTGTTAAGATACAGTGAAGCCATTTGCTTGTCAATGGGTTAGTACACCCATCCTTCCGTCTGTCTATCCATCTGGAAAATAACTCAAATAGTAGTGAACCACCAGAAATGTGTTTACATATTGTCTCCAACTTTTTTATGGACGGTGTTCAGAGTTCGTCGTCTATAACAATTTGCTTTTGGTGTCTAATAACAATTTGTGTTTGGCGTCTGTAACAATTTGCAATAACTTACAAGGTGGTGATATTTTGTCATATGTTGAATATCATATGAAAGCTTATTCACTTATTGAAATGACTTTGATTAAGCTAATCAAGTTTTACAATTCATCGTTTTTTCAAAGTATTACCCAGTGAGCTTTAAATGATACAATGGATTATAAGGCCATTTGCTCCTCTCTTAAAAATTGTTATTAATAGTAGTCACATCCTCCGATCACAGGGCTTCAAAACCCAGAATATATTCTTTCTTTTTACGTTCTGGATACCTGCTTAGGAGTATGTAGTAGTCATGGATCGAGCAAAATGGCTGAAATGGCCCACCAAACATAAGCTTACAAAGTACTTTAAAACCTGTCTAGTATCTAATCCAAATACAACTAGGACCAGTTTAAAATCTAGCAGATTAAAAACGGAGTCCGAAAAAAGTGTTCACCCTGAGAGGCGTTCCGATTAGAGAGGTGTTCAAAGATATACAGGTTTTACTGTATGTTCCCAAATGGTCAATCAAGCTAATATTTCGCCTACAAGCCTAGGATTAGCTATATTATGATATTTAGAGATTATGGGTGCTTGTGATCTAGGATTGACTCAGGGGATGGTGAACGATCATTCTGGAACACCCTGTATATTGATAAATCGATGAGTGCAAAAAATCCTTTTTTCAAGATGCTTGTCGCGTGCTGCTCGAACTCGAAGCTAAGCTAAGAATCTGAATTTTAAATAATTTACCTCATGCCGTTATGTCTTTGTAAATTATCCCCAATTCAGATTCCGTTGTCATTGACGATATCGAAGATATATTGTAGCGATTCACGACCCAATTTGATCGAAATTGGGATTTCATATGATACATTATCACAAGAGCTTAATGCACACAATTAGCGACGGTGAAGTCCCATGAAACGAGGACCAAGTGATTGAAGAATTGAAGCGACGGTTATGTCCGCCATTTGTGACAACGGTATCTGACTTTACCGTTGTCAGGCTATTCCGGTGTGAACATGCTACTAGTCGTGCGAGCCTCACTTGACTGTATACTTTCAACTATGTAACACCTATGTACGTCAACCCATATATTTCTGTAAAAATGGCTCATAATATCAAGTTGACCGAGCCACTGACTTAAATGCTATATAAAATTAATAAAAAATAAAAAAAAACTTTCCTCACATTCTTCAGCATTACATCCTTACTGTATCTTTTTCAAGCGGTTCTTTGTCCATCAATTCCTAAACCCTTTTTTCAGAACTGAACTCCTATGTTCACAGTGCAGTTGAAATCTGGGCTAATTCTTCCATATAATATTAGAATAAGATAAGGACAAACCTATGTTTTAAGGTTATAGTCTGGCAAAGGATTTGAAGAAGGAATCATAATTGCTAATGAATGAAACGAATCTGTAAAGAATTAAACAACAACTGGATAAATCACTAGTCGGCGTCTTGAATAAACTGCATCATTTTTTGTAAAAACCATTTACAGGTGTTTGATCAGCAGAGGGTTAGGAATGCCAATTTTTGGGAGAGTGTACATTCGAAGCAAAGAAACGCCGGGTCTGCTTAATTTGAATTCAAAAGATCTGATACCATGGCAACTTGAAATGATGAAATCCTGAGTAACCCCCCTATCACACCAAACTAGTTCTTACCCGTTCTTGCCAGTCCTACGAAAAAGTCGCTCAATCTGGCTGTGGTCGGGAAATATGTCTAAAATAATTAGCTACTTCGTTCATAAACAGTCTTCAATACGTCCATCTCATTCGCAGTTCGTTCAGGTCGCATCAGGTCGGTGTGCAACGTCGTATAACGCGTCCCTTAGTCTAGAAGGTCAACATGACCTGATTACAGAAGGTATGGTCGCCATCGAATTTTGAATCGATTCAAAATTCTAAAATCACATTCCCGTCTGAGAACGTTCATAAAGTTCGTAAATAGACGAGACGTAAATAAGTTGCAGCTACGTTCATTCCGTTCACACACAGTTTAAAACCAGTTTTGAAGAACGCAGTGGCAACTTGTTTGGTGTAATAGCTATATATTTGCTAACTCGTTCATAAGCAGTGTTAAATACGTTCTTAATCAGTTTAAACCCGTTTGCAATTAGTTCTACCTCGTTCTCAACACGATAGATAGAAGATATTATAATTGAGACATGAATTGGGTTATTTACATTTTTACACTATTTTATTTGAAATAATTTAAATCAAATACAAAGGCCAAAATTATAAAAATCGTATTCATCCAGCATCCTCTAATGGAATTCAACAATTCTACATAAATTAATAACTTCTGTATTTGATCAGCTGTTTTAATTTTTCAGATAATGAAATAAGAGTTGTCTAAAGGGAAACATTTTCATGATTGTTTAAACATTGTCTCCAACGTTTTACACTCTCTTTGTTCTTTGCTGCCACTTTATTTCACTTTATGTTGAACAGAAACGTAATGTATTTAACCATTCAGAAAAAGTCCATATGACACATCTAGAATATTGGACACATTTGATGATAATTTAGAATGTATGACATCTGGTTCTAAACAACTTACACATATCTAGAATATGGTGCAAAGTTGACAGCATCTCGGAGAGTTTTTCGTTGAGCAACATTCACAAAATTTGTTCTTCCACAAAGGAGTCGATCCCTTATTTTCTCCGAAATCTGTTTTTGTGACTGCTATCTGGCGGAGTCTAATACAGCCGTCACAGCAAAATGAAAATGGGAATTGCTTACAACAATTACACATATCAACTTGTCTCCATCTAGCTTGTCGTTTGGTAGTCAGGAATGTGTTTTGTTGCCATGGGGACTCCATGATGTCGTCATCTAGTGGTGATATCATTTCCGACGCTGAAGGTAAAACATAAGTTTTGATTGAATTAATGTGTAATTAATGGGGAATCACATAGTAATGTCTTATATGATTTAATTGGATGGGATTTGTCCTCCGTATAAGTCATTGTCAATTAGACATGTAATTTTGATATACATGCAAACTACTGTATAATACTCATAGTTGTAGTACTTAGTTAATAACAAGACACTGTTATAACCGATTGATGCCTTGATGGATGCACTTGGATGCCCTCCTTGGTCCAAGGGTATATGAATTTACTCCACGAGCTGAAACAGTGATGCCAGAAGAAGTACTGCTGCCACCAAATAAAAATTGAAATTACTGCTGCCATCAAAGAAAAATTTGCTTTTACTGCTGCCGCTAAAGAAAAATTTGCTTTTAACCAGTTTCAAGAGCATGACCATAGGCCAGGGGAAAGGTAGTATTAAGCTCAATGAAGAAGATCTTCCACAATTGTATTTACTACCTTTACTTTTCCAACTGCCTATTATATGGGCATTGCCAAGATAAAAAGTTGAGTCAATTCAACAAGTGTGGCTATTTCAACAAGTGCGGCTAATTCAAATCACGCTCACTGGCAACATGATATTATCAATAGAATTCTTTTTCACTATTTCAATTGAAAGAAATATCTGAATTAATTTTTCTGTAAATTTGTCAATTTTTCATTTTTTCTCAAATTGACACAGAGACTTAGAGTACACTTTGATAATTCGGAACAATGGTCCTATTGTTTCTAATAATTGCTTTCTATTTTAACTATAATCCGATTTTGACAATATAGAAGACTTAAACTTTTGCCCCAAAGCAAAGCATAATTGCAAACATGAGTTAAAACGCGATCCCTTTGGAAAGCGAGCATGGATATTTGTTGGGGAAACCATTACTACTGGCTTAAAGCATCCCGAGTTTGTATTTCAACCCAAATTCTGATTTATTGTGTTTTTTCTTTTCATTAACCTTTTCTTTGTTTGGCCTCTGATGTGTGAATAGCAAGAACCTTTGATGAAACAGGATATTTTCATCTTCTTTGCATTATACAATCACTTATCCATTCTCTTTTGTCTTCCCTTAATCACAGAGGTGTTGACTTTTTGGCTTTTCCACCTCGCCAGTTAAGTACTAGTATGTCATTCTGTTCTTGGTTCTGTTTCAAGCCTGGGTCCCCCCTCCTAACATTTAAGACTATACAGGGTGTAAAGATATAAAGGGGCCCTTGTCTCTCTATATATATTTAGTATTTTAGTTTGATTATATAGTCTTGATTTTAATGATAAACAGAAATAAGATTACTTGTTTTCTGATTGATAATAACACAGTGACGACTCAAATAATAAAGAAATGTGACCCCTCCCCCTTAAAAACTGGATAGGAATATTTCAATCAACGGTCTAATTAAATCTATTTGTGAGGATTGAGACAGACTCTAAGAAAGAATAGGTAACGACCCGACCACGCTCGTCCAGGGAGCAGTAGTGTAACAAGCCAGATATACTGGACATGAAAGGGAGTGTGTTAAACTCAATGCAGAGCAAAACTATGAAAATGTCTCTCACCTTGAGCCGAGCAGAAGGCTGCCAGTATTGTCAAAATCGCTGCGGAGCCAATTATTTGGTGTAATCTGAAAATATATTTTTAAAACAATTAATATTGGACGATGTTGATGTAACATTAATAAATGAGTTTTTTGGATTCGCAAGATTGTGGAATTTGAAAACTGAACACATTCTCAATAAAAATTTGGTTTTATTGATCTATACTTAGTTTTATGGCATTCCAATAATTTGATAATGAATTTATAAGTCATGATAGAAAGACGCATGATAATTGGGACCGTTCAGTGTTCAATAAAACAGTAATGAATAAAACGTATTTGATCATAGAGTTTCCAGAAAGCTTTGAAATCTCGTCAAACTCTCGTTTTAAGTGAAATTTTAGGAGATCTGTATTCTTAATTTACCTTTATTCAAATTTTATGATTTTCATGATTTCTGTAAAAAGGTCGGGCTAAATCCTCATTGACACAATGTTAAAAAAAGTTCAGTTACTCTTTACCCTGAGTGCAGAGTCTAGTTAAACTAGACGAAGACGAAGCTCTCTTTTAAGAAGTGAAGTCGAACGAATGCAAAGGGTTGTTATTCTTATAAAGGATCACAATTTAGTTATTGTTACATTCCAATGGTATTTTACGTTGATCGAAATGGAATTATTTGTTAAATCAAAAATTTTAGTGACTCTTGTTATATGTTTCCATGTATGTTTCCTATAAAATCGCTCATATACAAGTATTTGACGTGCAACTTTTCAAAAATAACTGTTCAAATTGAAAGATGTTCAGCTTTCAAGGTTTCTTTAACATGTGAGTCAATGGGAGGAAAAACTGGACCGAAAATTGGTGTTCGGATTAGCCAGGTGTTCGGATTAGCCAGGTTTTAGTGTATGTTTGAATGTCATGATAATGATAGATGAATAAGGTACATTCATTTCACCTATTAGTCTATTTAATGTCATTAGCCAATATCTAAATACTTAATGCTAATGTTTTTATTGTAGGTTGTAAGTAGGAGGTAAAATAATGAACGCATTGTAATCCTACAAATTGTGATCAAATTAAATAATATTAATCGCAAATAAAAAATAGCAAAACTATTAACGCAACCTCCTACAGAACACTGTCTCCATCAGAAAATATAATACGTAAAATGTCAAGTAAATACTTCCATAAAGAATATCTAATTCAATTTCACAACTTTATTGTGCTTATTTCCCAATCGCCTAATTTTCCATGGTGAAAGCATTGCCGTTGTAAATTGTTAAAATACCATTTTTGGAGAAATAATACTGCAAATTACCAAATTACAAAACAGTGGTGTCAAATTGTCAATGCTTATCAATATCACTGGTGATCCACTCGATTACGCTGGTTACCGTTCGTTTCGGTAACAAAATGTCGGAACGTCGAAGGTACGATTTTTCTTTCTTCCTTATTTCACACGTTGTAGGCAGAATCCCCACGGCATTTTTTTACACAAGCGTGTATCAGTATCATATGTTTTAGAAAATGTACATGTTTGCAAAAAAGAAATTTAGAAAGAAAAGACATTTTGTTACCGAAACGAACCGTTTCGGTTACCAGCGTAATCGAGTGGTTCACTAGTGAATATGTACATAGATCCGAGACACTGCCATTGGCACTGGTGATCCGCTCGATTACGCTGGTACGGTTCGTTTCGGTAACAAAATTTCGGAACGTCGAAGGTACGATATTTATTTTTTCCTTATTTCACGCTTCGTTGGCAGAATCCCCACGACATTTTTTTTACACAAACGTATCAGTACCATGTTTTAGAAAATGTACATGTTTGCGAAAACAGAATCGTCGATTTAATTGCTCACTTAAGTTACATAAACGGTAAGGGTTAAAAGTGCAAATCTTAACTGTTTTTCGAAATACCGTTTAATGTAACTTACTTAAGTGAGGAATTAAATCGACGATTCCATTGTTTTCTGAACTATTTGTTCGCAAATGTATACATTTTCTTAAACATATGATACTGACACACGTATGTGATAACGCGTGAAATAAGGAAAAAAGAAAAATCGTACCTTCGACGTTCAGACATTTTGTTACCGAAACGGTTCCAGGTTGGAGTTATACTTTTAACATTTCTAGTACAGTTGAAATCAAAGGACGTAAGTTGCGTCATGTATCACCCCATGCATCATGATAAACCATGCCATCTCAAATCTTCTCAGCCCTGAGATTTCAGGTGAAACAGAAAGATGCTATGAGTATCAGAATGCACCCCATGCAGAAAGATCGCCTAAACTTACATTTGTATGATGCGAGACTCGACATTCACCAGGAAACTTGAAATAATTTGTCATCCATGGAACAAATTAATTTTTACTGCTTAACTAATGGTGAATGGCAGTCACATTCAGTTCTATAAGTATGAAAATAGCATGACGTCTTGATATTTAAAGAGTTTGAAAAGTGATGGCGGTGATTGAAATTAAATTGGATAATTGAAATCTAGTTTCCTGTTGAATGTCGAGTCTCGCATCATACGAATGTAATTTTAGGCGATCTGTCTGCATGGGTTGTGTATCTTTGTATCCTCAAAGATGAAAAGGACTGGGAATGATATGTAATAAAGATTACCGGTGTTGTATCAAGTTTACCTGTGATTGGAATCCCAATGGATCTCATCTCTTTATGCTTTAATGTGTGGGAGATGAATTGATTTGAACTTGATATATTATTCGTCTAATTGAGTTCTCAAAATCGTGTCAGTTAATGTCGCGATTGTGAAGTTTTCTCTGTCGGTTTCTCAAAGGAAATGTAATTAATTAAGAAATATTATTTGTAAACACTATAGTAATTGTGATATCTATGACAATTGATGAAATTATGAAAGCAATGCTAATAGTAGAAACCTTAAGAAATGGAAATTGAACATAATTGTGAATAACTATAATGAATGTATGGCATGCCCTAGGATGAGGAAAAGAAAGAGTGATGTTTTGTGAACATGGTATTTTTGTAGTATTCATTTAAACAATGAAATGTAATTAAAAGCATAAACACATCTACTGGTGTGACAAAACTGCAATACTAGACATAGCTAGATATAGAAAAATAAAGACAGCTTTCTTACTTTTGGGCGATAAAGATCTGACAAACGAAAACAATTTCAATATTTTTCAGGCAAATATAATTCATGAAAGATAAATAAGGAACAATCACTCTTTCTGAACGGTATTGGGACTTCGGCGGTCCTCGTCTGTAGCAAATGGCTGGTGGTGATATTTGAACGTTGGTGCCTTGTTATGACTTATCTTAGATCAAAGAAGCACATAGAAGTCTGGCAACCAAACAGTTGATATTTCAGAATATTTCGAATACGAACTATTTGTAACAATACAAAGCATTTACAAAACAATACAATACAATACAATACAATACAATACAATTCAACACAATACATATGATTTTTGAAATAAATAGTATTTATGTTTAAAAAGTATTCTCAATTGGTGTAGTTATTTAAAATTCAAAATATAATTTGCCACACAAAAATGAAACACCCTGTACGTTACCTGGATGGATCAAGATATTCAACTTCATTAAGTTATTCAGAAAGAATTTGATTTGAAAACTTTATGAATACATTGATGGCTTGGAATAAAACACTTAATTTTTCAAGTTTTAAAACAAATTCAGAATAAATTCGGTTTCAAATTACCTTCAAGGCTTGGAATAAAACACTTAATTTTCCAAGTTTTAAAACTAATTCAGGGCTTGGAATAAAAACTAAATTCGATCTTTCTGATAACGTTCAAAGCTTGGAATAAAACAATTTGAATTTTTTCGAACATTCGATCTCAAACTTAATATGTATGTACCACCAAGGCTTGTAAAGAAAACACTCGATTTTTCATCTTTCAGAACTAAATTTAGAATTACATTCTTTATCAATATTCATGATTACGTTCTAGGCTTGGAAAGAAAACATTTGGGTTTTCAATTTTCAACTTATTCAGAATATCCGATTTCAAATGTTTGAACAATCCAGGAATAACTCACGAAATAAGTACAACATTAGTACCCATGAAATTAAACGCATTTGAAAAAAGTATTCATCTTGAATCGTTTGGTTCAAGAGCGAAGACTCTATCGGTTATTTTTCTAATTTCGCCAATTCTTTCTTACCTCATCTTTGATATTACTCCCATGTTAATTGTAGTGTGATTCCTGCTCAAAAGTACCGTTACTTACTATCAGCTTCTTTTATTGAGGAAGATAGTTATCCATCTAGTCTATACTATTGTCTTTTACAGTGATTCACTGTGCTGTGATTTAGTCTCTTCCATTGGGATGAGACGTCAGATACAATTTCATAATTGTTAATTTCCCTCTTTCACGGTGTCTTTGAGTTACATTTTGTATTTCAAAACTTTCAAGCACAGATTGTCGTGTTTACGTGGGTTTTTCTCTCGTTACAGAGTCGCACGACCTTCATTCCCCATACCCTGGTAGATTAAAAGGGATATTCCTTGCGAACCCATTTCTCTCTTGATATCTGCACTACACTCTTCAAACTAGTTACCGAAACGTAACAAAATTCTGGAACCTCGATCTTTCTTTTATCCTCATTTCACGAGTTGTAGGCAAAATTTCCACACCTTTTTCACAAACGTATGTCAATATCATATGTTTAAGAAAATCTAAATTTTTTCATTGATTTTCAACTTAAAAATAAGAGATTATCTGTATAATAATAACAGAGCCATGATTGAAAAATAATATTTTTCAGCTGGTTAATTTTGTGCTTGACTTTTCACATCTTCTAACGCACAGGCATCGGAACAGAGTTGTCCTGAAAAGAAAATACACCCCCTCATTTTCTACAGGCCCGTAGCCAGGATTTTCCAAGGTGGTTCACTTTTTGAAAGATTTTGCAAGACAACTTGGCCCCAAAATTGCCAAATCACGTGAAAAGTGCTCAGAATGGTGAAAACTGCATTTTTTGAAAGAATTTTTGGCCGGAGTCCGGGGGAGGGGAGGGTTTGGTCCTTATACACAGAGAGTGGGGGGAGGGTGGAATATTATTTCCAGAACAACTCCCAGTCTGTTCTTACCGTATCATCCTTACAATCGAATGTTTCTCTGATGTGGGAACAGTATATGAGCGTAGTGGCGGGTAAGTTCTAAAACGTTAGATGACCGAATAAATCTACACTTGTCCGTTTTTGAATAAAATCGGTGGTTTTCAATCGTTCAGTATATTTCCGGTTGTGCTTGCCTGAATAGTGAATACTATACGCGTTTCAACCTCCGGCACACTCGCGAACAGGAGATAAACCGGATTTTAGAAAATCAGAATGATACAACCCCTTAAAGACAATAAATTGCAAATAACCCTATCGTACCACTTGTCAGATCTGAAAATAACTTGATTTGATAATCATAGTTATTGCTACTTCATGTGTTACATAATAAATAATCGAACGTGATATAATAACTTGTCGACTCATCAATGCTTTAGAACCACATGAATCATGTCATAACCTAGTTTACCATCTTACAGTAATACAAATTGCTCAAGTATTTAACGATAATATGGTCCGCAAGTGTAAGTAATAATGACGCAATTTCTACCAAGGTCCCAACACACTAGTGGATATGTGGGAGTGGTGGTGGGCTTAGCGAGTTTCACTAATTACAATGTTGTCAGCAAATTAACCATTCAAATTAACCATTTCTAATTTAGAAAAATTAACGATGAAGTCATTTTAAACTTTATCAAAGATAGCTAGGTACTACACGGGTGTTAAAACACGAATATACCATGAGCACATGCTTTGAGGATCCGCGTTGTTTGAACCTACCGCCGAGCACAATGTATTAAGACCCGTTACACAGTCATGATACCGCCGAACAAGCTCATTGCATCATCGGGTCTGCTTTACCCCCGTGAACTATGTGAAAACGATGTTCCAAAAACCCCGCACCTTGCTAAAGTGTGATGGGAGGGTAAATGTAAAAATGTAGGGTATTTAGAAATGCTTTTTATTGAATAGCAGCGGTTGCGATGAAGAAAATTAATATCAAGCAACCTAAATTTCTGAACATTTTTACTACTCCAAATCATTCATTTTGAAATCAATGCATAATAATGGCCAGTTCTAAAATCCCCCTAGTAGCGACATAATTTTGAAAGGGAAGACCTCCCCTGGAGCCAAATCATCCCATAACATAATAATCATGTGTGTTTTAATGTTACGCATGTACGTGTCCCTATACGTAGTTTATTATTGCTCTCACAGAGGAGGTAATCTGGCAGAGGTCCGTGCATTTCTGTTAACGTTTAGTGAGGCATTTGGCTCGCCTGCCTCATGTCTGGCGACGCCATCTTTATGGTAAATAGAAATCCAATTCATGAAATAATGAGATGTGTAGTAGTTCCTGTTTGATTTTGCCGTTTCTACATGAACAAGGATGTTGTTCTGACACCAATGTAACGGCTTATGGGCACTCACACTATGCACTATGTTGCATTTTCTTCACTTCGTATTCGTGCTTTTGATAGGCTGATCCTAACCCAAAATGAACGTAAGTCAGACTAAAATGACATTTCCATACATGCGATTTGACTCACTATCCATGTTTTAACCCAAAGGATACTGTACTAAACTTCAACTCGAATGACCTTTATGTACAGCACATGATCCTATGCGTACATAACGTTATCCTTTATGGCCATAACTTCATCCCAGATGTACATAACTTGATCATTATGTACACATCGTGATCCCATATGTAGATAAATGGATCACGTCTGTATAGTAAAAAACTTGATACTGTGTACACATGCATACCTTCCTTGATCCTTTCTGTACAAAGCATAAATTGATCCTATATGTACATAACTTGATCCTATATGTACATAATATGATCCTATATTTACAAAGCATAAATGTACATAACGTGATCCTTTATGCACATAGTATAATCTTATATGTACATAACTTGATCAGCAGAGCCCCCCGAGCTAGATTTCGCTTGGTCCGTGACAGTCTGTCTATTTGGGTTAAAATGAACCTTTGGTTTCTTTGCAGCTGGAGCACTGGAACTTCGTGCTACTTTATTGTATCTTCTAGTTACTTCTCCAACCTCGTCAGGAGGATCAGCAACACGATTTTCATCAAGGGATTCGCCTGAACATTCAGCAAAACCATAAGATGGTTTACTATTATGAAAGACATCATCGTGTTGGGTGTTAACATTCTTCTTCTTGTTTGTCTCTGGTGAGTCATGTTTCTCATAATTACCATCTGTTACCTCATTTTGGTTTGGATGGTCATCGTTCACATTGCTGCGATCATTTGCATCTTTGTGATCATCATCTTTATTATTGTGATTCCCTGAGCTGACAGATACAAGGATGGATGCCTGGGTTGCCTGGAGTTGAAGGATCTTCTCAAGCTGGTCTTGAATATTTGACAACACCTCCTCATGACGCTCCATTCTAGCATTAAGACCCCTGATGCTGAAATCCTGAATATCATTCACTCTATCTCTAACCTCAGTCACTAAGCGGTTGGTTGTGTGAATCGGAGGATTTTCCCACTTTAGTAGTTTGTCCTTGTAGTTTTCCACCACTTTGACTTCCCTGTAGTACTTTGTTCTGTAATTGAAGTTGAGGAAGATGCTGTTGCGCTCGACCCTGGTTATGATCCATGCCCGATTGATTTCCAAGCCACGCTGACAGTCCTGCTGTATATGTTGGTAAGTGTCTGTGAGACGTGCAATGAGGAGATTCAGCAGTATGATTATGCAGACAGTGAGGTATATAACCATTAATGCAATAGAGAACCATTTATACTCAATATCTGTGTATTCGGTAACTGGTTGTTGTTCAACGAGTGTCCGTAGCCCCATAAACATGGTACCTAATATTGATATTGTGTTATTTAGCTGAGTCATGTTGCCTTCACCACGCAGACCCAATTGGAAGCTACCACTGAATGCCAACAGGATGATACCAAAAAGGATCATGAATTGAACAATGTCTTGAGTGATTATGACCCAAAGAATTTGGGCGAAAGCACCAGATTGCCTGAACACAGCCGCATATTTGAAGATCCTCACTGTCCAGATGACATATCCAAGAGAATAAATGTACCACTGTTCGTTGACATCTAAAATCCTCAGGGGAATCACTGTAAGCAAAAGTGATATGCTCAACAAATCAAAATAATTGAACATGTCCTTCCAATAGTCTCGTCTCATTTTCACGAGCTGTCGGATTTCCAGAAAGAGATGAAAGAGGACAAAAACTACACTCCAGACTTCGCAAACAGCTCTGGCAATCTGTAATGGTGTGTCATAAACCATTGGGTCAGGGGCCTGACATGCTACTGCAACAGCAAATGTCAGAATGAAGAGTGACACAAGGAACATGATGGCGCTACAAGTGAACCTGAACTTTGCAAAATGTTTCCATTTACGTCGTATCAACAACCTGACTGCATCATGGTATATATAGTCCTTATCTCCAACATACGCTAGCTTATGAAGTCCAGATTTCCCCCTTGTATTGAACTTTGAGTGATTTGGAGGAAAGCCTTGAGAATCGGCATCCAGCATTTTAAAATAGATCTTATGTCTGTCCACTGGGCCAAAACGGTCAATGAGACAGTTCAGTAGTGCCTGAACAGTCGCTTTCATTCCAAGGTCAACTAAATTCGCAAGGACAAACTCTGCAGGTGTATTCCCCTGTGCAGTATGTAAGTCTCTAGCAATGTTGTTTGGCATATAGGCCAGCATAAGGGCACCTATCTCATCATATTTATTCTCTATTGCAATATGATATGGTGTCTTGCCTTCGTTGTCTCTCATGTGAGGAAGAGCATTCCTGTCCAACAGCTTTTGACACACACCTGCAGATACAGAACATTGTCAGTGAAAATATCTAAAGTAAAATTGGGATCACCTCATTATACCGACGCGTATTTTACCGAAACCCATTATACCGACGCGCATTATACCGAAACCCATTATACCGACGCGCATTGTGCCGAAAAGGCCTACCGATGCGCGTTGTACCGAAATCCGTGCCAGTGGGACGGCACATTGCCTTAACCTTTCAGTTTTATGACGTGCACTTCCGCGTGGGACTATATCTTTACAGCGGGAATTTCAAGTTTTTGTCAGTGTAGACATAAAAAGTTGCAGTCCTCAATACATGCATTTTCAATATTTTCATTTGAAACTCGCAAGAACGGTGCTTTGAATCTAGCTCTAAATTCTTTCAAAACATCATGTAGACACATGATCATGTACATGTATGACAGTGCACAGTAACATTATATAGGCATAGAATAATAAAAATGGAGCCTGAAAAGTCAAATATGATGCTATGTTGAAAAGCCAAGAGAAATTCTACTGTACCAGCATATAAAATAGATAGTTTATATATTACTATCATACACCTTGGTATGTATTTTTCATTGAACAGACAAGTCTTGAAAATTAAAAAATTCATTTTTATTTACTTCCACAATATTTTGACTTTAAACTTTTTAATATGAGACTGGACGTCAATCGGTTGTTTATATATTCATATTCAATTAAAAGCAAAAACATATTTTCAGATAAAGCTTAATTTAAAATCTTTGAACATCTTTACATCTCAGTTTCGGCCAGAATTTTTTTAACTGATGCTAGGCGTTTCGGATTGAGGGGTCGTCTCAACAAACTGAATTCCAGTTAACCATCAATTTCTGTATTTCATAGAGGATAAAGTTATAATTCTGTTATTTATGTTTGATTATGGTAAACCCTGTACTTCATAAAATATATTTACAGTGGGGAACATAAAGAATTACAAAAGCTATGAAAATTACATGCTGTCGCACATGTAATAAATTCTTACCTTAGTGTATTCAGTGCTCTATTTTCTCCGTCCTAGTAAGTCCAGATATAGTGGAATTTGTGTCCATAATGACAAATAAGAACTTTAAAATTTTAAGTGGATATTCACATGTTAATGCCGACTCTTCAAATGTCGAGGTGATTTTAGAGCCCGATTGCGCCGCAATGTGGATTGACTCCCAGATTGCAACATGACACGTGCCAGCTTTCAAAATGCCGATCCGCCATTTTGAAATCTGTCACGAGTAAATAAGGTTAACTGATGTTGCATTCTGGGAGTCAATCCTCTTTGGATCACAAACATGGCGATCCATGAAAACATTCGTTCGATTTGGTAGGGATTTATCCATCATTTGCATGTATGAAGCTTTGGATTCATTTATTGTGCTACTTAAAGTGAACGGGAATTATTTTTCTACCGCTTGGGAGAGTTTAAGACGCGAAACTTAGAATTTAGCTCATTGTGACAACTTTTGATGGTTGAGGTTTATTTTTGGTCCACACTTTAAACGTGGTAAATTCTGTATTCAATGAATTAAACATTTATTTATACTGTATTGTTTCATTGGTAGAAATAAACAATTGTGCCATTAAATATAAAGTTTCACATTTCTTATTGAACTTGATATTTTCGATCTTGTGCTGATGGGGCCAAAAATTGTTGTCATGAAGAGAGAGCAAGATATGTTGTCATGGAGATAGTAAGAAACGCATTCATTTGTTTTACTTTAAATCTTTCCAAATCCAAGTGTGATTTTTATCAATGTGTGCCTCAATGATACCATTAATTCTGAAGTTATTTCATTTTCTAACCATTTCACAAACATTTCTTTTCATATAATACTTCTAAATTGGCATCATTTCCATGTTTAAATTGCTTATATAGTTTTGGCTACTGATATTATCTCTATCATCAGTTTTCATTCCACAAACGAAATATCAATTATTTTGCCCAATATTTCAGTTTCATTATTTTGAAACATTGAATACATGTTTTAATTGGCAGTTTAAAATGGCGCTCATTAACTAAGTCCAATATTTAGCGCCCCTTTAATATCTATTTAGGGGCAAATCAATACTAGACTAAGCAGGTCATCTGATTCTCAATTTGATTTTGATTTGAATTGATTCTCAATTGGACCCATAGTGACTTTGCTCCACCGTTCTTGGTTCTTGGCTCTAATTGGTACAAAAATTAAGCTACCCACGAATGCTGTTTTTCCTCCGGGGCCTTGCCCTAACTAACGAAAACAATGGTGTGGACATTTCTGGATTATTTCCGGTGTTTTCTTTTGTTGCTACCTCATTTCTCAAAGTATCCATGCCAATTTCTTGACTCTGTTGAAAGCCCATGGTCCAATCAACCGTACCACCTTATCTTATGATGACCACACAAAATGATAGAGCGTGGGAACCGACTGTGCCAAATGTTACGGATATTGCAGCTATGTGTGTTGTGTTTTCAAGTGTTATTCTATATATGTCCAACAAATCGAATTATGGTTTTGATACTATCTAGTATAGTATCTATATGTCTCGTTCATTCATTTGACCAATAAAAATCATAACTGCCAGGAAAGTAATATGAATAAAGTAAATAAATGAATTAAAACGTCAAATTAAGAAGCAAAAGTCTTTTCTGGGTCACTGCGAATGGCATGATTTCCTCGAGTCTCTTCAGTTGCAAGGCAACCATACTGGGACCGATTCGCGTCGTTCCACTACTGCCCTTGGTGGGGGCCCGCTACCATACTATATGACTCCCGGAGTTTACTAAAGCACGTTAGTGGAGGAACCAACCACAGTCTCACAATCTGTCTCCGGCAAGAGCGGCCAGAGAACCAACCCATGCCAAGGGCCGGTAAACGGTTGGACCTTCGGACCGGGTGTCCGTAGTGACAATGATCAACAACTCCGTACCTGGGGCTCGAACGCGGGACCTCCGTATCCCACGACGTTCAACCGCAAAGTAGCCTCAGTCTACGCCACTAGGCTGCCCTGCTTAGGTGTCAAAACTGCTAAAAAATAATGTAGTTGTTACAATTATTTGCTTGGATAAACATGATATTACATTTCTTAATTGATTAATCTGATTTAGTTGGAATCGAAGTTCGACCAACGATCAAGGCAATGCAATCAACAACTCTTGCAAATGTGAACGGGAGTCGTAAAGACAGAAAGTACAAGAATCGTGATCAATGTAATAGAGTATAATATTTAAGACAGATCTTTGAATATTGGGTAGGAAAAACATTCCAAAATGAAGAAGAATCATTTAGAACATTTGATTTGTTGCCAATATATCAATTGCGTCTCAAATGACTGAAATAAAAGGTATAGCGGGACACTAAAGACTATGAGTGAAAACAATTATAATTGACGCATCCAGATCGCTCACTATAACGGTAAGTGAATAGGTTTGTGTAGATACGTCGAGGAAAATAAGCTATTTCGACGCTTGAAATAATCTGATTACGCTTTAATTACGCGTGGCTATAAACACAAGTGTTGTGTAGAACAAAAACAAGAAAACTGAACGACTTATTAAGGAACTGTACTTCAGTTTCAAAGTGTTCAAGATATTTCCGCATGTTCAAAAACACAAAATTTATATTTTAGGCTATCCATATTTTGAAATCTCGTTAAGGCGACGCTATATTAAATAAAAAGTACAAAAAATGACTGCCATATTTTTTTGATAAAGACACATGTTTTTAAAATCTGTTTACCTTGTATATGAATTGTGTATCTTGACTAATGAAACATGTCAAAGTTAACATCACACATAAACGCATTTTTCCAAACTATGAATTGGAGGTGCATGGATCCCCAAAGCTAGCATGAAGAGTGCGAAGTGAGGCTAATTTTGAAAGTTTCAAGGAGTAGCCTTGCAACAGTCACACATTTGCAAGAGTCTAAAATTTCCACAAATCATCTTACCTTTCCCAGGAACAACGAAGGAGCATGAAAATGTGCACTTCTTGCATTGTTAGAGTATAATAAAGCTCAAACCATTGTAAATTCTAAATATTTCATGTCCACATTTTTTGCCGGAACTACTTCTAGACTTCCTGATTAATCCTCATGCAAGTTTTGTGACTACACCAAGTGGCATGGATTATCACTTGTATGTTTTATCTATTACAGTGTAATTATCATGATAGATACATGATAGAGGCTTTATGAATGATAAACAATGGAAACATGAATGAAGATAACTCTGGACTAAAAAATAGTTCCAGGAAACAAAATGGTGGACATGAAATATTTAGAATTCACAATGGTTTGAGCTTTATTATACTCTAACAATGCAAGAAGTACACATTTTCGTGCTCCTTCGTTGTTCCTTGGTAAGATAAGACTATATCTAGAAATTTTGAATTCTTGCAAATGTGTGTCTGTTGCAAGGCTACTCCTTGAAACTTTCAGAAAATAGCCTCACTTCGCACTCTTCATGCTAGCTTTTTGGAGCCATACACCTCCAATTCATAGTTATGAAAAATGCGTTTAAATGTGAGGTTTTCTTTTATGTGTCTCTTTAGTCAGGAAATGCATTCACATACAAGGAAAACAGTATACAAAATCTTCTGACTTTATCAAAAAAATATGGCTCCCATGTTTTTGTACTTTTGATTAACTTAAATGTCACCTTAAGGTCTCGTTTTAATGAGATTTTAGGAGATCTGCATTTTTAATCACTAAAGACTAACATTTTCTTCTATTTGAATTATGCGTGTGATTTTCTATCAAAACAACTTAATTTTTGCACTGTTAATTACCTTTATTCAAATTCTAGAGATTTTCAAGTTTTCTAAAAATGGTCGGGCTAAATCCCCCTTGACAAAGTAACATACATTGGTAATATAACAGCAGGCTTTCGTCAATGTAACAAAAGCGAGGGGCTTAGTATATGAATTACACCTTCATTTACAAAACAAATTCCAAATCGAAGAAACTTATTAAAACTAGGCTATATTTTCTAGCTTTGGGCCAAATTATAATATGTAACTTGACTTATCAGTAGGTTTAAATCGAGAAAGCAAAAAATTCGTAACCAGGAAGTTCATCCATTTTTTTACATTGACGTTCCGTCAAAGTAACTAGTTGTGGAACAGTAACTGGCATTCGGTATAACGCCTTTCTGTACAATGCGCGTCGGTATAATGGGTTTCGGTATAATGCGCGTCGGTATAATGGGTTTCGGTATAATGCGCGGACCCCGTAAAATTCACATAAGTACATGTACAAGTTTGGCCATTATTTCCCAAAATGTGATTGTGTTGAGACACTATTTACAGTAAATCCCACTCGCACCATCTTTAAAATAAAATTTTTGTAAATTCAGAATTGCCATGTCGTCGATTGAAAATTATTGGATACACGCCTGACCATCGACAAGGTACAGTCACGTGACAGTGATAAAATATACCGTAGTACACTTTTGATGTACTATGTCATTTCCGCCATTTTAGATCGCCATTTTCTAGAATGAGGAAGCGAGGAAAGAACCAGCATTGATTTGATCAATATTGTGTCAGTTCATCATCGGGTAGTTGTTGCATTCGATTTGTAATTAAGTTGCAAATATGCATATCTACCTCAAATGATCCTCAGCAACTTCAATATCTTGTTATAGATCTACCCAGTACGTCAGGGATCTCTAAATCTTGACTGAATTTCGCAAAATTCTCTCTAATTTTTGTTTTGCTATGCAAATAACAGCCAAACTACGACTAACACAACTTAAGATAAGTATACAAATATACATCCAGAGTTAATGCAAAACCGCTTTTTACTTTGGATGCTACTACGAAAAATAGATAATGTATGTTGTCAACTCGAATGTATGTTGTCAAATTGGCCTTACAGATCTCAATTCACAATATAATAGGCATATCAGATATATTTACTCTTATATTTTGTCCGTTAATCCATAAAATTGTCATTGATATGATTACATTTCAATGTTACTATTTCTTTTTTTGTGTTCCATAACCTGGCTTTTGAACTTCTGCACTTTCCAGATATATAGAGTGTCCCAAAGCATCCCCCCAGGCAGACATATACCAATTTCTCTATAGTATGTGTCATACACACCGACTATTGTTTTGGTGTAAAACTGACTTTAATTTTGGCCAAACACTAACTTTTGAAATTCCTGTAACTTTTTTCCATTTGTGAGTTGAACCATGATACTCGGCAAATTAATGTAACTTTGGATGAGCTTTAAAATGATTATGACACATACATAAACTATGGAGACATTTGTATATGTCTGCCTAGGGGGCCCATACTTTTGGGACACCCTATAGCATAAATTTTGAAAGTCATCTTGGATTAGCTAGTATATCGCCATGAACTCCTTAAGATTATTAAAATTCATAAAAGTGCAACTAAACATAACGTAACGTACCGACGCCGAGTGGTCAAAGAGGTCGGAAGATAACACGCCATGGTCACATATTAATCACCATATTAACACTTTCGTAAAATAAAATAGCATTCAACGAAAAAATCACGTTTACCTGTTTATCTGTACTAGGGATACAGGAGCATGTTCGTTGAACATCATGTGTTACGCATAAAAACCTTAATGTATTTTGAAATTGAATCATTGCAATGTTTAATATTATAACTCATGAATTTCAATTACAGGGACAACATACACTGTGAGTTGACAACGTACATTTCTGATTTTTTAAATTATACCAAATGCATGAATATTTATTAAATCTTCACCCGTCTTAAACTGTGTAGTTTAGAGAAACACATTCTCATAAGAATATTCGACACTCTGAGACGTCAGGGGAGAAAATTATCAAAGGAAATGTGTAAAAAACAACATTTTTCCAACCGAACAATTGTATGGGTAGACTTACAACGAAAAAAATCGAGCACTGCTCGAAGATCTTTTAAGGTAATTAGAAAAATAAATGTCTTTGAAATCGAATACACGCGAAATCAAACATGAAATCCTTTATGTATTCCTCTAATTTATTTTTGAAAACCTGCATCAAACCTACATCATGAAAATCAGTTAATAGTGACATAGTACATCAAAAGTGTACTACGGCATATTTTGTCACTGTCACGTGACTGTACCTTGTCGATGGTTAGGCGTGGGATATAAGTGTAACATCTATTTATCTTGATCGTGTTAAAAATATAGCAAACATGATCACGTTTACATAATTTGTATACATGTATCTCCTTTATATAAAGGGCAATAAATATATACAGTGCGTATCAAAAAAACGCAACAGATTTTTATCTCGAAAATGCACAAAACCATTGATAACAGCATTGATTTCATTCAATGCACCATAAAGCCATGTGTCTCCTCTTTACAATGATATATCATTCATGGATATTTGGTCATGGTTGGGCGAATAATCATTCCATTTGCCAAGTCGGCCAAAATTAGCTTTTGACCAAGTTATAAACATCGCAAAACTCAGTGTACGGAGCCCGATGCAAAATTGGAACAAAACATAAAACCAATGCTGACTGCATCCCTTTCATTCAATGTACCAAAAAGCCAAATTACTCCTCTTTGCAATTAGAATATCATTCATTCACAGAGAGTCAAGGCTGGCCGAATAATCATTAATTTTGCAAAGTGGGGCAAAATTCAGCTCGGACCCAAGTTTTAAACATTGCGAAAGTCAGTACAAAGGGCATAGGGGTATTGGAAGAAGCTGTGATAGGTGTGGCATAGACAGTAAAGTATTCATACTCATACTCTTGCAAGAATACATCCTATACCCCTCCAAATTGCCACCACTTCCTTGCATATAAAGATGCGCTCATCTGTCCACGTCATGCATGGTTCAGCCCTGAGTCATCTGTGGGTTAAAGCAGAGAAAAGCAGCCCATGGGCAATTCTTTCTCGAGGTTTTGCAATGTCTGGTGGAGGAATTGTGAGCACAGATGCTCCTGAGATAGCTCCAAAAGAAAAAGTCACAACAATTCAAGTCAGGAGAACTTCCATTGGCACTTAGCCCTTGCACTGATTTTTGCAATATCTAAAACTTGGCCCAGAGTTGATTTTGATCCACTGTGCAAATGGAAGGATTTCTCACCCAACCATTACCACATGTGAATGAATGACATATCATTGCAAAGAGGAGAGGCGTGGCTTTATGGTACATCAAATGAAATTCATGTAGTCATCACTAGTTTTGGAATTTTACGAGATAACTACTTGTTGCGTTTTTTTGATACGCCCTGTACATACATACATACATCACACCTGTGAAAGTTATTCATTGCGAATGGTTATAAAACTGTGACAAATTGTTACAGAGTCACTGAATACCGATCCTGACAACTGAGGCCAGCTGCAATCCGCAAGACATTGGTCACAAATAAAGTGATAGCTTTTACATTATAAACAAGGCATTAACATGACAAAATGTCACCACATTGTAAGTAATTGGAAATTATTACGCCGAACGCCGACATCAGAACACCGAACACATCCACAAAAAAAGTTGGAGATTATAACAATATGTCACTACTTCTGGTGGTGATATAATAAATGGAATACTCCTAACCATTGGGAGCCACCTTGTAGTAAAGGCATTAATTATTTCATATAACTTGGTTCGGAGATTTATATTACATATCATTACCTGTGGGATTACACACAATGAGTTACCAAGAGATGTTATTGAAAACGTAGTCACATCTAGACAATAGTACAACCGATGTAATACATAACAGAAACGTTTCTGATCAGGTGTGATATTTACTTTGGTTTTGCATATTACATGTATGTCACCACCAGAAGTGATGACATTGTTATCATCTCCAACTTTTTTTGTGGACAGTGTTCGGCGGTTGGTATTCAGCGTTTGGTGGTTGGTGTTCGCTGATCGGTGTTTGGCATTCGGTGTCTGTAACAAATGGCAGGTGGTAACATTTTGCATGTTAAGTTCTAAGCTTATTATTGCATACCTGTTTTAAGTATTGATCAATGATCAATGTAATAATAGCTCAATAGAAAGTAAATCATCTAAAATGTACAATACCGGAGGGCTATGTACTGGAAGGTTAAAGATACAAGGTTTATCCCAATGGAAATATGTGTATTTCCCGAGGGACCACTTATGCAATACCTACCCTCAAATTTCTTCTGGGCAGCATAGTGGAGCACTGTCTTTCCATTCCTATCAGTGGCTGATGTGTTTGCGTTCCTATGTAGCAGCACATTTACGAAGGCCTCTACCTGCATAAATATACATAAGTAAGTACAGCAAAACATGTAAAGTGGAGCACCTGTGTAAGTGGAACACCTGTGCAAGTGGACCATTTCAGTAAGTAGAATACCTCCTTGTGGGATCCTTGAAGCAAGTATCATCCTTTGGAATAACTCACCAAAGCGTTTGATAAAGTGAGACTCTGATAAATCAAAATGGAATACTTAAGTAACTGGACCACTTTCAGGTCTTATGACTTAATGTTAGATAAACCTATTTACGTGAAAAACCTCTCAAGTGAAACATTTTTAAAGTTAACAAAGTTGTTCCACTTATACAGGTTCAACTGTATTCTCACATAGCTAGGCATGATATGTCACACTCCAGGCAATATATGGATAATTTAAGCACATGACTCAATGCATTGTGGATGATTTAATGCACTGATGTTTTGTACAGTATCCTTTGAACTTGGACTACCACCCTTATTCAAAGTCTGATAAAACATTCATGCTTGAAATCGTGAGTCCTAAACTGTAATCATGTATCACGTTCAAGTTGTCATATATCATACCTTAAGTGTATCATATGCATGTCGTTATTGCAGGCAGGAATATTAATATTCTAAGAATGTTTTCTGTCCATTAGTGATTACTAAACAGCAACAATCCACAAAAATATATAAGCATCATACGAACCACTACATGGACATGTTAATATTCATCCCCATTCCCCCTTTTCAATTTGATCGAAATGCATTAGTTTAGATGATCGTCCATTAGATCTCAGGTGTGTATCTAGTTGTTTGACTTAAAGGTGCTTTATAGGATTGATTCAATATCAAATGGTGGACAGTAGAAAAACCCGAATGGGTCAGGCTCGTAGCCAGAGGGGGAGCTGGGGGAGCGGAAGCTCCCCCCCCCCTGGCCAGAAATTCTTTCAAAATCATGCAGTTTTTCACCATTCTGAGAATTTTTCGCATGATTTTTAGCCAAAATTGTGAAAAAGCTCCCCCCCCTGGAAAAAAGCTCCCCCCCCTGGTAAAAGCTGGCTACGGGCAAGTGGGTAATTACCATCCTTGGTCCAAGGGTATTTCACTTCTTTTCATTGAATTTAGTAATAAAGGAGGTCCTTTGAATTACACAATGATTTGTACTTCAAATCTAATTCTCTTTATATATACGAGTATATATCGGGTGTTCAGAAACACTTGGCTATTTTATGGAAAATATTCAATTAATTTGAGTCATGAATTGCTGAGAAAATACTAAGTGTGACGTTTTTTGGGAGACCCGATATATTGGAATAAAAAAATATTTATACTTCATTTACTTTAATTATCCAACATAAATAAAAATTATTATGTACGAATTATTTTTTAAATAGAGTATAGTTTACCTTTGGTTGTACAATCATCTCAGATACGACATACAGCAGAGCCTCATCCAGTCCTCCTCTTTTAGCAACAATCATATCAATCACAACCTCAATCTCAGCCTCTTGTTTACCAATGAAATGCTTCTGTGTCTTTGCTGCAATTGCATGGAGGGTTGAATCCTTCTTCAAATCCTGGAGTATGTCATTTGCCAGAGTTCCAAAATCATTAGCAACCAAATTAACTGGTATATCATGTACGTCGGTGATAGTAGCTGCATTTAGCGCATAGAACTGATTCGGGTACATTTCATGAAGATCGGAATCTGTACGTCTGCGGAAATCACCACGCGATCGACGTTTCTCTGTCGTCTCATTGCCATTGTTTCTGAAAGCACACACAGACATACCGTACTGCGTTTGAAGTCTAACTTCCATTATTCATTAAGTGAATATAATCCTTGCACTTTTTTACAATAATCGTGTTATATATTACTAAATACAAATACACAATTAATGCACTGAGATGTCTTTGGAATGAAATCTCCAGCCACTTTTAGGATCTGACGAAATGTTAATATTGTTCCTTCCATAACGAGAACAATTCACTGAATTTATTATTTTTCATATAATAATGAAAACTGATGATTATTACTCGATGCCACAACATCTTTGACTACTGTAATAACACAGAATTCCAATCTTGGCTTGACAGTATCTCATAAATTAGCCAACAGAGGCTCAATATGAATGCAGATTCCCAGAATACACGATTACACGTGACAACACCTTAAGGTGATCAACTTCAAGGAATTGATTTTTTGTGATCTTGTTTTAACATGCAGATGTCTGATTCTGTTGCAATTATCTACATAGAGCATCTACAGTTTGCTCCAGGGATAATCACATTAATGTTTCCTTTTATCAAATGTAACTATATGCACTGGCGGATCCAGAAGCTAACAGGGGGGGGGGCACATTTCAAGTCAGGAAAAAATGTTGAGTCCCCTTAAAACCAAAATTCAGGCCCAAATTTTGAAAACTTTAGGCAAATTTTTGATGATGAGATAAGTTTGATAGTTATGCCTACAATCACCCATTTTTGAGACCCGACAAAATTTCTAGGCCCATCCTACTGGTCGGGCTCCATGCCCCCCCCTGGATCCGCAAGTGCCATGGGTTCTATGAAAGTCAAGGATGTAACCATGAAAGCATTGATCTTTATATGATTCTTGATGCTTTACATCCCTAAGTGCATACACGACAAAATAAGCAAATTAAAAAACCTTGGAATTGATAGATATGGGGTGCTGTCTGCAATAATATTTGTCTGCTTTCTATTTAAATGAATGGAATGAAAATGCATTTGAGATTGTTAAGATGCCATGAACATCAAAACTGTAATATTATGGTGGTATTTTCTAACCAATAGGGTTAAGCACAGTGTTAAGGGGTGTCTATATTATGACATACATAATAAATCATTAGGTCCATGCAGAATTCATGAAATTGTGTTTTGGTTAAACTATGAGTACTGGTCCTTAGGATAAATGATGGCCGAGCTCCCTGGCCCGAGATTATTCTCCTAAGAACCAGTACGAATGGTTTATTTAGCTTAAACTCCTCACTGACTCTTATGAAGGGTAAATGGTCCATGATCCAATTATAGAAACTTGATTTAGTGAAAAGGGGGTAATTAGTTCAGATATAGTGTACTGCATGTGACAGTCCATTGTCCTTTGTGGCACACTGGTTTTTGATAGCTTGCAAGTCAATTCCTTGTTCCATCGAAAGAGAATGCACTCTTCTTTGTTATCACTGTCCATTCTTTAAAATGGTCTACAGTTCATTCTGTTGGTTGCACCGTTGTACGGCATTTAGAGATTCAGACAATAATACAGGGTGGTCAAAAAAAATGGAAACCCTGTCACCATTTTCCTCACATCTTTGTCATTTTAGGAAATTACTCCCTGATATTTAGCACATTCGTACATCATTCAATTTTCTACCAACCTACCATATTTCATGACTATCAAATTGATAGTCACAATGTTACAGCACTTTAAACAACATGCTCCAGTGGCCAATATTGCACTTTCGGCAAACCTGCACCTATCATCCAAAATGTCCCTACCTAACTTCAACCTGTGGCGATACACCAAAAAAGAGTGTACGAGAATAACCCCAGGACAACTGCAGACCTCATAAAGCAGATCATCCATGTTATTCAGGCCATACCTGCTGAAAAATGTAGTCAGATCATTGACAACCTGTTCAGATTTGCCAATAGCGCGATGGTGGCCACACTGAGGCATCTTGTTCAAAGTGCTGTACCATTGTGACTATCAATCTGATGGTCATGAAATATGGTTAGCTGGTAGGAAATTGAATGTTGTACATATGTGTTAAATTTCAGGAAATAATTACCCAAAATGACAAAGATATGAGAAAAATGCAGGGTTTCCATTTTTTTTGACCACCCTGTATGAGTGCCAATAAAATATCTAGAAATGCAACGGGACAAGTGTTCACATTTTGTGTTCTATTCAGATACATTATCGGTGTCCACTTACTCTTATTTTACTGTAAATTGTAAAACATGGGTGTATAATTCACAATTTCCTTTTAATGTCATCATTTATAGTGGAGAATACACATTATATTCTCAATTTTCATTTTCTATATCCTGGATAAGTTTCCCATAAAGCAGTTAATGTTACATTATTCTGTCTCTAACAAAGTAAAATCATACATTGGAGATAATTCATGGAACTAATATTGTGTTTGTTTACTTAATTATACTTATCCAAACACAAGTGCAAGCCATGAATCTCTTGTCTTCAATTCAAATGGAATTTGAGTATCAGATTTATAATTAGTTAAACCAGTCATTCGGTGCCAATAAAAATGACAGTCCAGTAGGGATATGAGATATTAAATATGAACTCCAAATACAAAATTGCAAATTAATTTGCCAATAAGCACTACTGTAAGTGACATGTACAGGGTGGGCCAATGAAAATGGCCCGTTTCAGTAATTATTACATGTACATGTATATATAATGTACATATGAGGGGTGATTATAAATTTCTCATGATTTTTTTTACATTTTTTGGCAAAGAATGTGCAATTATGTCAGAGGACTATTTCATCTAAGAAAAATAAAAGACATTTACTTTCAGGGAAATATTTGATTAGAAATGGTTGTCATGGTAACCACAACGCTGTGGACCTAGGGCATGTTTAAATACATGATAAGCTATCAAATAAGCTATCAAGCACAATTAGACTTTATGATCATTCCTCATTACATTATAATTACATGTAATAGCTTTTTAGTATCTGTGCAATCACTCTTATATTTTTCAATATCTCACGAGAAAACCACCTGTTAGGCACAGAAAGGTCATCTTGAACTCTTCAAAAATGAAAAATTCTCGGGTTTCTAACATATTTTAGAGCACGGAATTCAAGAGTTTAATTGTGATAGAAAACAAATTTTGGATCAAGCCTCTGGATTGTCCCATCTTCTTGTACTTCTTTCATAGCCGTCCTTTCACAAACCAAACTTCTAAACTGTTGTACTTACTGTTCGTCCAATGTTTCACTGCTATTTGGTCCATTTTCCACATATTTGGATCTGGTAATTATATTCTGTAGTTTCTTATCCATAATGTCAACAGAAACAGATCTGTCTTGTCAATGAGCCTTAAACTTCATGATTTGCATTTTATGTACAGAGATTCTTCATTCTGTAAAAAAATTAAAATTAAAGTTTAGCAAAGTCTACTTTTTTATAAATAACAATATAAAAATAGTAGTGTCACTAAATTTTCTTTAAATACCTCAACATTTTTTTCATTCAATGAAAAACAGAAACACAATTGAAACCTCCTTTAGTTTTGTTGTTTTGCAAGCTCATGTGGTTAACAAGCTTTCCAATTTCCACTCATTTTTTATCTTTCAAAACTTCACAACTATGAGTTCTTAGTTCAATCTCATGCAGGCCTCATCTCAATTTTATTTATAACTGAATTCTGAGAACAATTTCCATTTTTCCTTTTATTTGAGATGTTTTAATTTTAAGTACTTCTTTCAGGAACCTTTATGTATCTTGTTCATTTGATAAATTAAAACAATTTGGTAATTCTATTAAGCCTTGTAGTTATAACTTGCTTTATACTATAATTCTATCCGTTATGTTGTTTTGGAAACAAGGATCTATAGTGTTACTATATATTATGATTGTAAGTTTAAACTTTGATGAAATTACAGGATCTCAATGTTAATAAGTGACTCGATCAGAGTGCCCCAAGAGACAGTGATTGCCATCAGCGAGAGTTGTAACAAGGCCTATCTAATTTGTAATAATAATCAGAAATATCATATGAAAATATAATCTCATTATCATTGTTAATAACTACAATGAAACCTGTAGAACACCGCTATAAGTTGAACACCTCCATTCGTGGAACACTTCAAAGTCCCAAGATCAACTGACTTAACGTTAAATGGAACACCTCCCCAGAGGAACATATTTTAGAGGTACAAAAGGTTTTCTACTTAGACAGGTTTTACTGTTCTCTTTATTGTTTATTATTAGACATTCACCTCCTCCCTGGGGACTTCTTTCAGTATTATTACTTTATTAGTATGGCATGTGATGAACTCTTTGTAATAAGTGAGAAAATAAACGTTTCGTTATTGCATGTTTTTTAACATCAATAACCTTTTTCAACTCATATATTTTACAGTATTTTGTATTTTGTTTATCACAATATTTTTAATCACTGACCTGAAATCAGTTGTATTGTATTGTATTGTATTGTAATGTAATGAAATGTATTGTGTTAAATCATATTGTACAACATTGTATTGTAATGTATTGAATTGTATTGTATTGAATTTTTTGTATTGTATTGTAATGAGTTATATTGGATTAATTGTTTTGTATTACATTCTATTGAATTGTAATGAATTATATTGTACTGTATTACATTGTATCCTTTATAACCATCATTAAACCCCTTCTCATTTTTTCCTCAAATGCCCTCAACTTGTAGATGATAGAATCCAACTGCTTATAGATCTCCATATAACTGGTTGTTTAGAAAGATTCTTGTATGCTAACTCTGTTAGCAAAGTAAATATGCTTTTACATGGTAACACTGAACTAAGTAATGAAGATAATATAAAGCATATAATATGAAAGCAACTTTGAAATTCTTAAAAAGCAACCAAGATTGACTAACATGTGTATTACACCACACCGGAATTTACCCCTCTGCACACTGTTTTTGTGAAGCATTCTAATATCAGCCTTGATTGTGTTTTCCTTTTATTTACATATGAACAGTTATGAATAATTGTAACATATTTGTATTTGTTTTGCATACTAGTACTAGTATATGGTATAATTACTTTGAAGTTCAACAGAAATGTTAAATTGATTACTTTGTTGAACTTCCATTGTATGATATTAAATGTTATAATATATGACCTTGAAATAAAAATGATTTATAAAAAAAACAAAAAACATCATTGGTGTTTTTATAATGTTACCACAAATAATAAAGTGAGTGAATGAGTAAATTAATACTCTGAGTATATGGTGAATAATTGCTTCTTTTGCTTCTAAATTATTGCTTCATATTCATCATTTTTAAGTTTGAAACATAGGCTTAATATCATTTCCACCCATTCCAATCAGATTCCAAATGGTCTCTCTCATTTCATCATCTATGGAATTGCAGAAGAGAAGATTTCACAATAATATGAAGTATAATATATATACGAGGGTTGATCATAAAGTTCTCATAATATCTTTCTAATTTCTTTATTTTTAAATATATTCTAATGAAATTTTGACAGAATGTGCAGCATAGAATGTCTTATTAATTCAGCAAAAAATATTTAGTTTAACAGAAATATTAAATAAGAAATGGTTGCCATAGTAACCGGAAATCAAGGTACCCGGGGCAAACATGTTAAAATGTTCACTTGAATATGTTGTTAAGTGCTTTAACAATTAAATAAAATGATCATGTAAATTGTGTGATGTCATAGGGGATGCTTTCATGCTTCATTAGATGTGATACCAGAGTCTGAGACTCAAAGCTAATGATCAGAAATGACTGAGTAAGAGAATGCAATAGATACAGAGATCTTCAGAAAAATAAAATTCATACTGATAAAATGTAATGTTAAGTTTGTAAGATCCTTTGGTCAGACTAAACATGATCTAAAACAAATATATTGCTCAGATATCAGCAAAATTACACCCTGTGTGTGGTCTATACATGTTAAAAATTATCTAAAGGGGCAAAATCAATTTTCCTCAGGATATTTGACAAAACAGTCATGGGGCCTAGCAGTCACTTCTAATGAAGCATAACAATCATCCATTATGAGATCACACAATTCACATGACCATTATAATAGTTCACAACAGTCAGGAGCACATATTATTTGACAATTTAATGTGTTTGATAGCTTATTTGACAACGTATTATGTATTTAAACATGATTAAAGGGGGCTATTCTAGCTAGCCTAGTTTTTTTTATTTGCCCCGGATGCCTTGATTTCAAGTTACTATGGCAACCATATCTTATTTATTGTTTCCTTTATTTTAAATATTTTTGGCTGGATTAATAAAACATTCTATGCTGCACATTCTGTGAAAATTTCATAGGGAAATATTGAAAAATAAAAAAGATAAAGAGATATTATGAGAACTTTATGATCAACCCTCGTATATATTCTCCATTTGACCATTCTAATGAATTATAATAATTTCAAAAGTTGTCACAAAACTATTTGCATTAACTTATGGGCATTATTAACTTATGGGCATTATGTATACCATATGTATATATTGACATGTTTTTTTTAATTTCAATTGATTGTTTAAAACATAATTTTTGAACAAAAGTTCAGGAAATGAAACTAAATATTGTAAAATAACAATGCAATCTAAATCAAAAAGTTCAAAGAGAGTACATACCTCACTATATAGGGTAGAAAAATCACCTTCTGCATGTATTGAAAATCACATCTATCTTTAACTACATGTACATGTAAATATAACATTGTCACTTGTCACGGTCTAGCTGTCAACTCCAGCCAAATAGCATGCACTGTCAGCAAGTACAATATAACAGCATGACAAAATTAATATTATTATCCTCTTACTGATAAATGACTACAATAACATAAATAAGTGAAATACTGTACTGCAAAGTATAATATAAGGATCTATCATTTGCTCTTGAGGGCCTGTCCTTCTCAGAATAGAATACTGGTAAAGGAATATGTATCTCTTGGACTTGTAAAAGTTATACTTCTGATTTTTATAAAATTATTTAAATTATTTATTCAAAATCAAATCATTACAAGTCATTAACGTGCAAAATTTCACGACCTGCCATTTGTAGCAGACACCGACTACTGAATGCCAACCGCCATACACCACCCACAAAAAGTTTGAGACAATAACAATATGTCAACACATGTGTTGGTGACATGAAAAAGATAGGTTTGAAAAAAGTTTGCCTATTATTGCTCACTCAATGGTCTGCCCCTATCCATTAAAGCTAAATAGAACAACATGCAATGGAAGCAATCTGCTACATAAACAGTTCTCTGCACACTGGAAAAATATTTTCAGTTCCTACTGGTTAAAGCCAAAGAGTAAATATTACAAAACAGCTGGACAAAGTCGATATGTTTTATAAGTTATAATTATCTGTCAGCTATACCTCTATTTAATCAAATACATCCACGTGTACTATTGCGATGTTATTGCACATTTTCACTCTGTAATTGATTGAACACAGATCTCATGACATAAAACCCGGTGATTTCGCTCATGATGTTCACTGCTGATTTGCAGAAATCTGAGCCTTAAATTTGTTTTAAAAAACTCTCAGGGATGTGGCACTCTCGGTGTAGATATTTCAGCCTTGTTTTAAAAAGTTGATATTTTCAACACTTTATTTTGAATATTTTTCATTCTATCCTATGAATTACATATGTCACTTACATAAGTACTAAAAAAGGTTCAAAAGCATTACCTGAAGATGAAATAAGGTAAGTCTTATGAATATTAGTGTGTCCTTCCAATATTCAACAAAAATGTGCAACATGATATAGTCATTTTTGTCTAGACAATTGTGGAATGTGGAATGAAGTAACAGGGAAGTAAAATTGTGTAATCTGAGAAATAGTGGATTGAAAGCAAATACAGTAACAAAAAAAACATTTTTAGGTTCAGATAATTTGGATTTTTTCAAATATGTAAAAGAAATATAAAAAGAGAACATTTTAGTAAATACTTCTTATCTTTCAAATGAGTAAAGGAGTGGTATCGATATGGTGAACTTTTCGAACACGCGTCTCTCTTAAACTAGTCATCAAAACATTCTGAAAATTTTACACATTGTCAATTTAATTTAAGAGAAAAACATTGTTGAATTCAGTTCACCATATCCATACCTATCCTTTCTGGGAGTCACAACTATAACATGCTATATTGTGTGTTACAATAATGCAATTTCTTTATTACATTATAAATACAATAAAATATGATCTCTGTATATAAACTGTACAAGAATACAATAACTAATGTTACAAAGGTTATGAAAGACACTGTGGAAAAACTGCGATCCAGTTCAGAAACAGTATTGTAAAATTACACAAAATTTTGCGGCAGTTTGATTAGATTTATTTACTATACAATATTGCTTACTTCTGTATATTACAACTGTCTTGTGAAAACAATAATACAACAATCGTTAAATTTTGCAAGTTCAAAGTAGAAATAACAAAACTCTCTCTTGATAAAATAAATCATTCAGATTTGTTGATTTTCTTGCACCACGCAACAAATGATCCCCTTCCATGCATTTTATCCTTTTTACAGGCGTAAAAATGGCTCGAGACAAAGTATAATTAATCCAATACAAAACAAAGAATTACAGGCACAATGTCACCACCTGTCATTTGTTACAAACATCGACCACCGAACACCAACCACAAAAATAGGTGGAGACTATAACAATATGCCACTGGTGGTGGCATGATGAAAGACTTAAAAGATGTACATGTGTATAAAATCAAATATTGCATTCTATCAAATATCAGTGAATACACATGTTAATTTGGACGTTGTGTACTTAAAGGAATATTCCTTGCCAGACCCTTTCTCTCTTGATATGGTAGCTATAATCATATATATAGTTTCCATATTTAGCAAAACATGGGAAAATGTTTTAATATGGTCAATATTGATCATTTAAAAATCTAGTGCTTATTTCCAGTGAGCTGCCATCTTTTAAGATTTCTTGCAGGAAGTGATGTCATCAACTCTCAACTTCTATAACCTTGCCCATAACAGTATAGGAAAGTAGCACAAAATCACTTCTAGACAAGTGATAATTACTTTCTGTGCAAAAATATTTTCAGGGCCTGTCAACTTAGAATAAAAGAAGAGATTTTCAGAAGGATTAAATAAGATACAAAGTTGAAAAAGAATATTTAGCTGGTTTTGTAATTCTTAATAGCTCCTCACCTAATGCTATATGCAAAGTTGAGAGTCGATGACATCACTTCCTGTGGGAAATTTTAAAAGATGGCAGCTTACTGGAATTGAGCATCACATTTCTAAGTGATTAAATTTGACCAAATCAAACAATTTTTGCGTGTTTTGATAAACATGGCAAGCATATATATGGTTATAGCTACCATATGAGGAGAGAGATGGTTTGGCAAAGAATATTCCTTTAAGCTTAATTTGTTATTCACTGGTATGTTTCTCAACTATGCAATGACCTTTGAATATTGATAACAAAAAATGGATAAAAATTCCCTAGTATTAGTCTGAATATGAGGCTACTTGAAAATAAACATTCCATACACTCACTTTTAATAATGAGTTCTAGGCAACAAAATAATGGGAAACATTTCAATTCTATTATCAAATACAAATAATCCAAGCAATCAAACGAAACTCTGATTTGCTCCAAATAAGCAACTGAACTAGCTTTGAAAAAACTCAATGTTTTGGTTAATCTTATCAGTGACTAAATAGATTACATATGTCCTTTATTCATATCATAAATCATATAATAACTGAATAATACTGAGCCTGCTTCTTGAGACAGTAATGGAGTTTAAACTTAACAATTAACAAATGCTGAATCAAGATTGATCCTTGTACATGTATGTATATGGATATATTATCAATTAATATATTACATATATATTGATAGATATCAATAATAAAAAGAACAACATGTTACATAACTAGTAAAACTGCACCTTTGTACTTTTAACATTGCAGGCATGGCAGACTGAGAATTGAGCCAAGGATTTCATACACAGCACTACACAAATATAATGCAAGGCATTAACATGCAAAATAACACCACCTGCCATTTGTTACATATGCTGACTACTGAATGCACATCGCCAATCACCATCCACAAAAAAGTCGAACTACAACATGTCACCACTACTGGTGATGACGTTAAAATAGTTATAACTAATAACTACAGTAGAACCTGTCCAATAGAAAACCTCTGAGTCTCTATGGAACATTAACTCACTAACTTACGCATAATGTACTCTATGTAGAGGACACCATTATAAGAAACAGTACAGGGAGTGTTCTCTAAACAGCTAAAACAGGTTTTACTGTACAACACTCTTGTTACTTTAACGCTCTGCTACATTACAACATTGTTGTTATTGCAACCAAAACTGAACTAGAATTTCTGTTTCAAATATTAGTCTATATTATTCGGGGGCTTGTCGCATTTTAAACTGCAATTGTAAATACATTTATAAAAACACTAGTCTTAGAAAAGTAATGTAAAATATCAGCTGTAAAAATTTTAAATTACAAAGTTCTCCGTATATACAACAGTACAATGTTATATCATAAAGGGTGGACATCATATTTTCTTATCAGCCCATAGTACAGGATTTCATTTTCTGTGCTTTTATTAACTTTAATATATTACTGATATACAGGGTGATATAAAAATGGATCTATTTTTTGAATAATGGAATATTTGTAAAATTTTGTTGAATATATGAAACAGTGAATACAATGATTGCATCGACAGTTTCACAATTTAAAGAATGTTCCATTCATGTAATCACTCAAAAATACTTGCATAGAAATCTTATAAGCAAGTCATTTCATCAATTCATGCTTATTCCATAAAAATGGGCAAGTAAGATACCTTTTAATGAGCCAAAAATGACTCCAGAAATCCAAAATTCAGAAAATTGCATTCCTTTAACATTTTTGGATGAATTAACATCTAGAAAATGTTATATTTCTAAATCCCATTGAAGTTTTGTACCGATATGTATATCGATGTTTACACATTGAACACTTTATCAACACAAGAAAGTTAACAATTTTTGTTCATAAATTAGAGTCATCCCCAAAAGGCGAGGGTCAAGCTGTTCTTGTATTTACAACTTTCTCCAGAATGCCACAAATGCATCCTTCAACTAACCTGACCTTTATTTGCATTAGTCCCTGCAGTGTATACACTGTTTTACGACATATTTTGCAGATAGGTTGCCAACCCTCAAATATGGTTGTTGAGCCACAAAACACAACTGATACATGTAAACATTTTATCATGGCTCTCAAGTGCTTTATAATTGGTCTGATGCAAACTGATCAGTTAAAGATAGATGGCAGTGTGTTCACTTATGAAGTCAATGTATTATTTAACAGAACTGCACATTCCCTCTATTAACAACCAACAACATGACATATAAAATAGAAACAGAATTGCATCAACTGTCTGATCTGATGTTAGTTTCATTCATTCAGAACAACAATGTTCCAATTTTCCACCAAGATGCTGGGATAGAATATTGGAATCGATCCATTTTCGACCAATGATCACTTGATATGTTGGAAACAGCGAAACTGACTTGATGTCAGTGCTCAGCTCCTAACCATACTATTGCTGGTGATCTCCCCTCTGAGTAAAGCTTCCTGTACCCTTGACAAGAGGAATTGTTTATCACGTCCCTCTAGGGCTAACTGTTCACTCAATAACTGTACGTAATGTTTGTGGCCTACAGACACAGCATAGTAGTAGTACAGGAGCAGCCTAAAGAAAAAGGTTATAATCATTTTATTAAATTCCATTATCAATAATTTGAATGTAATGTCAGGGTGCTCAACAGGCTTTTTACAGACAAAGGCCAATTTCAAAAATTTCCATCAAAGTCACATAAAATTCTGCATTCAAACTCAAAATGCTTATATTTATGTGTATATTGTGCAAAAAATTGTGAAATCAACTGAATCGAAAAAAATTGAGGATTTGAACCTACAATTTTAAACTTACCCAAGTACAATTACGAAGGGGATATAGAATCCAGGTGAACCAAGGAATGTAAATATTTGTTGTGGCAAACCAGGCCAGGAGTTGACGAGGTCACCTATTGTAGACCACATCGTATAGCTTTCTGAGCTATGGATCCTAAAGGGGCTGCAGCCTTTAGAAGGCTTAATGCTGAAAATGCAATCATTGTGTGTGACTGATAATCGCAGAGTCATTAGATTTTAAAGCTATCAAATGTTTAATGATTTTGGTTTCATTTTGGTTGTTTTTTGTTTTTATTAAAATATTTGTAGTTTCTCTTATGATTAATTTGCTTGTTTCTTTTTTTACATGCATATTTTTTAGCATATGATTTTTGTTGAGTTATTACATTCTTATAAAGCAAGGTGTTTAGTATGTGTTGAAACCCACATAGCTGTAGCACAACTTAGTCAGAGTAAGGTATACTTACATAGCTATAACGTAACCTATGGGTACACAGCAGAGGGCAAATGACACCAACAAGATCACCATGAAGAAGAAATTAGCTTTAGAAGCCCTATAGGGTCGTTGGGAGGGCACACAGCTCTTCAATAGTGTGAACTAAAATGTATAAAATTTCATAAAATATTTGCTAAACAAGACCAATGTCCAACTTAAGGGATAATAGCAATCTTAAGGAAAACTCTAGATATCATAGATGTTCAGAAAATAATATATGTTGGAAAATTAGCATATTTTGGCACCAGGTTTTGGAGTTGTTAGTCAAAATAGACAAATTTTATCATTTTCATTGTGAATATTGTTATACCTTTTTCATGAAGCAAAATGTTATACCTTTTTCATGCTGTAAAATGTTATACCATTTTCATATTGCAAAATGTTATACCCTTTTCATGTTGCAAAATGTTATACCTTTTTATGTAGCATATTGTTATACCTTTTTCATGCAGCAAAATGTTATACCATTTTCATTTAGCAAAATGTTATACCTTTTTCACGGAGCAAAATGTTATACCTTTTTCATGTAGAATAGCAGGAAGAACTTAACAAATGTCATTGCCGGGATGAAAGGACTGAAGAATGCACCTAGCCTACAAACATATAACATTCAGTTTGCACAACAAATACTGGACTAAAGCCATGCTAAAATCTATAATAAAAATGGCACCATCTGGCGCCAGTGGGCTCACATGGTGAAAAAGCTGATTTGTCAGAAATAACGCTAAGTCACCATTCTGAGCACTTTTTAAGTGATTTTGGCCATTTTTGGACCAAAATTGTCACAAAGTGAACCCCCCTTGGCAAATCCTGGCTACGGGCCTGATGGATGAATGGATGGATAGGGGGTGAGAGAGATGGATGAATGGATGGATGGGGAGAGAGGGATCGAGAGAGGGATGGACAGAGAGACGGTTGGGTGGTTGGATTTTGGATGGATGGGCAGACTGACAGAAGGACGGGCAAGTGGGTGGTAACACAGGTTCACCATGTGAACCAGCAAACAATAGTTAATAGCCTAAATGGGATGTAAAAATCTTGACAACATCGAGAGATTTCAATACACAGTAGTACTTATTAAGCATTAACATTTCTATTTACTTTAACACAGGGTGTTCCAAAAGTAACAGGACTGGTGCTGGCATTTTGTTAATTTTGCATTGAGTATCTTCAAATTTGCACAAATTGTACTTTGAAATATTGCAACTTAAATTATTAAGTTTTAGAAAAAATGATGAAATGCGGTTAGAGCTATGGTTACTATAGTAACATGACATTCCAATACCCGGGGCAACTTTTTTTCCTGAAAATGTGATTAATGACTGAAGAAAGTATCTAATTCACCTATTATAATACAACACTTCTTATTTATTTTATTAGTTCCTTTGTTGTAAAGGTGTTGCTATACAACTCAGATTCAGGTATAATTTCATAATGATAATACTATTTATTCAATTTCCTGGAATATCACTATGTATAACAGTCTGAACAATTCACAGTTGAGTTTTTGAAAAGACCCTATTTCAAGCCAGTCATCTACCTTGATAGCGTGCCTGCCCGCAGGTCACCATTAAAGACCATGTAGCTATAGAGGAGCTAGGTCTTGAGGTCTAAAACCATGCACCATACTCTGATCATGCAATATCTAAATTTTACTAATATTGAGAACAGAATGCTAATCAGTGCTGTAAGACCTTTAAAGATGAGAATGACCTTCTCCAAATTGTCCAATCGACCCTGCGTGACATGTCCTCAAATGGCTTCACTCATGTGTTTGGGTCATGGATACAGAGTACTACTCCTGTACTGACCAAAGAGGAGCCTATTTTTCAAAGTAGAGGATACATAGGAATATCAAAAGATGTAAAACAAATGTAATTCCCACCAGTTGTTGCATTTCAACTTTGATATGGCATGTACAAAATGATATGGCATGTACAAAATGCTTAATGTCTCTGTAACCTTTTGCGTGGAATTTTCCCCCGGGTATTGTGATGTCATGTTAATATGGCAACCATAACTTTTCCCGAGTTTCATATATTTTGTCGAAACTTTGCAGTCTTGGTAACAATACGTAAAAGTACATTATGTAAAATTTTGAAGACGATTGGTGCATATTTGACAAAATGCCAGCACCAGTCCTGTTACTTTTGGAACACCCTGTACACCTATTCTAGTCGCATTTATTGCGCATATAGTGATGAGTAATTCATGCTAAATACGCTGAATTAATATTTGTAAATACAGTAGGATATAAATAAGCTCTGCAAAAAGTCTAATCGTATAAAATAATAAAAAATAACATATACAATACTGCTACACACAATCTAAGCTTACCCCTCTATAATAATCAAGTCATACAATATGAACTAGTAAATAGGAACCATGGAAAAAGGGGTGTCAACTTACCAGCATAATACTTGGGAATAGACTACATCTAAAACACATTTGGAAATCTGAAACTCTGGTGGGCCTACCCATTGAACTAGTTTCACATTGACAAAGTACTTCACTAAAAGCCTGGAAACAGAAGAATGATATCTCTATAAAAATGTGTAAATGTTTATTGTTTAATCTTTCTTTATACTTTTCATGTAGCAATTGAGCAGCCAATATTCTTGGTAAATAAATAATAACTTGAGGCATTAACATGCAAAACGTCACCACCTACCATTTGTTACAAACACTGACTGCTGAACACCAAACACCAACCACAATCTGCCGAACACTGTCCACAAAAAATTTTTGAGACTTATAACAATTTGTCACCACTTCACTTGTAGAGGTGACATAAAAATGGTTAGCATTTCCTGCTAAGCTGTTTCAAAGGTCCACTTGGTATTAACCATTTATTTTTCACAGCTGTAAAAATGAACCTATAAAATATTATATATGTGACAGGGGCTACTATGACTTACTTTCTTGGAAGTTCGTAGAGGAATGTTGAAGCAAAGTTGACTAAGAAATCCAGCAACGCTAACTTATACAGCTGCTGTCCTACATATGTCTCCCAACACTGAAATTAGATGAATGACATGAATGAAAATAACATTGGGGCAGTGGTAGAATTCAAACTGACGTCAATGTACATATTTCACATCAAGGGAACCATTTCAATTAAGGGAACAATGAATACTCGACATTCAATCAGGTGTACAGTGGTACTTCTACAAATTCATTTACAATAAAACCTAAATATCCAAAGACCTCTCTAATCTGAATAATATCAATATGAACACGTTTTGGTCCCATTTTTTAATCTGCCATAGACTTACAGGTTAAAAGAACTCAAAATGAGAACCCCTTCTATTCTGAATACTTGTGGCTTGTCCCAGTGCCAATTGGATTAGACAAGATTTACTATATTTAAAATCAGTCATTATGTTATTTACAATATCATGATAATCAGTACTCAATAGTCTGACCAACCAAATGGCTTAGATATGTGCAGAATTAAGAGTGCCGAACTCAGTAAATGATTATTATATGTGCTGTATGTACGACCTTCGTGGAATCTGGTGAATAATACCAGAAGAGTACATAAACCTAAGAATCTTTGTTCTACATTTTTGTTCACCAAATATTTCTATGGTTGCGACTTAAAACGTTTTTGTAGCTAAGAATGTTCTGATAATGTATCAAAGCCACTACTAACCTGTGTCTTTCTATCACAATATGTACAGGGGGCATTGTCTTCTGCTGTGCTGTTACACAAGATCTGATTGGCTATAACTACAATGAGGACAGCCAATGAAGACAGCCGAAGAAAAACAGTTCTGAAATTTAATATATAAATTAGTAACCCTCATAACCCAATCCTCCTAGAGAACGTCACATACTGAACAATATATAGATTTTAATAACACTTGCTAGAAGAGTTATGCTATGGACTTCTTAAACTCATCATAAAAAATTGTTTGATGGTATAAAATATTATTCATAACTTTTACTCTCATATCAGCCAAAATGCACATAAGGGTGATAATCAGCTCACATGCCTTATAAGGGTGACATAAGCTCAGATACCTCATAAGGGTGATACTTACCTTAAAAGGATATTCAGCTCACATCCCTTATAAGGGTAATATGTAACTCACATACCTTATAAGGCTGAAAAATTAGTTAACATACCTTATAAGGGTTATATTTAGCTCCACAGCTGGTGCATACTCTTCCCAAGTGACAACCTTTAGGAAGACGATGGGGATGATAACATTGAGCAATGTGATGGTCAAAGCTGGGAGATACTGAATGAGTAGCACAAGAAATGCATTTGTAACTGTTGATGCCAGCTGAAAGAGAGATATAAAAGGTTGTTCAAAGGTATTGCATGATAATTATCTCTGAATAATTCTGAAACATCAAATATTGTCATTATTAATTTGATAATCAATGGTGTCTCTCATTTGAATGGTTCGGAGAAATAGTCAGTATAGCCAATCATTTTTTGGTAGGGTTCAGTTGAAATTTGTGTATCATCACTTAAAACAGATTTTTGGAAAAATCACTCTTCTAATAATATCAAATATCACTCTCATTAACTCCAATGAAGGTCTTTGTAAATTGATATGAATCATATATATCATTGATATAACCTCCACATCCTAAAAAACCAACAACACATTATCATTTTTACCTTATATGTCTCTTCTTGGACTTTAAATATACAAAAGAAAGCTCCACCCAATATCGCCAATACACCGATATTCACGATGATCCTGATGAAATAAAGACGACATTTCTGTCCCCTGTTCAAGTTTTTTTGTTTCACCTGTCTTCTCTGCTCAATGAGGTCTTGCTGAAATATAATAAGTGATGTTTGTAGAATTTACTTATTTCTTTAATTTAGATCTCTATGTCTGTTATTTTAAGAATCCTATTCAGGTGTCATAAATCTTGTAATTTCGTAGTATAAACATAGTACATGCCGATGTGTCAAGAACCTAAGCTACAAGTCTAAGAATAAAAATTATATTTATACAAAAACAACAAGACATTAACATGCAAAATGACACTACCTGCCATTTGTTACAAACACCAACCACCAAATACCAACTGCCGAATGTCAAACACTATCCACAAAAAAGTTGGAGACTAAAACAATATATCATCACTTCTAGTGGTGACATAACAAAATAATTCCAGATCTCCTACCTCCAAATCAAAACTTATGTTTTTCATTTTGAGTGCTGCAGGTTTCTCCCTTGTAATACCATACTCCCAGCCACAGAAGATCTTGTTGCAGTACTGGTAGAATCTTTCCTCTCTGTTTACCAGGCTGGCCTTGATCCCTGAGGCAGTGCTGGAATACAAAGTATTAAACATGAACTGAAAGTCTAAAACAACCTAAAAGTAAATGATAGAGTAATTCCTAGTATAGGGACATATGATCAAAAATTTATAATTAAAAAATACAAAACAAGCTTTTAATACACCACTTCTGAACAATGTTGAAAATGCAATCATTTAAATTGAATAGAAAGATTGAAGGAAAGCTGACCTATCTAAACTAAAATGATGCCTTTTTAAAAAATACAAAACAAGCTTTTAATACACAACTTCAGTGATAAATAGCACTTTGGAGAGCAAATGGCCACTGTGTAATCTACCCAGCATTCCCAAAACCTTATCAGATATTGGCTACAAGTCTGCTCATACATCCGTAAGTAAAATGGATAACCAGTTTTGATGACAGGATTTACGTGGCGCCTGCATGGACCCAGGCAGGCCCACAAGCACAAGATGATGACAATATAACAGTTTCTAAGTGCGATATGGCACCTACCTTTGCACCATTAGAAGAAGACTGATTGTAAAGTATGCCCCAACAGAACACAGGTAAGCAAGGGGCATATTGTATTTCTCCTCCATCTCTGATAACACACTTGTGTAAGTCTTATTGAAATAGTATCCAATGAACATTTCCGTACGTTCCATCCAGCCCTGAAAAGGATGACAGAGTAAAGACAAGGCATTAACATGCAAAATGTCACCACCTGCCATTTGTAACAGACACCAACCACTGAATGCCGATTGCAAAACACCAAGTGGCAAACACCATCCACAAAAAAGTTTGAGACAATAAGAATATGTCACCACCATAAGTGTCAACAATAAGATGGAAACTATAACAATATGTGATATGTAAACACCAAACAAGATCATCATCAGTATATTAGTATCATAAGATTCTGTGAGATCAGCCCTATAGAATTATCTTTAGCATAATATTACTTACAACTAAGAGGAACTCTAAGTATATACATAAGACATTTAATCAACATCATTGTTCTCCACAGAATTTTTTCTCAAGTTGGTGCAAAATTCTCATTTTCACAATTCAGACCAAAACCGGTCAAAATATGCAAATTTTACATGATTTTTCATACTTTCAAGTGGGTGTAAATGTATTTTCTTGTGGGTGCAAGCCTGTTTTCAAAAACACAGGTGGGTACTGCCCCCACTTGCTTTAATGCTGGGAGATCACTGGACGTGCTAGTTTTTCTTGAGACAGCCTCATTATCAAATCTTGAAAATCACCATTTTGTAAAAATGAATTGAATTTTTCACTACAAATTACAAGCTTCAAATTTGAAACAAACATTAGGAGAAGAAAGTGGAAAAACATACCGTTCCCTGAAGAAAGTCTAACACTTGCTGAATGGCAGGCACAACTTGAGCAGCATTCTGAGTGGCAGTAAAATTCTCCACATATTCTTTGTATCTAATACTGCAAGTTAAAGACTGACACCCATAGCTTGCGTTGCTTGACCTACTTTGGCCTGAAGGTGTCACAATAGGCGATGATGTCACATTAGGTGATAATGTCACATTAGATGATGATGTCACATTAGTCACTGACTGAGCTGCGGCTACCACAGGTTGAAGTACCATAGTGTCATTTGTACATGTTTGAATTTCAAATGTTTCTGGCTTTAAGACTTTTTGTGGTACCAGGATGACGCCAATCATGATTATTGCGATGAGAAAATTCAGGAACATTAATGTCTTGACGAACCTGAAGTACGATAGTACCCCTGTGCCATAATAGCCTGAAAAAAACATACATCTTCTTTTAAACTTTTGTGATTGTTCATTACACGTCTTTAATGCTAGCTATTGGTTATCATTGAGTTCAACTTTCAAGCCGAAAACAGGTTATAATCGCAAGTTTATTTTGAATCCAGCTAAAATCATTTTATTACATGGCCAGATTGCTAAATCTAAATCTTTTTGAACCCATAGCGTGCTCTCGTAAGTAGAATTTTGAAGAGAAGGACCTTTTCTTTATTCTTCCCAGTTTGGCATATTCATTGTAATAAGGCTTTCTAGATAGGCACTAACTAGAAATTCTTTAATCAGGAATATTGGAGAATTTAAAAATAAATTGAAGCCCATTATCTTAAAAGACATGTATCCGGAGAATTTTCTTTATGTTTATAAACTCATAAAGGTAGTAATGGGTCATTCTGTAGTTATGGGTCATTCTGTTGTAATGGGTTATTCTTTAGTTATGGGACTTTCTGTAGTAATGTCATTCTGTTACATACCTTCTATGGTTTTCAAGGATCCTTTCCATACTTCAACTTGGGAGAAAAGGTCACTAGCTCGAGTTTTAAACTTTGCCCATCTCTGAAAAACAACATTGATTATGAATTGGGCATAAGAATATTAAGAATACAGGTGGACACAATTGACATATGTCACAGGGGTGTAGCCAGCAAAGGGGGGGGGTTGCAATTTTGGGCTTGTTTCAGTGCCAGCGAAGCAAGACCCAGTAGGTTCAACCCCCCAAATCTATAAAAATTTACATTGTATATGGTGCATTCTATGCATTTCAAATGAAATTTGAAATTGTTTTACAAAATTGCTTTTTTCATTTTTGTGGGGGTGGGGGGCACCCATCAGTCCCTGGCTACTTCTACGCCCATGTATCAATTGTCAATTGCTAAAAGGAGGTTAAGTATCCAACCTATTATTCTTAGATTATCAAAATAGGGGCTTGTCTTGTATCAAATCTGTGACTGCCCTGTACCCTTGTCTCAGAGAAAGAATGGGAGGAGGGGGTATTGGGGCTTCATGTGAGCCTAAATGTTCATATAATTAACAAATCCCAAACTAAACATTTCATATGGTTTATATTCTATGTCAGAAGAATATAATCATACTAAGGGTGTTCAATGCAAGAGAGAAATATGAGTGCTATATATTGAAATTGCAAGTATCATTACTTTAAAACTGACTAAATTGACAAATTACAAATAAATATTGTTTCTTACCACTGATTGGTCATGTTTCCATTTCTGTACTCCAGTTAGACTCTGGGTGGGTGTGGACATCAACTGTCGCCTGAAAGCACACACATAGTATTGCATGAATAGACATTGAGGGTAAAGGTCCACGTGCAGTATGGCAAGTGATTTTAGACGGTCATATCTTTCACCATGAGTACTTTCTGGGCATAAATACAGTGGTTTTCATTAAACAATATGTTTTCTTTCAAGTGAAGTCCCCATGATGATAAAAATATCAATCGAACAATTTGAAATATTATAAATAGGGACCCCACATCAACAATCTTTTCAAAACTTATTTGCTCAAAAGAGGATCTTCTTTTTCTGATTTTTATTGCATGAAAAGATTATTCAACAAGGGGTCTAAAACATCTTCAAAAGTAGAATGGTATTGAAAGTCTAGTTTTGAAGATATCAATTTTCGATGACCAAAAGCATGCTGAAAACAATGGATAGCATGAGTTTTCCCTATGGGAAAATAACATGGGAAATGTGGTTTTTAACTTTATCGCATTTCAATACCCATTCCCTTTTCAGAAGTTATTAATATAGTGTAGAAGAAACTTTTGATATATGTATTTAAATTGAGAAGAAATACACTGATAAAACATGTTCGTGTTTTACAACTTAATTTTCTATCTTGAAACTTCTATACATTTCTGGATGATTTTGCAAACATAAATATCTTTTTCAACATGTTCACTTCTCAGATTTCTTGTGTTACAAATGATTTCTTAGAATCAAGGTCTGCTATGATATGGAAGGTCGACATATATTATCTTGATAAGTAAGTTTATTATTTACTATTATGATTGAATTAATGGGCTAAGGCACACAAATATTACCGAATGTCATGATAACTGTAGAATCCCTTGCATGGAATTATACAAACTATTCACAATCTGTTCACAAATACAATTACAGTTAAATGATGTTTTTCTATTTGTGAGAAGTAGGGCTAGCACAGAATGGAATCGGAGCAGAACAGAGTAGATTTTGGAACTTGCCTTCGAAATTCAGAACTGAGCAAGTGAACTCCGCAATGCTTATAAAAATATGTGTATATCTCATTTATTCCAGTGCCTTATCATGAATACAATTGGCAAGTAAAACTAAACTGAAATGATAATTCTGAAAAATTTGAATATGAAGAGGCAATTTTCAAAGTCTGTAGGTAAAATTGAAAGGGATAGACAGGACCATTCAGTGCCAGCCCAATCTATAATGAACATATTCCAAACTAAAATTGAAAAATGACTAATTTTCTGATGGTTGTGAACAATACATAAAGTATGTATGGATTCCAATCCCTTAAACTTCAATAGACATAAAACTTAACCTGTGACATATTTTGTAAAGACCTCCTGATATAAAGTCAGACTTATATTATAATTAATGTTGCAAGCACTTGAGCTTTGATTGAGATAAGAGTCTCAATAACAGATTATCAGATGCCAGACATGTTACAACAAACTTAACAACAAAGTTAAATAAATAAGTGTGACGAAAAGCCAGAATCGTGCTTTTTCTCTAAATAATGCATGTTATAAAAAGGTAGTGACAAATAATATAAAGATTTGGAGCTGATACCCTTAATACTCAAAACCAACATTATCAAGTTAAATATCCTGCATAATGTACTTTGCAAATTCATGGCTTTCACTCAGTTGCAGCAGACTCCTCTCATATTTTTGTGCTTGTTGCCTATTTTGGGCAATATATAAATCGAGTCTAACAAACAATGCCTTATGCAAAGATATCATCATTTTTTACAATCAAACGACAAATCGGTACATTCACTTCAATGTTTTGCAATGTGAACTTTTTTTCTGAAAAAACTGAATAATAATCATGTATGTATTATCTGTATTATCCAAGTTAAGTTTAAATTATGTCTAGTGATTTTTAATCAATCAGTAATAAATAACTTTGGGGATTTTTAACCCTGAAATTGAACCCTAAATTAGATTTCTATTTTCTTTCTTATATGAGCTGTCCAATAAACTCAAAATCATTCATCACCCTTAAATTCACAATTAAGAATTGAAATCAAAGAGTTGGTATAATAGATAAGAAATCATGAATCAGATCTCCAAAATTGTAAGAATATCAGCGGCTTTAAAAATATCCCGCAAACTGACAGAGCCTCTTAAGAACACTCAAAATTAAGATATTCAAATTCAAAATAATTAGCCTGTAATTGTAAAACAACATTGTGTCGATATGCACAAAAATAAAAAAAAAACATGCACAAACTTTTAAAACGAAAGAAATTCTTAGAAATAGCATGTTCGAGGTTATAAAGGCCTACAATATGAATCAATGCATCAATATAGATGCAAATAAATACTACACATTATTAGCCTAGTCATGGCCTAAACTTATAAGAATAGGCTTGAAATAGAAATCACGATTGGACTTAAGTATTTTGTGCACGAATTCATGATTCAATACATAATGAATCAATATTTCATTATTCAAATGTAAACATATTTTCAGGTTTGTGCCAGGTAAAAACAACAAAATAAATATTGTAAATACTTTTCTAAATAGATTATGTTTGCAATATGGAATTGACTTACTTCCTGCGAAAGCTATTTGGATTTTGATATAATAGCTTTCCCACGGAGCATTTGGACAGCTCAGTGATCGTGACCTTTGAAATCGAATTAAGTAGATCCGCGGCTTACTTTTGGTCTCTAACTGTGTCTTACATCAGTATCATCAATCCGTTTAAGTATTGGAGCGCTGGAGTACTTCTTTTTCGATCAAGACTTGTAATTGTTAGGTCGAGTGAATCGTTTTACTGCCAAATTCCAATATGGCGGTTTCTGCTCGGACATTTTCGTAAATCTCCGGAGGTTGTCCGAACCTAACTAATTCTCAAAATTCATTTCGTTCGTTGCGTATCTCGCACCTAGCAAACCGCCATATTGGAAATAGGTCTGTAAAACTTTAACTCGATGAACAATTTACAAGTCTTGATCGAAAAAGAAGTACTCCAGCGCTCCAATACTTACACGGATTGATGATACTGATGTAAGACACAGTTAGAGACCAAAAGTAAGCCGCGGATCGACTTAATTCAGTTTCAAAGGTCACTATTGATCAGCTGTTCACTTCTCTGTTTGAGAGCCATAAGTTTCAAAATCTAACATGGCTCTCGAAGTGAGTAAGAATTGACCAGATCAGAATATTAAGTGGGTCTATTGAAATATATAATGCCCTTCAAAATGAAACGTACCAGTTCTCTAAAAATAAGCTATAAGAAACTTTGTGACCTCTGAATTACCTCATTAAAATGCTCAATCACACAAAACATAAAAAAACTGTTTACTCATTAAATTACATGTACAGGTGTATACTGTATGTAAAAATCAATTAATTTTTGTTCCGAATTTATAGTTATTTCATTTATGGTTTTTCAATCTCTTATATGCTTTTATAATCCGACATACATGAATTGATGAATATGAATCTGTATATGAACTTTTGTGTGTTGTTCAACCTCATAATTTTTATATATTTACATTAAGTTATTGTATTCAACACATGTACTTGATAAATGTTCAAGATGTTTTCCCAATTGTTACAAATGCTATGAACGTAGATGATCAAAGTTTGATTTAAAAAAATCTAGTGGTCAAAGTCATTTAATATAATCATTGATATGGTAATCATGATTTCCTAATAAGAAAAAATTGGAATTCCTAAGGCTACATCTTTCTCATTAGCTAATAATAAAAATACAGCAAGAGTTATGATGGTTAAAACAAACTGAATGCAGTGCCTAAAATATTTGCTAACATACAAGATGTGAAAACCCTATTCGAGAACCTACTTACAGATAAAAATGAAGTTCACATTTCAAATATTAAAAATACCCAAATCCTAATGAACCATGTGTTGAAATGTTTCTACTGACCTTGTCTGGTCGGCTAGAGCATGTACACCTTTAGCAGTTGCAGCACTAACTGCAGCATTAGTGCTACGTCTATCTCTACTAGGTAGTTCTATCTCTGGCCCTTTAGAGGTCATAACCTCTATCGGAGCATGCATGTGGGTCTTACGTCGTCTAAGGGTCCCCCCACTCCTCTCGTGATGACTGGGCAGGTGGCTTAGTAGCATTTTGTCTTTCGTCATCTCCTGGTTAGCATTGTTATTCATTTCTTGGCTACGAACTCTTGATTTGCTTTTACCCTTATGTTTAGAGTAATGCTGAGTGTGCTCTCTAGGAGGGCTCTCATCCACTCCTCCAAGGACTGCTGCACCACCACCAATGGCTCGAGCAGTAGGGGATCTTGGATCATCATGCTCATATCCACGATTGGTTTCCCCATAGTCTGGTTCCAGTTCATCCGGTCTTACATCACTCAGTTCAATAGGTTTACCAGGATGATTCCCAGGACTTGGTGGTCCCTGCACCATGGGAGCTGGTGGTCCATGATAACTAGATTGCTTTACCCTTGGGCTTGATGGTCCCTGATGCACGGGATGTTGTTGTCCCATGGGAGCTGGTGGTCCTTCTTGATAACTACGACGCTTTCCTCTTGGACTTGGAGGTCCCTGTTGGTATTGATGTGGTCCTCTATCTTGAGAATGCCTTCCTCGCTCTCTATCATGAGGATCTCTTCCTGGCGGATATTGTCCTCTCTCATCTGGGTATCCTCTTGGATCATCTCTATATCCTCTCTCATCTGGAAGTCTATGAATCCCAGGGGGAAGCTGCATAGGGGGACCTCTATTGTAATGAGAATCACTGCCATATTGGGGTCCTTGTCCATAGCGAGGATCTGGCCCATAGTTGGGGTCTCTCCCCTGATCTGGTGGGTAATTAGGGTGTCCTCTATACTGTGGCCCTCCTGGTGGAAATCCATAAGGATTAGGTCTCCCACCATATCTTGGATCCATGTTCCTTGTTGAATTATTTCTATATGCACTAAAAGCTATCCTAGTATTTTATGTTTCATTTATATGTTTCTTTCAGCGTGTCAATATACCATCGATGAGTATTAAACTTTATTTACATGTTTCAGAAATGTGTAAATCACATCTATTGAAAAGCATAGAATGATCTTTATAGTTAATTCAACAGAATTTGAATCCAATAAAGAGAGTCTGGAAGCTAAAGGTGATCATGTCAGCTTTGTATTATCCTACAATACTTCAATATTCCTATGAGTATAATCTAAATTCTTGATAATCCACTAAAATTTCAAAACTTTTAATGTCCTCCATTCAAGGTATCTTCATTCTGGTTCCTTTATCTTAACTGATGTCTTTGTGTCGTGAGATAGGCCCGTACATTAGATTTTGCCCTCGGCTTAACACCAGATTTTAACCTGCGATTTCTAAGAATCCACTCCTAGACTAACGTTCAAGTTCTAGTTTTATTGTCACAATCTACACTACAAATTATTACCTTTTAGCTTAACATGCACTATTCTGTTTACTTTACAGCCAAAGTAAATCATCTTTAGGTATTGGCACAGGAATTTAGCAGTATTTTCTTACAGTCCCGGTCAAGAAATGATTGAACAGTCTTGAGACAAAATCAAATTTGGCGGCGAGTTAAAGATAAAAATGCAGCATAAAAATCTCCAAATAGTTTCATATATTCCTTCAATAAGGATTTACATTCCAGTCCTAAAATATGTAATTTAAGCACTTTATGTGATTTGATGCTTATTGTATTAAGTTGCATGCATTGTATATTTATTGTATTTAGTTGCATGCATTGTATATTGAGTAGTTCCTATTATAGTGTTTCTACAGTGTTAACATGCACATTTCAATATTTGCCTCACTTAAAATCAATTACTTTAAACATAAGCACAATATTTAAAAAATGATCGATAACAACCCTAAGGGACCATGTCAAGTATTCAGCACTTGCAAAAAGACAAAAATGATGAATCATGACATACTATAAATATATTATAGTATACTATAAGTTTACTGTAGTACTATGAACAATAAATATTAGTTTTTAGTTTTGACCAAAGCCCTTCTAAGGGGGTGTTCTCAGAAAAAACATCTCCCAACTATCATACACCCTAACTTATGGTAGGAACATGGATTGTGGGGGGGGGGCAGAAATTAGAAATTTGTATATGGCATACATGTTTTTTCACATTCTACAGAGTGTACCTATTGACTAGTGTATGTATTTATAGCTTATTCAAAAAAGTAATTTGACTCTATTTCTCATTTCTGTTTTTAATTGAATTTTTCCTTTAATTAACTCAATGTACTGTTTGCTACTTTTCAATGAATTCATACCATACAAAAGCAAATTATGGAGTTGACTAGTTGATCTAACGGTCAGTGGAAACCCTGCATTTCACTGTACTGTACAAACATATACAAGTACTGTACAGTGTACACACCTTACAAGGTAAATAAAATACAGGATTGTTCAAAGTGCTTTGATTGCAGTCATCCTTTTCTTAAAAATGATTGTGAAAGATGTGATGAAACAGTTTCTATTGAAAGACCTTAACTGCAGCCCATTGAAATACTGATCAACACTTATCAAAATGTCCTCATGCCTGTATCAATGACGTCAAATGGAGAGAATGACATGTGTGAATAATAATAAGCAATGCAGGTTTGACATTATTCTACCTAATGATTTTTTATGATAGAGCGGCTTAAAATTTTCACATTCATGTTTTTTGGTCTCTGTATACTAAAAATGCTTTCAAAATTAAGTTCTGTATTTTCATGTAGGCTAAATATTTATAATCTGTCATAGCGAATTAGTCTTTCCCTGATGTGAAGGTTGTGCTATATATAGTAATTATAAAGGCAGTTAGACGGATCTGGCGGACTAAAGCTGAAATTTCAGTGATCGAAAACCTATTTTTTACAGTACATTTCTTTTCTACGATACAATGTATATCAATACTTTTTTTAAAACTATTCTACTTTGGACTTGTTTTTCAAATTACATATCAAAAGGTTATCATTAAAAGAATGATATATCTGAACAAAAGAAATATATCTTAAGATTGTATAATATAATTTCGATCAGCAACTGTTAAAAATATGGTGATAAATTGCTTTTTTATCTCAGAACATTCTACAGGTAAAGTTAAGAGTAACGGTGTCAATGTCACCTCGATCTTGATTTATCAAAATTTTCTGTAATGAATGGGATATATTGAAAAACTTATTGGCACATAAAAGAACATAAGTAAATCAAAAATGACAGCATAACCTCCAAATTACTCCTTAAAAAATTTAATGTGACTCCTTAAAACTTCATGTGACCATTAGAAGCAACTTGGTGCCAATTGTACTATTAAACTCTGTTATTTTCACTCCAGGAAATTGTACCCAATAAACAAATGCATAACAGCTTATCCTCATTCAAGTTTAAAAAGTACCGAGAAGATGTATGAATCCCAGAAGAGATCGTTAATAGGACATTAAATCAGAGATGCATAAGTACAGTTTGGTGATCATATCATATTCAGAATAGAAGTAGAATTTCAAACGAGATATGCTATTTTCTAAACTAGCGCCATCTTTCAATAAAAGAATACTCAAAATATACAACTGTCAAACAACGTACATGATATTGAACAAATACAGAGTTGCCATAAAGTCACTTTACACTTTACATAGACATTATTTTGGAATAGTCAAGAGACTTTATGGACATCCTTTACTTCGAAGAATCTTAACCTTAAAGTAATCAAAAGGTGCATGGTTGAGATATATACTTGTATATGTGTAAATAGTCAAAACTAGCAATTATCTCTGTTGATCTACAATAAACCTTAACAGGTAATTTATATTTATGCTCTAAAGTGTTAATGATAAGATAAGGAAATAAAACAAATAACAATACATGTATATCATGGATTTAAAGTAATGAAGTCTGTAAGTATATGACAGCGTAACAACATGTAGTACATATAGTTAAACATGCACGAGTATTTCAGAAGAAAAGGAACTTTTTATCATATATTACTCACACAATTAACTGAATACTACACAAACTTTTTGTATTTATATAAACACTAAAGAGAAAAAAATAATTCACACAAAAACGACATTAGCAGTTAGAGATCATTAATAGGGCTTGCAAACTTTTCACCAAGGTATTTTTAAATTACTTTTAAATTAATAGATGGCATAAAGGTGATGTAGATAAAAAATTAATGAAAACCCTGTTATGAATGTATCTACCACCCGGTATGCTGATTTGACTAGATCATGATTATTTCTATATATGTGTGAAGTTTGGGTGAAATTCATACTAAACATCGATGCCTATAAGCGCCCCCCGTTTTTGTCAAAATCGGGGGGCGCTTAACCGCTTTCTAAATCATGTCAGTAAGATCTTAGACTTGGTATGTGCTTAGCATGAATGTTGATCTAGTCAAATCGAGCGATTTCATGAAAAATAAATCAATAAAGCACGAAATATAGAAGATAATCTCTCAAAATCAAACATCTATAGCAGTGTGGCCTAATTGTGACGTCACTACAAGATAGAATCCATTCGGTGATCGCAAATCATCAATTGTTCTCTAACTATGACATCATTATATCCATGGTAACAATTGATTTAGGATTTCTTAACCTTGTAAAAATTTTAATCGTCCCCTGACTATTGCTAAAGACTAGTGATCAATAGTTTATATATCATACCATATATATACGGGATGTACCCAAGAGGTATTGCTCACCTTCCTTGGTGGTAAACAAGTTACATTAAAATTTTACATACCTGAGAACACGCTTTTTATCTAAAGATGCCGTCACATTTCGTAATGTTTGTTGTCTCTCCCAGTTCTCATGCTCTGTTGTTAAATTTGGTTCAATAGTCAGATCTACTTCATCAGCTCCATTCTGTACCCTAGTTGACCTGCGGCGTCGTAATGTGCTCCGTCGCCGATCCCGTTCTAAGCTAAAAGTCTTAGAATGTGGATCGTCTAAGTCTATTTGTTTGCTAGGTAATTGAGCAAGGAGTTCGTTGTGCTGAATACTGGATTGTCGTTTGAGGTGGTTATCTCTTCCGTGATTGTCATTCTGTACATCATTATGCAGATTCTCTGAAAAATCAGTTAAAATCCATGGATGAGATTTAGCCCTTCTTGTTTGCATTGCAACCCAATTATGTTCCTGTGATGGTGATTTATTGAATGGTTCAACTTTTGTCATCTTCTTAACGATAACATGTAGCGCAGCCCAATCCAGCTTCACCTTGTTTATCTCTGATAAATCTAATTTCTCGGATTACACAGGCACTAATCAGAATCAATTAAACGTCATTATATCTTATCCAAATATGGGATGAATCATTAATAGATATTCCAGGAACACTTTGATAAACAAGGAAATAAATATTCCGGTTCCAGCATACAGTGTTTGGTAACATCATACTTTATAACATCCTATTACTGATTTTGATCCTTCAAAAAATCTTGATTTTCATCTTGATAACGATCCCAAAACAATCCAAACAAAGATATCAACTGATTTTTATTTGTCATTTCTAAGACTTCTATATAGACCTCCACTCAGTCCTTACTATAAAATGGTCGCTCAAAAGTCTAAATCCACAGAATAGAATACAGTTAATATATTACGACTATAGTGGTATAGTGGCTGGTTCTGTTCTAGGCAATTGTAATACATGTAATGATAACTACTGATAAGGGCACTCAAGGCTACTTGGATTTTATCACAGAGATGGCAATCAAGTTCATATTTTGTCTACACAATTGGTAGGGATAACAAAACAAATAACATTTTCTTGTTATTTAGAAACATAAAAGATAAGACAATGTCAAGATGCTTTTAAAATATAGTATTCTCTCTAATAAATGCACAATGCTGCTCAAATTTTCCTGTATGAGGTGTCTTAAATTACAAAATCTCTGGGGATTTTAAAAAAGGTTAATACTGTATATTGGTGATAGAAAGTATAGGCACTTTTTTTGATATTTTGATATTTAATATGTGTTTTCATTCAAGGGAAAGATATTCAAAGATATGCTTGTTAATAATAAGATACAAATAAAAATATAATAGTTGATTATCTTATCTATTATAAGACTGCAAAGATGTAAGCTATTTAAGGTTAAGTCTACATGATAAGTATTTTTTGGCAATATCCATTTTTATATTAACCAATAATTAACAAAATGGCTTAATGTTTTTCACATTTTGATATTTACCCATTATGGTTTCCTCAGTTCAAAATCAAAATATTTAAATTAAATGTTATAATGGCATTTCCCTAATTTTAGTTTAGAACTTTTTTTAGAAAGTGCAGAACTACCTTAATATAAATAAATGGATGTACCTTAAAAATATCATTACAATCTCATGATAAAACAAGTATCTGCTCATATAAATCTGAAATATAGATTTGGTAAAACAACACAATGAGGTAAACATTTCAGAGGGTGTTATTGTTCATTGATGTCGTACTATATTTTGAGGACAAATTGTAGCTCTTAAGCAGTCACAGTTGAGTTAATGCTTGATTCAACTCAATGCATTTCTAGTAAGCAGTAATCACACTGACAGTGATCTCCAGTAGTGTGTTCATAAATACACAAATTTATTTGGTAGATTCATAAGAAATTTCAGAGTTAACGCAACAGGAGTAATTATCCAATATCTATAACATTTTGGCCGTAGCTGATTTCTCTGTATCTAAATGCCATGATGATGATGTAGACATTTAACAAAAGCAGTTATACTAACTAAATCTCTTTTGATCCTTATTCACAATGACTTCAAATAATGTTATAAAAATTGATTTTCTATAAAAATATAGAATATCTGCATCTTTTTCATCCAGTATATATAAGACTTAAAAAAGTAAGGAAATATGTTAAGCAAACAAACTCATAGACACCTTAAAAGGCATACAAGGCATTAACATGCAAAATGTCACTACCTGCCATTTGTTACAGACACCATGTGTTATAGATGCCGACTGTCAAATGCCAAACACCAACCATCTGTCCACAAAAAAGTTGGGAGACTATAACAATATGTCACTACTTGGTGGTGACATAATAAACCAACATAATAAATTCATATTGACTAAAATTCAGAAAATCAGATCTACCTGTGTGCCTTGCCCCTGCCTTCCTCATGTTGCATTAAGATGAGCCTCTCTTTTAAGGGAAAAAAATCAAGCTACTGAACTGGAGTAAGAACCCAACCAAACACTTGACACTTTTACAAAGTTTTTATCAGATGACATGAGTCTATTCAACAAAAGTAAACATTCAGAAGTTACCAACAGTAACAGTAAGTGAAATCACACCACGTCATGTTTTTAGATGTAAAATACTGTGAAAGGAGAGAAATTAGCATGGAATTAACTTAACAGGGATGTAGTCGACACTATAAATTGTAAAGAAATACGAGAAATTATCTTACTTTGTTCATATTATAGAGAAAAGGAGGGGAATGGCCATGACTTATGTTTGTGTTAAGGACATTTCAAGTGGTACTTGGAGTTAAAGTAAATCTTCATCTCTGATTCGTGAGATGTTAAAAAGTAGAACTGGTTGTTTTTTTTGCGTTGGTAATGAATCAAACGCAATGTATTACTGATTTGAGCGTAATTCAACAGGTTAAAACAAGGTTGATGAAATCATTATTACAGCTCATGATTCAGACGCAATTTTCTACATTCATGATTATCTTATCCTCAATTAACTCAAACTTTTATTTTTATAATAACCTTAATAATCTTAATCTTTTAATAACTTAATATGAGTTTTATGGTAACACACATTAGATATAATACCCTTTGCATGCATTTAACTTTGCATCTTTAAAAGATAAATTCTTCCACACTGTAAAAATTTAAGAAAAACCTCTGAACTTGTAAAGCCAACCATAGTATAGCATGTCATTGCCAAAGGGAGGATTTTCTATATAAGGCTATTCTTCTGACATCATAGTTAATCCAATATTGACCATCATTTAAACATTATTGAAAGGTATTTCTTTCTGCTTGCTGATTGGTTGAGAAAATGTCAACTGCGATAGATTTGAATTAATTATGTGCTGAGATATGATGGCCACAAGCAGTAAGGTCTGGGCTGCTAAACGATAAAATTGTCTAATCTAATCAGAGTCTCAAGTTTCAAACTAAACTTAGTCTAGCTACAAACTCTTGTGAGTCCGCCCCCCCCCCCCCCCCTTAGATAGGGGGGTCCACAGTCTTCAAGCAAGACTTAACTAAATTATGTGCACTTAGTGAATAGAGAACATTAGAAAACCATTTAAAAGCACTATTGAAAAGGGACGAGAGTACCCAACAGATATTTTAATCCTAGATGTTGTATACTCCCTAGCCTATTGTTAGTAACTTAATCTTCATAGCCTATACAAAATATATAAAATTATTTTTCCAAAAGCAATAAGAAAGGATAAAGGGGGCAAACAGTTTGGATTTTGATTGGAAAAATAAACAAAAATAAATAAGGAGGAAGACATAAAGAAATAAGTAATAAATTCAAATTAAATCATTATAAGATAAATAGATATACATGTAATCCAGTCTATTGCAAGGGAAGTTTTACTACAATAAGTTCAGGCCAAGACAAATATCATATGAATACATTGTATAATACTAATTTAATAGTCAAAAAGGGTAGCAATTTTTGGACTGCAACCAAAGATGTTGTTCCTAACCTAACCCTAAGGCCTCAGTTACATTTGATCCACAGAGGGCATACAGCGGCCGTAGCTTAACAAAATCAATATGCTGCATAATTCTCACGATTTTGAGCATTTTGGGAATCTACGGCCACCATATGGTTGCCATAGATCAAATATCAGAGTTTAAGTTTGATTATTTCATCACTCAAATCAATATTCAGCCATCTCCAAAACATAACCTTTATTACCTCCAATTTGAAGATCTTTGACATTACTCACCCCCTGAAAATAAGTAAGTTGCAGTTGCATACCCTTCTAATTGAAAGCACCCATGTGATATAAACATTGAATAGGTTGAATAGGCCTAACTAAGATTATCATATCACTGTCATATTCCTCACTCTCTGATTTATTTATGGTCTAAACATGACTAAAAAATAAGGAACTTTGTCCAGTATGATCCCAATTCTCTATATCCCCGGGAGTACATTATTATTATTAATTAGACATCAATATTTTGTTATTCCATTATGTGAGTGAGGAATATAACAGGGAATAATGAAACAAATATTCAATTCTATTTTTGGTGAATACCTGTGACACTTTCACAAGTTGATATTCCATCAGCCCTTCAGGCTTCGTGGAATATCACTTGTGAAAGATGCACAAGTATTCCCAGGGGGTTCACTGTTACAAATTTTGACATCAATGCCATATCAAATGCCCAAAGTAGAAAAAAGCTAATATTCAAACTGAAGAAGGCCCTGTACTGAGAAAAAAGGCAGATCTATATGGAAAATGATCCAAAACAGCCTCAAATTAAGGATATATGTAACTACTGTACTAGACGAATACCATACTGCAATATTTTCAACAACCATTCTTATTCAAGTGGAAAAATCTGACCCAATTTGTATAATATCCATACCCCATGTTGAGGGAATACATGTATAATGAATGAAAACTGGGCTATAATATTTGCTACATGGAACATTGTAGATCTCTTCTCATCAGAAAGGTGATATAACATTAGGAGATAGGGGCATTCTCGGCCACGGGCATTTCAATCAAAATTCCCGAACAAACCGTTGGTAGCTTGTGAAAATTCGGGGCATTGTTCGACTTTTTATAGAAGTCAACATCTATAATATGATGTGTATCATATGAAGTTTCAATAACGAAACCATTAATCATATAAAATAAAGAATTATTGAAGATCATCCGACAATGCCCCGTGTCCGAGATTACCCCTATCTCCTCTATGGGGGTAGAGCGAGGCGAGCAGAGAGTTACATTGAAGAACCCTGATTCAAATATTAAATCCTTTCTTTGTATTCAAATTTTCATATAATTCCTTTATATAATTTATATATTTGTTCGTGACATGATTTCATATGAATCAACCCGTGAATCAATTTAATTTCAATCAAAATCTTTCTTTTCTTAAAAAAAATTTAATTCCAATTTCAGTCAACATTTTTAGCGTCTAATCAACTTAAAAGTTAGACATACCTATATCATCGGGAACCGGTAGAGTATTAGGGTCATAACTGACCCTTTTATTCGACATTTCTGTCTCTAGGTTGAGCAAATTATCAGATATTGGAGAGTATTTTGTTTTCTTCATTCAGTTTCTTTGAGGTAAATATGGCGGTCGTGACCTTCGACCTGACCCGGAAGTACACATAGTGTTGATATAAAAGATCATTTCGTAGTGTGCTATCGAATCCTTAATTCCCGGGAATTCCTCAAGGGGTTTAATTTTCAACCAGGAATTTACATTGAAAACGTCCACTGCATCATGTGTAATTCCAGAAAGTACTCTTGCACGTGACACATTACATTTACAATATTGACTATATGATAAATGTAATATAGCATGTTTTGAAATTCTATTTTAAAGATTTCTATAGATCTATCATTGTACAAAAATATCGACTTGAAATAAATATTGATATGATGAATATTTCACATCCTAACACTGGTTTGAGCCTGTGTTTGACTATACACTCCATTAATTGTGACCAAATTAGCTTATAGCAGAACTCCCCACTATCCGCGATTGTGACCTATTGTATTACATTAGATACAATGTCACTGTCATACACATGTTTTTCTCTTCTGCCTTAGGCCCTTACTGCAGAATATGATGCGACTGTCCAAAATATCACTCGATTCAGGGCATCATCCATATTTACTCCTCACCTCATATATAGACCTTGTCTCATATCCTTGGAATCAGTTTTCAATTAACCCGTTAACAATAAGGCCATCCTAAGTTAATCATGGGATGCCCTGGTCTAAGAGGAGGATGGGGGGGGGGGGGCAAAAAACAAACAGAAAACAAAACTTATATTTATTGTTTTATATTATTCAATAGCAAAAACTATAAAACATACAAACATCTCAATCTGAGAACCCCTTTCAACAATATAATGTGATCCTCGATTACAATTACCTCACCTACCTTTGGTCCTTGACTCCTTATATATTTGTACACTCCATGGTAAAATTTAACTTCAGGTGGTATATTGACTTTTATAATTGCCATTGAATGGCCCTCAAGTTTCAGCTAAAGAAAATCTGAAATTCTGGTTGTTACCCAAAAGACAAATAGTCGTTTAGGCTAGGCGATTGGGGCCATAACCATGAGGTTGCGAGTTCAAGACGCGTGTGCTCCTTGTGTTTATTCATTTGTGACCTGAAGTGAAATATTATAAATATTTAGGCCTATGACTTGATTGGATATTTTACATCTGTCTTGAATAAGCAGTTAATCTTAAAAGCATACAGTTTTGTGATAGTATTTTAAATATTTAAGCACTTTTCACATCAATATTGTCGATTAGACAATAAACAGATGGACGGTAGGATGCCTACCCCCCGGGCCTACCCCCTGGGCCTACCCAATCCAATGCATGTAAGTTGTAAAGCTCACAAGGCATTAACATGCAAAAAGTCACCACCTGTCTGCCATTTATAACAGATGCCAACTGCTGGCACAAAACTGCCGGTGACATAAATATGTGTGAAATTGTAGGAAATACAAAATTCACTCTATTCAAAAATAAAGTAAATAAGTTATACAAAGTATGTATCATTTTAGAAATTTCTTTAAATATTCACAAATCAATGTGAATAGCTGACACTGGGTATATTCTGTAAATGCATTGTTAATTGCTTTCTACACTACTTGGCACTTTATACAGAGTATACTTTTGTGAATCACAAATCACTATAATACATCTTTAACAGTATTTTACATTTTTACGAATTAAGTTTTTTATGCCATGCTATTAATCTGTCCATTCCTCTTTGGTTTTCCTCAAATCATACATAATTTTCACATGGTTTAACATGGCACCTTTTGATAGATACAATGGTGGAAGACATTATAATAATGCCATTTCTCAGATGGACAACTTCCATTCAGAATCAATAACAACTGCAATGAATAGTACTCTGTATTTAATATGGTTACTATACTCAATTATCACAAGAATAACTTTTTTGTCATTTGAATATAACGTGTACTCTATTTGACTATTCATTTCACCACTAATAATACTAGTTAGAGCTCTCTATGTAAAATTTCATGTATGTACATATTAGTCTATATTCTATATGAATTTCATGAAGGAAGACAATAATAATGTGGTATCCTGCAATTTCTCATGTTAACAGCTTCAATTCAGACTAACATATTTAACTATTAATTTAAAATGAAAGAGCTCTCTGTGTAAACAAGAGCTCTCTATGAAAGAGTTCTTTATGTAAACAAGAGCTCTCTATGAAAGAGCTCTTTATGTAAACAAGAGATCTCTATGAAAGAGCTCTTTATGTAAACAAGAGCTCTCTTTGAAAGAGCTCTCTGTGTAAACAAGAGCTCTCTATGAAAGAGCTTTCTATGTGAACAAGAGCTTTCTATGAAAGAGCTCTTTATGTAAACAAGAGATCTCTATGAAAGAGCTCTTTATGTAAACAAGAGCTCTCTATGAGAGAGCTTTCTGTGTAAACAAGAGCTCTCTATGGAAGAGCTTTCTATGTAAACAAGAGCTCTCTATGTATGCACATATTCTACATAAACCTCATGAATACATCAGCATTAGTACAAGCCATACCTTATCATACAATGAATATTTTAGGATCCACATTCAACTGACCCTACTACCAAGTTCCCTGTACATATACTCCATTACATTATCTATGATACTTCCAAGCAACTTACAGTATGACGAGGTATCTGTGAAATACATTCAACTTATCCTACTACCAAGTTCCCTGTACATATAGTCCATTACATTATCTATGAGACTTCCAAGCAACTTACAGTATGACGAGATATCTGTGAAATACCCATGAACAGGCATAATAACATTTAATACACAAAATATGATTGTGTATCTAATACACATATAAATTAACATAACTGATAATAAGCATTTATAAAGAGTATTATATCACAGATATTCTGTTATTGACTAACCACAACAGATACAACACATGTCACAATGAGGCACCATTGGCTCAGCTTATCATAATTCAAATTAGTAAAAAATTACTGAAGATTTAAGGAAGTTTTAATTCCTTTTAGACTTGTTTTGATTTGATGATGTTTTTAACCTACATGTCACTATGTCTAACTTGTGTATCACTGTTTATGACTGCACAATAAAAATAAATAAAAAATATTTTGCAAGAGCTTATTTTTTACTCCTTATTGACTTCAATTCTTTGATCTCAATTAGCAAACTTTGATTAGATTATGAAGATTCAACACTGGTGCCACTGCATAGCCAAGGCATTTGGTTTTTTCGTGGTTTTAGAAACATCACATTAACATGTCACATCACCATCAGAACTATTAGGTTGTGTTCTTACGACACTAGTGCCACTGCATATTGAAGGCATTTGGTTTCTTTCATGGTTTTAGAATCACATTAATATGTCGCATCACCATCAGAACTATTAGGTTGTGTTCTTATGACACTAGTGCCACTACATACTGAAGGCGTTTGGTTTCTTTCATGGTTTTAGAATCACAACATTAATATGTCGCATCACCATCAGAACTATTAGGTTGTGTTCTTACAACACTGGTGCCACTGCATATTGAAGGCATTTGGTTTCTTTCATGGTTTTAGAATCACAACATTAATATGTCGCATCACCATCAGAACTATTAGGTTGTGTTCTTACAACACTAGTGCCACTGCATACTGAAGGCATTTTGGTTTCTTTCGTGGTTTTGGAAACATCACATTAACATGTCGCATCACCATCAGAACTATTAGGTTGTGTTCTTACAACACTAGTGCCACTGCATATTGAAGGCATTTGGTTTCTTTCATGGTTTTAGAATCACAACATTAATATGTCGCATCACCATCAGAACTATTAGGTTGTGTTCTTACGACACTGGTGCCACTGCATATTGAAGGCATTTGGTTTCTTTCATGGTTTTAGAATCACAACATTAATATGTCGCATCACCATCAGAACTATTGGGTTGTGTTCTTACAACACTGGTGCCACTGCATATTGAAGGCATTTGGTTTCTTTCATGGTTTTAGAATCACATTAATATGTTGCATCACCATCAGAACTATTAGGTTGTGTTCTTACAACACTGGTGCCACTGCATTCTGAAGGCATTTGGTTTTTTCTTGGTTATGGAAAAATCACATTAACATGTCGCATCACCATCAGAACTATTAGGTTGTGTTCTTACGACACTAGTGCCACTGCATATTGAAGGCATTTGGTTTTTTTCATGGTTTTAGAATCACAACATTAATATGTTGCATCACCATCAGAACTATTAGGTTGTGTTCTTACAACACTGGTGCCACTGCATTCTGAAGGCATTTGGTTTTTTCTTGGTTATGGAAAAATCACATTAACATGTCGCATCACCATCAGAACTATTGGGTTGTGTTCTTACGACACTGGTGCCGCTGCATATTGAAGGCATTTGGTTTCTTTCAGCCAAAATGTCTAGGGCTTTAGATACAGCATCTGGCATGTGGTCCATGATCATACTGGGACTAACTATGATGTCACTAAAGTCCTCCATCTCTGCCCAATGTGGCAGGTAGCTAGGTGTCCCGCACCATGAACTGAAAATACACAAACATTATCGGACATTAACATATATAAAATAATTTTGGCTTATGAGACATTAAAACTGAATATCATTTACACTTCAACAAATTTGTTCGTGAATTTTTTTTCTCAATTCCAACGAATTTGGACATTTCAGCATCTTAAATCTTCAGTATTTTCATAAGTTATAGGCCTATTTGATCGGCTATCTCTATTTTCAGAAAATAAAATGTTATATGACAAACAGGAGTGATATGGGCAACCAGAAGTTTTACATACCTGCTTTTATCAGCCTCTTCTATGTAAAAGATTTTTCCAGGGGGCCAGAGACGTTGGTTTGTGACTCTGGACTGACCACTGTTCACTATGGCTGACTGCAGAGATTCCTGAATTAAAACGGAAGAACTTATCTGACTTTATGGGTGATGACGAAACACATTTCCTCTGTTGACCTCCATTGGGCATCAATTGGAAAAACAATTTACAAATATTTCAAATGAATGTTTTTAGTGTAAATTAAATATATAGTTTATCATCATGAGTATATCTCACTCGACACTCCTTTAATTGCATGTAAAAAGAGTGCCACTGTTATAAGTGTAACTCAAAATGAATAAATAAATATTTCATTCTAATCTCATTGGGCCTCACTGCCCCAAATATGTTTATTTCAACTTTTGATTCATCATTTAATTCCTTGCACATGTAGGTAAGAATAGACGAACATCACTGCATAGTTTACCTGGAAGTGTGTTACTATGGAGTCATAACGAGGTGAGTCCCTGCTACTACTGCTCAGTAGAGAAGTTGTGCTACCATCGTCACTGTTGTCTCTTGTAACAGCACATATCACATTGGTACAAGCCCCTGTCATTATTTTATGCTGGAAAAGATAACATCATATTGCTACAAGCCCCTGTCATGCTTTTATGCTGGAAAAGATAACATCATATTGATATAAGCCCCTGTCATTATTTTATGCTGGAAAAGATAACATCATATTGCTACAAGCCCCTGTCATGCTTTTATGCTGGAAAAGATAACATCAAATTGATACAAGCCCCTGTCATGCTTTTATGCTGGAAAAGATAACATCACATTGTAATAAGATTTATTGCATTCTAAAAGAGCAACCCCCCCCCCAAAAGGAACATATGCAACTTTTATGACAAATACTGTCTCAGCAAAATTGAAAAATTGAAAATTGAGTAACTAGCAGACACGATTTACTGAAATTCATACACATGTAAGTGCCATAAAGTTAATAAGTCTAAATCTACATATGACTGTAAATTGATACCTGCATAGAAGTACACACCTTAGGTTTGTTACAGTCCTTTATAATCTTGAGCACTTTTACTTTGAGTTTCTCCATGGTAACAATCCCTAGTCTAGGCACAATATCTTCATTTAATACGACAGAACATACAAAATCTTCGGTAAACTTTGCAGTGGACTGGCTGCAAGAAAAACAAGGCATTAACATGACAAAATGTCACCACCTAAAACAATTTGGTCAATTTAAGGCAAGTTGGAAAATACCTTTTGACCTTAAGAAGGTTTGATTTGAACTTCTTAGAACATGTAGATGATTTTGAAAAAAAAATTCGTCAATTTGAAGCAAGTTGAAAAAATACCTCTTTGACTTTTTTTGGCATTGAGAAGGTCATTGAAGGTCAAATGTCAAATGTAAAGTCAGATTTGAACTTCTGAGAACATGTAGATGAATTTGAAAAAAAAATTAAGTAAATTTGAAGCAAGTTGAAAAAAGACCTTTTTGACCTTGAAAAGGTCATTGAAGGTCAAATGTAAAGACCTTTTTGACCTTGAGAAGGTCATTGAAGGTCAAAGGTCAAATCTAAAGTCATATTTGAACTTCTGAGAACTTGTAAAAGTCAAATTTGAACTTCTGAAAAGATGTAGATGATTTTGAAAAAAAAATTTGGTCAATTTGAAGCAAGTTGAAAACAGACCTTTTTCTGAGAAGCAAGATGAAAAAAGACCTTTTTGACCTTTTTTGACCTTGAGAAGGTCATTGAAGGTCAAATGTCAAATCTAAAGTCAAATCTAAAGTCATATTTGAATTTCTGAGAACATGTAGATGATTTTGAAAAGAAAATTTAGTCAATTTGAAGCAAGATGAAAAAAGACCTTTTTTGACATTGAGAAGGTCATTGAAGGTCAAATGTCAAATCTAAAGTCAGATTTGAATTTCTGAGAACATGTAGATGATTTTGAAAAAAAAATTTAGTCAATTTGAAGCAAGTTGAAAAAATACCTTTTTGACCTTTTTTGACTTTGAGAAGGTCATTGAAGGTCAAATGTCAAATCTTAAGTCAAATCTAAAGTCAGATTTGAATTTCTGAGAACACGTAGATGATTTTTAAAAAAAAAATTAGTCAATTTGAAGCAAGTTGAAAAAAGACCTTTTTTGACCTTGAGAAGGTCATTGAAGGTCAAATGTCAAATCTAAAGTCAGATTTGAATTTCTGAGAACATGTAGGTGATTTTTAAAAAAAAAATTAGTCAATTTGAAGCAAGTTGAAAAAAGACCTTTTTTGACCTTGAGAAGGTCATTGAAGGTCAAATGTCAAATCTAAAGTCAAATCTAAAGTCATATTTGAATTTCTGAGAACATGTAGATGATTTTTTTAGTCAATTTGAAGCAAGTTGAAAACAGACCTTTTTGACCTTTTTGACCTTCAGAAGGTCATTGAAGGTCAAATGTCAAATCTAAAGTCAGATTTGAATTTATGAGAACATGTAGATGATTTTTAAAAAAAAAATTAGTCAATTTGAAGCAAGTTGAAAAAAGACCTTTTTTGACCTTGAGAAGGTCATTGAAGGTCAAATGTCAAATCTAAAGTCAAATCTAAAGTCATATTTGAATTTCTGAGAACATGTAGAAGATTTTGAAAAAAAAATTTAGTCAATTTGAAGCAAGATGAAAAAAGACCTTTTTTGACATTGAGAAGGTCATTGAAGGTCAAATGTCAAATCTAAGTCAGATTTGAATTTCTGAGAACATGTAGATGATTTTGAAAAGAAAATTTAGTCAATTTGAAGCAAGTTGAAAACAGACCTTTTTGACCTTTTTTGACCTTGAGAAGGTCATTGAAGGTCAAATGTCAAATCTAAAGTGAGATTTGAAGGTCAAATGTCAAATCTAAAGTCAGATTTGAATTTCTGAGAACATGTAGATGATTTTGAAAAAAAATTTAGTCAATGTGAAGCAAGTTGAAAAAAGACCTTTTTGACCTTGAGAAGGTCATTGAAGGTCAAATGTCAAATCTAAAGTCAGATTTGAACTTCTGAGAACATGTGGATGATTTAGAAAAAAATTGAAGTCAGTCTAAACAGTATTTGTTAAGTTATAGGAAGTTGTAAGAAATTGTTAGACGCCGGACGCCAACCTCCAACCGCCGGACGCCAACCTCCAACCGCCGTCGCAAAAAAACGGAGACCATAACAATATGTCACCACTTTTGGTGGTGACATAAAAGATATGGCATTTACAATGTAGAGCTGAGTAGAAATTGTAGCCACTGACTTGAATTGCCTTATGGCATTAAAGCTGAATTTTGATTTTGAAAAAAGTACATTATGATGATTCTTCAATGTAATATCTCTATATGAGGTGCAATTAACTATATATAGCTTTTTACATGTATAGAATTAGAATTCTGAGTCAATAAACTAAACACAACACACAAAATGAAAAATAAATTCAATAAATCCTCTTGATCTATGTTTGCATTTTTCAGATTTTGCCCCTGTGACTTCAGATCACATACATTTCATATTAACACTAAAAACGTTACTGAATTCGAACACAAAAATCCTATTTACCAAAGGAGACCCCCAGGGGGTGAGTAAGCATAACACATGAGATCTGGGTATTGGGGTTTCAGCAGAATAGACAGGATAGCTGCAGCACCAGCCCCTAAACTGTGTCCTGTGATCACTAGCTTATAACCCTATAAGTAAATATATAAGTGTTATGTCATATACATGTAAATGTACTAACCAAGACTCCATTTTGAGGAAATGACGGTAGTTGATTAGTCTGATCCCAAAATGCAAAATTACATTTTTAAATTTAACCCTATAAGTAAATGTATAAGTGTTATGTCTTATATACAATACCATACCTGCTAACCTCTCAAGGAAAAAAAACAGGAGTTTTTTTTAAAAAAAACAGGAGAATCCAGGAGATATTTTGCAAAAAACAGGAGAAAAACAGGAGACTTTTACTGAAAAAAAAACAGGAGAAAACAGGAGACTTCTTTTAAAAAACAGGAGAAAACAGGAGGTTTCTTTTAGAAAACAAGTTACCATCTAAAAAACAGGAGAAAACAAGAGACTTTCAGTCTAAACAGGAGATTTTCTTTAAAAAACAGGAGAAAACAGGAGACTTCTTTTAAAAAACGGGAGAAAACAGGAGGTTTCTTTTAGAAAACAAGTTACCATCTAAAAAACAGGAGAAAACGAGAGACTTTCAGTCTAAACAGGAGATATTCTTTAAAAACAGGAGAAAACAATTTATTTTAAAAGCATGAGAAAACAGATTATCTTTAAAAACAGGGTATTTTCTTTTAAAACAGGAGAAAACAGGATATTTTCTTTAAAAATAGGAGAAAACAGGAGACTTCTTTATAAAACAGGAAGTTTCTCTTGGTAAAGATACCAAGTAAAAAACAGGAGATCTTCTGTCAAAACAGGAGATGATTGATGTCATGATTGCAAAATTCGAATTCAAACAGCCGCTATTTTATTCACTTCAACATTTGTATCGTTAATTTTGGTCTTATTTTCAAACGAAAATGCAGTTTGAATTTTTTGTAGTCACGACATAAGGAGTATCGGTATCGATGTTGCATCCTGGGAGCCAATCCTCCTTGGTCCAAAGAGCTTACCGTAAATGTGACTGATAAATCTCAATGGTAAAATCATTCAAACTTATTTAACATGATTTCTCTTAATGTATATACATGCTTAATCTTGGTAGGCTTACGCAATCGTGCATAAATAGACAAAATTATTCTTAGTCGTTTCACGGACATACTTGCGCAGATTCTTATCACCTCCACTCAGGAGATTATCTACGTAATAAGCATGCGCTAGGATCTAAATAAAGGATGGATTTGCTCTTACTGATTAAAATTGTTGCGCGTGCGCTAATTTCCTTGTTGTTGATTGGACATTTATACTAAATTAACTTTGTTTTTCATGATTAGATGTCGCTGGAGTTAATTGACTTATATGTAAGATACTGCAGACGATAAATGAGTACTCGGATTCAAGTTAAAAATCGGGAGGTAGGAGGAAAAAACGGGAGGACACAGACAAAATCGGGGGATTTTTACCTAAAACATGCGAAGTTTTTTGAAGAAATCGGGGGAAATCGGGAGAAAAAATCGGGAGATGATGAAAAATTACAAAATTAGAAAATCGGGAGATGGCAAAATTGCGCAGGAGATGGGTTAAAAAAACAGGAATCTCCCGATTTAAATCGGGAGTTGGCAACTGTGCAATACTAAGCAAGACTCCGTTTGAGGAAATGACAGTAGTTGATTAGTCTGATCCCAAAATGCAAAATGACATTTTTAGAATTTTTTGTCTCACTTGCTTTATCTTACATGATACTCAATTACATTAATTTCATATTTTCTTCAAAAATATCAACCAACTTGTTGGAGTAAATTCATTTGTACTTATATTCATAAGAGGGGATCACTCACTTGTCCTCTATGGAAAGCAATGTCAAGGATTCTGTCACGTTCCAGTTTTCGCTTGACGTAACAAGCTGCCTGTATCATGCCCTTGTGTCCAAGAGCACCACTAACTCCATCTATCTCTATAGTGTCACATTCTGCTGTCAAATCTGTCATGACATCCTGGATAAAGAAATTCATCAATAATCACAGATATATAGAGGTTATTTACTGAGATGGATTTAATATGAGTTTTATTCTGAGGGGCAATATGATATTTCCCAAGGGCCTGAATTTTCATGAGACGGAAACAATTTTTATTCAACATCAAAAACATTCCCTGGTATTATTCAGCAGGAAGTAGTAGTATCATGGGATAAAATTATATGTTGTATCATAGCTTGTATCTTCATCCGCTATATCTAGTTCTTGTATCAACAAATTAAAGTACTGTTTGTTTAACATGTATGGATTGGGGGTACTCTTTATTACATTAGTGAATGATTTAATGATGGGTTTGTATGCTATAACAGAATGATTTACCAAAGGCAAAGCTATACATAGGGCAGTATATATTGGGAATAAGGGTTATAACATGCTGAAAGATTAAGACTTACCCGTAGAGACAATGTCCCACGTATCGCAACAACAACACTTTGTCCCTTATGGTCAAGTGCCACAAAGAATGGAATTTCATAAATCTGAAAACCAAAAGTGATCACTAAACAAGGGATTAATCAAAATGTAACAACCTGCCATTTGTTACAGACACCAACCTCCAAACGTGAAATGCTGACCACCAAACACCAACTGGTGAACACCATTCACATAAAGACTATAGCAATATGTCCCCACTTCTGGTGGTGACATGATATACCACTCAAAATAAGAACTGAAGCTTTCGTGAAGTGTCTTAATAATAAATCAGAAATTGAGGACATGAAGGGGGTTGATTGCTTGAAAGAGAATCCAACAACTTTATTCATAGATGGTGGTAAGAGCAATTAGTCAATTACCCAGTATTTACAAGGTGAGATTAGTAATCCCTCATGGGGAAAGGTCTCATGAGTATTGTCTCACTAGAGGCCAAATGAGTGGATAAGGTTCATAGATTTTTCTAGGTGGACAATAAGAATTAATGGTATGGATCAATTGTAGATGTTATGTGATGGATGGTGTCAAATTATAAACAGTTTTGAAAAAAATAAGTTAGTTTCGTTAGGGGGAAATTTTTTCACGAATAGAGTTCAATTTTTAATACTCGTAGTCTAGTGAAAGTCAAACATTTGAAAATTTTGTTAGATGAGGGCAGGGGGTCAAACCATCAACCAGGAAATCAACTTCGTTTTTCCATGAATGGTAATAATTAGACACCATCCCTGATTCCCTAAATACCTTATTATGCAAACTGATGAACACTATATCCTCATAGTCAACCTGGCTTGTTTTCAAGATGGCTGCTGTGTGGCAGGCGCAAAAGTTGTCATTGCGAATGTGTTCAGGAGGACTAGGACATGTACAACACCTGGAATACAAAAACAGCAATTGTAAATAACAGAGAAATACTCTCTTGGAATCTTCACAATGAACATGAGACAATTAATAAAAGTGCCACTTTCAAATTCAAAAATGACAAGGCATTAACATGGAAAATGCTACCACCACCTACCATTTGTTACAGATGCCGATCGTCGAATGCCACATGCCAAACACCGTCCAAAAAAGTTGGAGACTGTGGTAGTGACATATTAGAAGCTGTGAATATTTATACAAGTATACAGAATATAAAATCAAAAGTGAAGGATTCATAATTTAACAACTTTCACATTCAAAGGCTTTCTGGTCCACTAACAAGACAACATAGGCATAGTTGTACAGGTTCACTTATTTGAACTTAGTTCCTTAAATGAAATTCTCTACTTCAATGTTGCTCTGGATGCCTTTTACACATGACCTTAGGGAGGGGTGCTTATATAGTGGATACCATGCATATACATGTTTGACACCCCTTTGTACCATTGGCAACATCACATTGAAATGTGCTTTAAAATATAGAAATTATGCTGCGACGATTGCCACTTTACTTTCCAACCTAAATTTTTTAGAATTCTTTGCCATAGGCTGGTTTGGGAAGTTCTATTAATTACAGAACAGGACAATACAACAACAATCAACATGAATGATGGCTTTAATTTAATAATTAAGGGTGATTTGGGTCATTTTGTGACACTACTGGGTGTTTTTACTTCAACATTTGAGGTTTTACTATAAAGAGGGGTTAGGGTGGCTAATCTACAATAAATTTAAGGATATCATTCAATGGGTGATATATAAACTCTGACACTACATAGTCTACTGAAAAATATATAGGGTGTCAACATGACCTAAGAAGAAAATATGCTTCTACAGTAGACACCCTGTAAATACATTACTGATAAGGTAAAGAATGAGAGTAGTGATACAGTAGGTGAAGAATTAGAAACAATCAAATAGCACACTTCATTATATATTGCTATAGAGAGTGCAGGACTGAGAGGAGATTCAAAAACACACTGTGCATGTCTATATAGCTCCCAACACCCACAGATTTTGAAAAACCTACAATATAATCCAATTCTTACACACTGTTACAAAAAAGTGTTAAACATCTAAGACTACCATTTTCAAAAAAGAAATAAAAATTGGATTAATAAAGGCAGTGAAAGCTTCACGACATACTGATTCAGAAAGCAAACCTTTCGTTAGGATTTTGAGCAAAGAATGCGTCAACATTCTCTTTCCATCTTTCCCACCTAACATGAATTGGTTCTCTTACTCTCAGGTATTTATCACTATATCTACAAATATCACATTTCAAAAATTTCATCAAGTTAGTGAAAAGAATTCCATCAACAAATAAGCAACAATATGTTCTGTTAGGTTTGCTTGTCATTCAAGGCTACCAATTTAAAGTAATAAATGTCTTCAGGATGTCTGTGGCGCGGCGAGCTATTTGAGTGAACAGAGTCCAAAAAATGTGAACACATTCCAAAATTTTAGCTGATATTTTAAACATCATTAATTCTAAAACAAAAAATATAATTATTTATAATGTCCCAACTATTACTATTGCAACCAGTAAAGCAAAACATTTGGGGGCAAGAATTACACTAGCACTGACTTGTTATAACAACACACAGAATTACAATTAAAGTTTGCTTTCTGAAACACTCTCTGAAATGCAGATTTTGGACGCACAAGAATGAAACACAGTAGCAAACAAATCATTGGGACAATCATTTAATAATAAGTAATAAGTGAATGATGTCTAAAACTTGTACAGGTATATACATGTATAGGTTTTACTGAACATGAGTAAAAAACACTAACCTGCACTCTTTATATAACCTGCATGGACCAGTCACTAGATGCCCAAACATAAACAATGGCCAGCCGTATGCAGCTTGGGCAAATTTCATATAGTGCGCTAAAGCTTGTATATTCATCCAAGGCTTTATGCCATTATTTTCTAACCTCTGGGAAGTGGCCCCACCCTCTGGGACTTGAGGAGGAATTGAAGTAGACGTAGATGTAGGCTGACTTCTCTGAGCTATAGATCTGAGTGTCTTTGGTCGGCTGTCTTGTTCCTCTTTAAGAAGTATAAATCCAGCTGCAATATCAGTTGGTGTCAAATCAACCTCCTGTAAAAGATGTTGAGAATGTATATACAGTAAAACATGTAATATGGAACACATCAGTAAGTGGAACACATACATAAGTGAAACACTTTTCAGAGTCCCATTACAATTGACTTAATGTTAAATGGTAGAGGTGTAACTCCCGAGTCAGTAACTCGAGTACAGCTCGTCAGAGCTGCCTATGCATTGGCTCGAGTTGTCCTCTAGAAACTCGCAATCTATTTCAACTCGCGAGCTAGCTATAACTCGAGTCAACTCGCGAGTTTCGCCTATCTTGCAAGCATGTAAAATGAATTCGGGTCCCAGAGATCGTGCAAAATTACTTCATTAGTGGAATAAATATACCAATGATCGCCATATTTAGCGCCCGTCACCTAAAAAACACTCTCAAAGCTTCACAAAGTTCAACAAATATCGTGGAATGACGAGTTACACCAAAAATATCAGAAAAAGATCGACTATCGAAGGAACTCAACGGGCGATAATAGAGTAGTCATTAAAATTGAATTGAAAAATGGTCCCCTTATTCTCACGTCGTTTACACGACTTTTACATAAAAAGATGATCTATCATTAAATTAAGATCATAAGTCTTAACTTGAGATCGATAACCAGCAGTCTTTTGTATAAATAATGAAGATAATCCGGGAAAACCATTCATTAATTTGAGGGGCCCTTCTGGGTTTTCTAAAATATTGTTTGGTTAGATTCTAGCGATCTCTCGTCCTTACCGTATGCGGCGACGTCTATACCAGATCGTTTTTGATTGAAATATGAGATAACTGCAATGAATACCACACTTTCTTATGGCCCCACGTGTTAAATACCTTTTAGATGTGATTAAACCAGAGAAACTTGCCGCTTGAAGTTACAGTAATTTTGTCTAGCCGGGTTTACAATATGTACTGGACGAAATGAATGAACTCGAGTTTTACTCGAGTTTTGGAAATATTTGGCAAGTTGAACTCGAGTTGGATTTTTCTGGCGAGTTACACCTCTATTAAATGGACCTCTGCACGTGGAGCACCTTCCTAGTCAATTTAAGGATATGTCATACTCAAAGGGTACTGTACATAGTTGCCCTGATATTGATTATTGTTTTATATTTTGTAATACTCAAATAGCTACATGATTCAGGATTGAACTTTGGAAGTGACCCCTTACCTCACTAAAGAATTCTGCAAATAACTGTCCTACATCACTGAATGCATTCTGACTATGCTCATCACATCCCACACAACAGCAGCACAGGTATTTGCACCTAAATTGAATACAATGTGCATTATAAAACTTCACATTGCAGGCACTTGCCTCAAACAATGTCCACCATCCAACAACATGCTACAAACCTCTCATTTATATCACCTGCATAAGAATAGGATATTGATACTTCACTAGAGATACATTCATTATTTACAGCTAATAAACTATATCAACACATGTTTATACAGTAAAACTTATCTAATTTGAATGCCAAAAGTGTTCAGATTAGCATATGTTCATTTTTCAAGGTTTCTAAATATGTGAATCAATATGGGAGATAATTAAAGTGAGACTGAGAGAAAATGTTCTCAATGAGAGGTGTTCGTTGAAGAGGTGTTTGTATATGAGAGGTGTTCATATACATGTTTTACTGTACCTCATCTGCCACATTTTCTTGAATCTGGAACCAGCCTGATGCATTACAGTCTCTGTATCTCCCTCCTCTAAATCTCTTGGTGTTGATGGGTTGGACACGACATGGCTGTTGCCTCCAAATGGATCAAACACGACAATTAATCCAACAAGCTCAAGAAACAAGCACACCCATACAGTGACCACTAAAACTTTCACCGTGTTTGTAACATCGACATCACAGTCTACGGAATCATCAAAGGCCCAGTATGTCCCCATACAAATCCAGGCAACCTCAGGCAAGTGAAGCAGGGCTTTTGTGTAGACCATTTTAGGCATATGATGCCTGGGTCGCGTGTCTATGATGGTGCCTTGTAGGCTTATGTACATGATGATCATAAGTAGGACTTCATGGATGGAGATGAGGGTCAGTGTTCCAATGTAAAACACATGTAGCAGAGGTCCACCTGCACAATCGAATGCATCTCTGTGTAGCGAAAATACAATAGATATCACCACTAACCTGAAAACAAAGAAAATATCATTCAAAAGTGTTCAAAGAAAATATAATCTATTTTTTTTAAAAGAAAATATAATATGGAATTGTTTAAATGGCTAGGAATTCAGTATCTGGAAGAATAATTCAAGTCTCGAGCCAAGAAACTAATTGCTACAGACTTCTTTACAATTTCCTTGAGAATTTTGGTCCTGAAAACTAAGAAATTTAGACAAAATTATTCACCACAGACCTACTTTACCAGTATACAAAAGCTCCTTTGACATCCGAGGTAACATAGTGAAACTCCAACAAACATGACTTGATGACATTTAAGTACTAAAGACATTATTCTCAGGAAAGAAAACATCTGGTTTGGAGTTTCTTACACCATTGGATAAAGTACATCATTTTCTTCAAAATGATACTGGTTTTGTTTAAAATCATATTCTTTCCATCAAAATATTGATAATTTCCTGTTAACTTCCATGGCACCTTAAGGCCAGGGTGCATGTTCGGAATTTTGCTGCATTCCTCAATTACTCAGATGCGAGTAGGTAGTTACCAGTGTCGCCACCAGGTGGCTGATTCGGGGGAATTAACATGGCAGGGTATTACAAAATTCCCTTAAACTTGAATATGCATCAGTTTTAGTGGTTCACTTTTCACATTACCCTAATGTATCTGATAGTTATACAAACTTAAACATGTCCAGTAAAAGAAACTATTATCTGCCCAACACAAGAAAATATTTTTCACTTTTTGTGGTTTTACAACATGGGGTCTATGGGGAATCTCCCCGACCTAGAAATCACATTTTCAAAGAAAATTAAATTTTCAAAGTTGATCAACTCTTTTCAAAACCACATTTCTAAATGTAATTTTACATGTAGATTCGAAATATGACATTAAGAAATTCTCCATCTAAAATGTCACTCGACTTTTTTGTGATTATGAGTCAAAGAAAGCATTCTTGAGTTTCAAATTGACTTCTGTGGTAACTTGAAACCATCTTCTAATTTATTCCACTTACCTTTTATTGTTTCTCCAAATATATTCTTTGAAAATAGGATTTTAAGGGTGTTAATCAGGGTAATTCTGTGCCATTTTATCAAAAATCTTGTTGCTATCTAGAAACGAGCAATTGTGATCTTGTTGTTACCTAGGAACGAGCAACTGTGATGTCACGTCACACTCATGTTAATTCTGGAATCACATGGCAGCCATTTTGGAAATTTCAAAAAAGTTCCCAATTAAAAAGGCTTTAATGCTGTTTACAAATTGGAAACTATGGCAGAATCAACAAAGGGTTTGTGAAATAATTAGGATATGGTTTCAAAATTATGCACATGACAATACATGACTACTAAATGCAGGCAGGGACTTTTAATTGCCAAAAAGTCGAGTGACATTTTAGATGGAGAAATTTTTAGTTTGACTGAATTGTGAATTTTTAATGACATAAATCAAGATTATTTCTACTCGCATCTGGAATATTGAGTCGCATGTTATTTTTCAAACAGGAATCACTCCTTCCCCACATTGACTACATCTTTCAGTTTTGCTCTAAGAGTACACGTATGTGCCTAGAAAAGACTGGTGAGATTTTTTTTGTAAAATGTATAAAAAACCAAATTTTCTTGTTTTTTATATATTTTATCAAAACATTCTTCCATACATTATTTTCTGTGTAAAAAAGTGCACTCGTTGTCCAAAAAATTTCATCGGGTGAACCCCCTTTCTTCAGATTTGAGAATCGATATTTACTCATACACTTTTTGGGCCTTGCGGTGATGTGAACCCAAAAATCGCACACCCTTGATAGTTGCTGGTTAACCCCCTGTTCTTTTCAAGGAGGAAACACTGCGATTCGGTGGCTCCCCTCTATATAGACCAATATTTATTCTATTGGTCTATATAGAGGGGGGACGACAGACTTCCCGTGGGAAGTGAAATAAATTGTCAAAGAAATATAAAAAAAACTTACCATGCCAAACGAACTACGAATTCAACGAAGCTTGGAACAACTAAATCATCACTTCCTATCCTCCATCGACGGTTGAAAACGACTAATGCTGGCATTTCAACGCTAGAGCATGGTTGGTTTGAGAGAATTTATAGAAAGCTTGAAAATATTTTGTTTTTCAAACTTACTCTTGTGAACTACGTCATCAAATACCACCACACACAAAAAGTACTGACGTAGTACGCAAGCCGAATACACTACCTGTCAAAACTCGGACACTTCATCTCGATTTCCTGGTAAGTCCGTGAGTAATTTGTTAATTTATACAGTACATGATATATCTGTATATAATCCATATATAGAAGTGAAATGATAGGTAAATATTCTCTCTCAAACAACATCTACATGTATTTTTGTTTTCCCCTATTATCGCCCACTACAGTAGAAGTACAGGGAGTCATCCAGGACCACAGTACAGGAACCTGTATCAAAACCTGACAGTGACAATACATTGGTGAAAAACAGGTTCCTATGGACCACAGGTGATACTAGTGGGCTGTCATCTCAGTTCGGGACGTCAGCTCTAAATTTCCGAAAATTACAGAGGATTGTGATTGTTCAATGATGAAAATAGATTAGTGAATGATCGATGGGTATTTGATCGGATAGTTGAGGTGACAGTAAGCTGCAACACCAATGAAAACTGAGATGACAGGTACCAGAGATTGAGATGACAAGGACTCATACTAAGATGACAGCATTATTTCTTACTTTTGTTGGTAGAGTAAATGAAAACACGGAATAACATTCTGCATGAAGGGCTAATGTGAAAAGTCAGTCCACCCTAGTAGGGATCAAATCCATGACCCCGCGCTTTCCAGATGAGTGCTCTACTACTGAGTGATGGAGCTGACTAACTTTCCCACATTAACTTTGCATAGCATTGCAGCCATGTCTTAATTATGTATAATTAATAACTTTAATAATGAAGTAGTTTAGACAATACATAACAAATAAAATGCATGACCGAGCTTGGGAAGTCTCACTACTGTGGATTGAAATAAGGGATAAATGAAATGAATGAAGACAATAATGAATAAGGGGATGGGTTAATATTTCAATGTCTGCCAAAAAACGTTATCAATTAAGTTTGCTCTTAACTTCCCTTCTATCAAAAGTCAAAATGTCAAATTATCTTTATGCATATCTGCATGGGCTTTCAATTAGAAGGGTATGCAACTCTGTGTTATAACATGAGACCTTCAAAATGAGCATTGCCATGCTTCCCTTTTATGGTAATATTTCAAAAAGTATCAGATAAATGTATATGTTTTAGTATTATTTTGAATAAAAATCAATTTTCAATATGATTTAAGCATAAAATATATTCAATATCATGTAAAAGTAAACAAAAAAGACCAATAAGAATAAGAGGTATCAAGATGTCCTCTTCGAGTATTGCATTGTGGGTAATTATTCAAGAACACATTCCAATAAAAACATAATTTGTGGGAGAATGTTCACTTTCTGTATTGTCATAATTATGATGGATTCCATTTTTTATTAAATTATCAACATGTATGGAGATAATCATGTTTTTATTTTTGAGTTATTTCTTTAAATCATCAATAAAAAGTACAAAATAAGATTTTCTTGGAATGTGTACATTCTCCAATTTTGAAAACCAAGGCAATGCTTATGTTATGCTTATGTATGAATAATGGGAAGTTGCCTACCCTTCTAGTTGAAAGCCCATGATATCTGGGTTAACATACCTATGATCTGTGTAAGAGAAAATCCTGGGAAACTAAAGTCAGTGTCCGTCACCTGATTAAATAGGGTCTTACCCCCTTTTGCCTAACATGATTAATTAAGTTTTTTGATGAAAATTGAATTACAGTATTGACCCGGCCCTTTAATGCACATCATGCTAACAACAACAGGCAATGACAATATGATTGAGCCTCCACAAAATCACTCACATTGAGTGGGATTATTGCTAAGCCACTTTGAGGATGTGAATTACAGCTACATGTATTTGTCCATTTAACCCAGATTACACACTGTGTTTTTTCAGTTTCTGGTAGAATGACTGCCAACTTGAAGTTGAAGAGACTTTTAGAACATTGCGTGAAAAATGACTTCATTTATCCTAAAGAATGTCTTATGGATTACAACTCAACGGCATTCACCAGCTTCAATTTTGGACCCCTTGGAACAATACTGCGGCAGAATATCATCAAACAATGGTGGAAATCTGTATGTGTGTCACAAGACAATGTTTTCCCAGTAGAAAATACTCTCATTGATACATTGACTATGAAGAAGAAAAGAAAAAATTCACAGCAAAAGCAAATTTCTCTTGATACATTGCAGCATTACTCTTCAGTATATAATATGGTACAAGGGCAATTACCCTTTGGAATTGCAACGGTTAAGACAGACTTTGGAACAGATGTCACCCAGAAAGAAACTAACAAAGTTCTATATAACAGTCCGCAATATGCATCAATGCTTCTTTATTATTTTGTACATCCGAGGAATGAGAAAATATCATTTGACTTCTGGAAAAGACATAGAATCCAATGGTGGAAGAGTTTCGCTGATAACCCATCAAATTTCACCATGGGTCAGGTGAGGAAAGAGGAGGATTATACTCAGTTAGATATCCTATATAGTTTCCCCTGGGGTGACGATACCATTGAGACACTGAGGAACTACAATGAAGGATTCCAACCTGGTGCTAAAATGACAAAGGTATAGTAGGGCATGTTTTTGATTGGTTGTTTTCATGTTACATCCGAGGAATGGTCACAAGCATGTTCTGCATAATTGCTGTATCAATGTTTTGTGACTGGGTTCAGCATTGTGTAACAATTGTTACACTTTTGTAAGCATTTGTAATAATGTTATAAGGAACTTTCAAATTGACTTGAATCTTTTTTATTGTCAACATATATAAAGACATGTTATTTGTTTACAAGTTTATTCATATTGTTGGCACTGGCAGTAAAAATTACAATGGCAATACTTTAAACTTCAGTATTTTATTTTGTTTTATTAAAGGTAAATCTGTATTTTCTTTTTAGACTGTTAAGAAGAAAAGGTCAAGAAAGTTAGCTGGTGTGGAGGAAGACCCTAATGCTACTATAGCAACCATACCTCACATGTTTGAGACAAATGCCGTCTTAGAAAGAGCAGTACTGGCATACCTACTTGATGCATGTAATGATACAAATGGAAAAAGAATATCTAAAAGGAGAAAAAATGATGAAACATTGGTATGTGCTGTTCTATTTCTTGCTTTGCTTAAAACTTATTAAACTATGGACTTTTAATTAGCACAAAGAATTTGGTAAAATCGGGGGTAAATACACTTCCAGTAGAAGTGATCCTGTTGATTTGTTACACAGTAAGTTGAGAATTTAATGATGAATCGGAATGCTTGTTGGCTTAATCTTTGGAACATATCTTAAAGTTTCTTTTTAGAAAAGTGTTAGTATTAATTTAGCTTGCACAGTGTTATTTTTATCAACTCTCTTTTTTTTAGTTGCTCAACTTACACAGGAAACTTGCGCCTTACACAGTTGCCCTGTCAACCCCCGAGCGCCCCAATCAACATATTCAAGAGGTGACCAGGCAGTTGGTGCAGGAGTTGAGGAAGGCAGAGATTTCTGTCCTCAGTACACATGACCCTAGGCCAATAGAGGAGCAATATGAAAGGTATATTATTGTTATAGAATGGTTGTTCCACTATTTGGTATAAATTCTAGTTTTGCAGTCGTAGGTCAAATATTGTAGCTGTCATTTTTTGTGTGAATACTTTATAATCAAAACCTACAAATAAGTTGGTTATGATATCCAGTTATCAAAATTTCTTTCTCTTTTGAGGAAATCATGTGAGCTAAATTTCCATGGTATAAACTGGGTATACCTATTGTTGTTTGCTGGAAATATACCATATTTTGGGAATTAGGGGTGACAGCAGATTGGAATGGAATTGGAACAGATTTTGGAACTTACCTTCGGAACTTTAAGAATTTTGGCTCCAAATGAGAGAGCAAAATTACATGTAAGCCTGGTATGTCTTCTTATTGCAGATACTCTGGTATGGGAATTCCATTATGTTTGACACTTCATGAAGGAACTTTGGATAATGGGTTACTTTATATGCGGCATAGGAACACAAAAATTAAGGTAAAGGTTTAATTTAATGGCATATTATAACTACATGTACACTGTTGGTCAAAAACATGGGATATTGGGCATTTCACAAAAATCAGTATATTGTCTTTACTATAATCCTGTTAAAATGTATTCCAGGAAACCTTTATTAGTTTGAAGATTTCAATGGATTTTCATGGATTAATTCCTGGGAAATGTTGTTAGTTACAAATGTGTTTAGTTTTTTTTCCTGACCGGTCCTTGAAAAATTTGCATTAATTGAAATTTTGGGGGGCATTTAAAATGAGGTAATCAATGGTAAATTGAAAAATATTCCATATATACAGTGAAACCTGTAAAGTGGAACACCTTTAAAATTGGAACACCTCTGTTAGTGGAATACTATCAGAATCCCAAGATCAACTGACCTAATGATAAATAAACCTCTATAAGTGGAACTGCTCCCTAGTGGAACACTTTTTTAGAGGTACCAAAGGTGTTCCACTAAGACATGATTTATTGTATGAGCAATGGTGTACTGTGTTATATTGAATAAAACATTCTGACAACATTAAGTGAATAGCACACACCTGCAAAGAGCTTTTTACAATACCTTACCCTCAATATCACACACTGCGATAATTAAATTTGTCCTTGTGCCCTATATATGGTAAAAATTACATTCATGAAGTAAATGTCACAAAATACTTATAAAGAATGGTATTTTTTGCAGGAAGAAATCCATGTAACAAAAGTTTGTGAATATCTACTGAAGTTTCTAGCTGCTGATTGAAGACACTGTGTGAATAAAGGAGGCTCAAACAAATTTTTACTCAGGGATGATATCTGGTAAAAATGTTACAGTTCCAGAAGGCAATGTTTTATAAGTAGATGACATTTAGGGGAGAACCCTTGAAGTAGCCTAAGAGCTTTGCTGAAATAAGTGCCATCAAATTTGGAAATTTGGTGAAGGTTCCTACTAGAGAACCTGAAATGAACAGTTCATAACATGAAATGACCAGTTGGGATAGGTTCCCAAATCTTGATATGATTTGTACTTTTAAAGTGGATGTTTTAGAAATGATATCAGTGCCAAATTGAAGTTTCTGATGTGTTCAATGCAGTAATAATAAAATTCAGTATCGCATTAAAAATCTGTTGTTTCAATATCAATATCTTTGGACTTGATGGGATAGGAGTAGACATTCACGTTTAATGTGACAATATATCCAGGAGAATGACAATGGCCTAAATAGTACTAGCTCATTTTCTAAGTTACCAGTAATGAATAAATAATGTGAATCAAAGACAAATGTTGTTTGTTTTTACAGAGACATACAATTTTATATGTCTATGTTTGTAAGAGAACTTTACTTGCAATATTTGTGCTCTGGTGTAGCAGTTGAGGTTCAAGTCAAGGTTCGAAAGTGTAACATGTTACACCCCTATAACCATTGGAATAGCCCTGGGGGAATAGCTTACCAGACATCAACATTTTGTTATGTGCTTCAAGTTCTTTAATGTTAACTGGGAGGCTAACTCTGTTCCAGACGAAATTCTGATTTAATCAATTTTCACCTTTCACAAAAAATAGTTAGAAAAAACCTCATGGGAATTTAAGATGGAATGAAAATAATGCAGGGCTATGCTTATAAAGGAATAAATGGGCTTATTAGCCTTTTGCAGATTATTGATGTAGATGTAGATGTAATCATCTACCATGTATTTCATATCAATAAATTTTTTAACTTAGAAATTGTCCTAATGAATCAACTTTCCCAAACCACAGTTTCTTAATCTTAGGAGCAGGTAAAATGAAAAATGGTATATATTTTGGTATGATATTTTCCTTGGCCAATATCATATTTTCCCTCAGAATAAAATTCATATTCCATCCCTCTCATTAAATAACCTCTGTTTACCACTTGTCAATGTTGTCAAAACAGAACAGACATATCAATACAGTAGTTAAAACTGGGGTTTACAGCTAAGACGTTTAATTACTGGTAGGTGAAGCAAAACCAAAAGCAAACCTGCGCTACACACCCCCTTCATGGGACGTAGGGCTGATAAAACTTAATGGTTAATGAAAGCCCATGGTTAAATATACAAATACAGAATCATCAATAAATGTGCAAACAAATTTATGCATTTTAACACATTTTAAAACTTTTTTCAAATTTATGAGGTGATATGCCGATGCCTCTCTTGTGTGGCTTGTACCTGGACAATGATTAGCATAACATATCAATTTATTAAAATAAATAACCTTGGAAATTTTTCTTTGAATATATAACATCTATCAGCATAACATATCAAATGAAAGGTGGTGTAGAAGAGTGCAAGGAAATAAAAATATGGTGGCAGTGGTGGGATTCGAACCCACGCCTCAATGAGACTGGTGCCTAAAACCAGCGCCTTAGACCACTCGGCCACACTACCTCGATGAAACAGTGAAGCGCTTTTTTGGTTTCTATTATCTTTCAGATGATGCTGTCAAGTAATTGGAATTTATATAAAAATTAGAGAAAATAGTAACATTTATGCCGTTTTCATGTTTATAAAAAACAATCTGACCGTGACAACAATGACAATATATCGTATAGGTGTCACTCTAATCGACCTTCTTGTTGTAATTTTACTGAGCCTACCATATTCGAGCCAATATTCAATATCATTTTTTGAAGTCTTACCAAACAACAGAAAGGTAGCATTGTTCAAGCTACCTATAAAACCTTTCTTTTATATCAGATTGAATCTACAGCCGAAATTCATTGTTCTCAATATAAAAAAACTGTTCAAAATATCTGAAATAACTACGCCTGTTTATTCTCGTTGGGAACTTTGACCGACTTGTAAATAAACATGGATGCTGGACACATCGGAAAGTGAGTAGCTTTTATTTTCTATTTACAACCTAAATGAAGAGAAACTTACTTATTAATACAGACATAAGTTCAAGTTTATCATTACATTTTAGAGAGAACCAAGATATAGTATCAAATGACAGTGGATTGATATATATTTTATCACTTCAAAAATTCATGACTTCATTTCTGTTTTGTTGACTTTTGCACGTGTGGATTTCTTTTAAAAATGGCTTCTTGTCCCACCACAAGAGCAAAATGCAATGTCTGTTCATGCTGGAATCTCCTCTCTTTTGTTCGAAAATTATGAAGTGATTTCAGTCTTGTGTCATCTGCTGTGGTTTTGTATGAAACAGGAAATCATTCAAGAGGAAATGCAAAAACTCAGTTTTCCTGCGTAGGTCTTACTATATTTGCACATAGCAATCTTTTAGATAGATGGCTATGCAAAACTGGATATTCCCAGCCCATGTAAAGGGTCTTTTGCAGAAATGTAAGAAATCGTTGGAACACTACACTATATAGAATCTGAACACAAATTCTCGGTAGGAGTTCATGTGGTGAAAATAACGAAATAATGAAATGTTACTGTGTGTCTACTTAGCAGTTTGTTCTATGTCATCCATCCTGCTAGGTTACATCGGGAACGCAGCCAAACACGACAATGAAGGCAACAACATGTCGATGTTGATTTTAGCAGAATTTTTGGAAATTTAGATCGTCCATTTTGCAAACTCACGTGACTGACACGTGTCTGATCACGTGACTAGTTACTGTATCGATCATGTGACTTAATGACGTGTCACCCAACCATGTCTTCAAGGAAAACGAAAGTAAATATTTTGGAAAATGTTTTCAGAGCATTTGCTACTGATTATAGAAGGCCCAATTACGCAACAAACGAAACTGCTAAATTGTATTTCGTGCCTAGCAGTTCCAGTACGCAATGAAAGAAACTGCTAAAAATTGTATTTTTAGTCTGCTTATTGATATATTGATTCATAAAGACCTGAAATGATGCATTCAAATAAGACCGCCTCCTAAATGAAAACACTACACATAAAGTGGTGAAAAACAACGAACTAAAGTTGAAAGATCGCAACATTCGCTACTTTGTTCAGTTCCGGAAGTCTCCAAGGGGCTGCAGAAGAAGAAGAAATGGGAAATTTTTACGATTTAGATTTTATAACCTCAGAATACTGCCTTCATTGTCGTGTTTGGCTGCGTTCCACAATGTAACCTAGCAGGATGGATGACATAGAACAAACTGCTAAGTAGACACACGGTAACATTTCATTATTTCGTTATTTTCACCATATGAACTTATCTAGAGAATTTGTGTTCAGATTCTAGTCAAAACAGAAATGTTTGTGACTACTTTGAATTTAAAAGATAAGCAATGACCATATTGAAACAGTTTATGTAAAAATAGAAACATTTATATTTATCCTAACTTTTGTATATTTTAGTTTGTTTTGTAGTTTAGCTATCATATCTGTGTCCTCTTATATTTTGATACTTCTCTGCCATGTTATTTTCGGAAAAATTAACATGGCTGAAACTCCCTAAATTACAAAAGGCCACAGCTTTGCTGCACATTATACATTACTATCTGAAATATACAAAAGTTAGGATAAATATAAATGTTTCTATTTTTACATAAATTGTTTCAATATGGTCATTTGATTGCTTATTTTTTAAATTCAAAGTAGTCACAAACATTTCTGTTTTGACTGAACTTCAATCGATGTATAACATCATAAAATATCGGTTTAATATTCATAGAACGCAAACTGGAGTCGGGAGACAGTGTAATGGATGAAAAATGTTGAAGAGATGATAATTTTCAAGATGGCTTCTCAAGAAGTTGGGTAATGCGCATGCGCCTCCATTCCATGAGATTTAAATGATACAATTTAAAAAAATTTCATATCACTCTTAGAAAAAGAAAAAAATGAAAAAAATGAATTTAAAGTCTTATTTTCCTTTTAACTACAGCCATTATTGTTTCAGACGATTCTTTAAAATTTCAAAGATTGTATCATTTAGAGCAATATATCAGACACATTTTCTGAAAAAATCAGAAGATTCTGTTCATTGACCTTTCCTGGGCACGTACTTTTAGCTATTTTTCAGTCACATATTCAGAGGGCCAAAAATAGCTGATCCATGAATACTGTAGATTGGGTTAATTTGCCGCGACTTTATTTGGCGATTTTGCCATTTTTTGGCATATTGGCGGCTATTAAATTTGGCGTATATGCAAAAAAAATTTACTTACGCGCTGTTTGCGAATTACCATGTAAATGGGCATGTTTGGCTGTGTTCATTTTTTTTTCTTTTGAGGACCACTGGCGATATTCACCACGTTTGTACATTTTTGTGAGATCATCCTTTACATTTTGCACCTCGATCGATGCTGCTACTATACCGCACTTTTCCTTTCTAGTTTTTCTCTGAGTATTAATGAGTGACTGACCAGTTCTGAGCCAACTTATGAGACATTTTTTCATATTTTTGGAAAAAACTAAACCAGAAGTGACCTAAATACACTGGACGAAATACCCTAGATAATTCCCGGGGATTCATTCTAAATTTTGGCGAAGATTTATATTCGCCAAATTAAAGCGGGCGCCAAATTAACCCAATCTACAGTATATATCATTTTGTTTTGAAGGCCAAGTTGTTTTGACAGTCATGACAGGAAATAGATTCTCAAAATGAAAACTAGATTAACAACATTAATTCTGAATTTGGCTTAGAATGTTTACTCAGATATGTATTCTAATATTATTAGCATTTTTATTGACTACAATTTAATAATTGGCGTATAGTTGTAAAACTTTTTTCTAAAGTTAAGCATGAATATTAAAAAATGCTTCTTGAAAGTCAAGCTGAAGCTGATTTTGCAGGTTCAAATCCCGGCCAATGGCAAATCATGTTTTCTTTTTTTCTTTATCTCTGAGCCACAATATTTTCTCTATCTCATTTTTTATAGCACGGTGTCATATTTATTACTTTTTGGGGTTTTAAAATACAGGTAAAATGTCTGTGTGTTGCGTTAACTCATTGTTTATCAGCTATGACTTCCCAGCAGTGAGCTATGACTCAATTTGCATTTTCATTCATAAGAACTTTTTTTTTTTTTTTATAGTATAAACTTTATTGATGTAAAGTCAATACATTTTCGGCCACCAATCGCCATATTGGCATTATAGGTTGGCCATCACTTACATGTAAAAAATTGAGTATAGCATTTAGCTGTTTGAGGACGACTGTGCATCGAAGGGTATCCCAGGGACCAGAGGGGTTTGTGCCAAGTAGATGTGTAAAAAACAAAATAAATATATTATGAGTTCTCCAGGGCTTAGATGAGACCTCTTTGCTATGTCTTGTTGTCATGGAGAAAATTGCTGATGATGATAAGAAGTTTACTTAGTTCTGCTAAGGATAATGTCTCGTCACCATATAAGAGAAAATTAAGTTTATCATCCATGTTTGTTAGTTGGCTGATCTTATTATAGAAGTTATTGTTGACCTCTTCCATCAGGGCATGCCTATTAATTTGGCATAGAGGACACTTGAAAAATAAATGTTTTAGTGTTTCAGGTTTGCCGCAAGAACAATGAGCCGAGTCTATAAATGTAAATGCATATTCTAAAAGAGGTTTAGGTAATTTGTTCCACAGTGATATTGCATTAGGAATAGGGGATTTAATAAATTGGGCAGTTGACCTTATAGGAATTTGGTATACTTCTGTATTGCTTGTTCTTCTGGTAGCTGAATTTTTGAATTCTTCAAATATTGAAGATACATAGGAGGGTACCTGGTTTCTGATTACTTTGTACATGAAGTTAAGAATGTGTTGTTCCCTCCTTTGGGGTAGTGTGCACCAGTTTAAGACCCCTATAACTTTACCTGTATCAGAGCCATGGAGACACCCAGAACACAATAATGCAGCCTGATAATGCAACTTGCTAGGGATATTGATCAGTGCTTGAGTTGATGAATGATAAAGAATGTCTGCATAATCAAAATGAGGCCTTATGAATGAGTTGTACATTGTCTCCAAATGTTTCGAGTTAATCTTTGATGTAAGTGCCTTCAATGGATTAAGCAGTTTTAGTACTCTCTTGACAATGTCATATATATGATTTTTGTTAGAAAGAAGATAATCGAAAGTATACCCTAGATGCTTATGAAGATTATTCCTTTTAATTTCCCCATTTCCAAGTTTGGCTAAAGGTGGCGGAGTAGGAAATACACAGCGCTGGCTTTGAAAGATAACTTCCTCTGTTATTTCAGGCTTGAAATCTAGTTTCCATTTTTGAGACCAGTTAGTTATGATATTAAGATCATGATTGATTATATGCATGTCAGGATCAGATGGATCAAAGGGGTAATATAGTGATGTGTCATCAGCGTAGATAAACGCCTTTCCCAAAAGATCATCGGGTAAGTCATTTATATAAATCAAAAATAAAATTGGACCTAGGATAGATCCCTGAGGGACACCGCAGTTGATATAGTTTGCAGAAGAAGTATCCGATGATTGACCACCAACATTTACGTTGACTCTACGATTTGACAAATATGATTGGAGAATTTGATAAAATTGGCCTTCAATGCCATATGCTTTCAGTTTTGCAAGCAGCAGCTTATGAGGAACATGATCAAAAGCAGAGCTAATGTCTAAATATATTGCACGTACGGCTTTATGATCTTTGATATTTGAATGAAGAAAGTGATTTATTGCCAGTAGCTGGAATTCAGTGTTATGCCCTTCAAGAAACCCAGGTTGGAATTCAAATATTAAATTATTAACTTTAAGGTGGGCATTTAGTCTTGTTGCTACAACACGTTCAAAGACCTTTGATAAAATATTTAGAAGAGTAATGGGTCGATAATTCCCAATGTCAGTTTTATCGCCTTTATTTTTAAATATAGGACAGATACTGCCCATTTTCCATATGTCTGGGAAGGTTTCATGGAGAATAAGTTTGTTAATGAGCTTAGAAAGTGGTAGAGATATAGTATGAGCAGTCAATTGTAACATTTTAATTGTGATCTCATCAGGGCAAAGAACTGGGATGTCACATTTGAAGATCTTTGCAAATTGACTTGTTCATTCTCTGCAGACTTGGTGATTATACATTCTTCAAATGCCAGGAAAGATCAGTTGTAAAAAATGTAGAATCAGAAGGCCATTGAGACCAGGCAAAAGTGTATGTATTAGCAGATGTTTGACTCTTGAAGTTTATTGCACATTTTCAGTTTTAAAGTTTTTGAAAGTTGTTGCACATCCATCAAGACAATAACATTATCTGTTATTATCATGATGGTAATTATCAAATCTTCAGATCTGAAGGATAACACTTTATTGGATTTCATTGGATTGGCTGAAAAAGTAGGCCAGAAAAATCAATAAAAATCCAGGCAGTTGTTTACTCCAGTCTGGCTAGAAACAACGCCATAGTAATTCTCATTTTCTATCTTGGTATAATAATATAGTAGGAAGTATAAATTAATGTCTATAGGAACAATACAGCGTTGCGCATTCGGGGGTTACTGCCACCGGTTATACATGGATGCCATGAGGACCTTCCTGCAACATACTCAATGTAGGGTATTCAACATACTCAAAAGATACTCACTTGCATTTGATGCACAATTAACGCATTTACATGTTTATAATAGAACTACTGTATATGAGGTAAGTATATAGAATCATAGTATTAAAGTGGTATAGTTATTGGTAAGATAATGCAATAAGGCCACAAATAGATGGAGTTTCAAGGATGTTTTGTTTACTATATCCAGGGTGTTTTATGTTTTGACGAGTCAGTTCTATTTTCTGACGTGTTTTACCAGCTAGCTAGCTTATATAGCAACAGTCTGCCGTGGTCTCATATTTCTCCCATAAAGATGATTTACCTAATGGCAAAGGTGAAAAGTGAATGTCGGAATGGTAAAGTTGGCAACGAACGTGTTGGACGCCATGTTTACCAGCGTCATTCACATATTCTTGTTTTTATTTTTGTCATCCTGACATTTATATTTTTAAAGGTCGCCCAAAATATTACGGTATGTGTTGTATTTTAGTATCAAGTACCTAGCTAACGAGATATTTGTTCATTTTTGTTCATGAATTTAATAGTACAAGAAATAAAAATGAGGCAAAAATATGATGAAGGTGTGTTTTTAAACTTGTGTCGTAAACTTCAAATTATTCCAAAGATTATGTTCAAGTATCACAATTGCAAAATGCATAGTGAATTATTTAAACACACTGTATTATGAGATAAAATTCAAACATTATATAAGTACTTTTCTAACATGACTGAGGAAAAGAAGTTTCTTTGTCCTGCAAATCAAATATGGAGGAAGTCCTGCATTTCATTGAAATATGCTTTAAGAAAAGAAATCTATAACATCGCAACCATTACAACACAGTATCTTTGTAGATTAATGTAACTGTATAAATGTAGTTTGTATAATTGTAGTCTGGCCATGCCCTGATAACACAGTGGCCGTGCCTTAAAATTCTAAATTAAATTCTATAAAGTTTCTTCTGAGGTTACAACATAAGTGATCTAGTTTAGTAGTTATGTTGTTTTGGAGTTATATCAGGTCACAGTTTCTTGTCTGGTGCTCTTCTATTGTAAACTTACGGTAAGTAGTGCAATGTTTATGACTAAAAAGTGGCATGACATTTAAGTACCTAATCATGATTCCATAAAAGAATTAGTTAAGGTTTTATACATTGTTTAAAAATACTCAAGCGATAGATTTTGATAAACCATTAATGATTTCTTAACTTGACAATAGAACAAATATAATCAGTTGACAACTTATTTTATGTTTTTGAAGTGGCCATTTCAGAGTGCTGTTCATCCCACTTTTATAAATCAAAACATTGACCCTAGCTCTATATAGTAAACATCTACAGTTGTATTTTAACTGGAGCTGTTTTTGTTTCATCACTAGCCCTTTAAAAATAACTGGTAATAGCAATTTGAAAATATCTTGTAATGCGAAGTCTAGTCTAAATGTGTAAGATAAAATATATGGTTAAGTTTAGTGTTGTCGCGATTAATCGATACATCGCGATATACATCGCCAAAGCTGATTCTGGCGATGCATCGATGTCTGAAACAAAACATCGATGTTTTTAAAAAAATTTAATTTGCTAAAAATCACCCTTTCTTGTCTTATTTTGACGTAAATCACTCACCTTTCTCATGTCTTATTTCATTTTCCAATGTTTTCTGATATTATTTCGCTTTTAAACTGTTTTAGCTAGTCGAAATGAACCATTAATCTAAAAAAATTACTTTACTTTCATTTCAACGTTACTAGAGGTTCCCGGATGTACCAGCGTACTCTTATTAATTTGTTCTGTTCGGTATTTTAGTGCATTGGCGTTCGGTATTTCAGTGCACTTTTCTCGGACTTTTTCTCGATGTACATCGTGATGTGCATCGATGTTTACTACTGAAAATTGCCGATGCATCGATGTATGATTATGGCACATCGCGACAACACTAGTTAAGTTACATGTATTTTAAAAAAAATTTTAACAAGCATTACTGTCGAAAAATCGGTCCACAATAAATATGAAATTATTTGTAAGATCAACCTTGCTGGTATCGTCAGTTAAAAAGGGCATGCGTCCCAAGGTTATTTGAGTACATACCATTGGTGCCTACCAGTGTAAGTTGGTAAACAACACATGTGGATGTTCCCAGCTTGGTTTTGGACGTGAAATGTGCTTTCTGCTGATGGCATCAAAGTTCAGGTAAGACAGAAATGTGACAGTTGATGAAAGTGAATCAGTAAAAGGAACATAACCATTCTCTGTTAGGTGGGCTATTTTATTCTGTTTAAAGATTTATTTTGTTTTGTACTCTAAGTTTTATCTCTCTGTTTTGTTATGTTTCGTTTTGATTTTTTCGTCTTGTTTTATATTTCAATAATTGAACACAAGAGGAAATACTCATCAAATACATTTCTTTCATGAATTGAACTTCACTATTGATTATCGTTTACCACTTACAACTGGCTATAACTGCTTCTAAAGCAATGAATCATCGTTTAAACAATGACATGAAGTAATGCCAACTACTACCTAATTAACAGACATTAATGAGCGTTTAAAGTTATTATATTCATTAAACCGTAAAATAAATTATTTTCTAAAAATGGAACTTATCATTTACAAACTTACTGTCTTAATACTTTCATTGACCCATAAGCAAGAGACTGATATGATAGTCAATAAATGAAATATATTTTATTAAGTATTGCAAATGTTAAATTGACATTTGAACAAAGTCCAATGTGGTAGAGGTTGTTGACATTCACAAATAAAAACAGTATAATATTAGTATGAACATGTAGTTTCAAAATCACCACAAATGTCTTTACAACATCAATATAATATATATATATAAATACAAATAAAAAACTATTTTAGAATTGCTAGATTTATTCGTGTAACAGGGACAATTTTTCTCGTTATTTTCACTTGTCCCTACCTTCTTAATAACAAAATTGATGAACTTCCATTGGAGGAAATTTTATCATTTTCACCAAGAAGGAGGTTGTTTTGTATCCAAATATTTTATCTGTTGATAGTTACATCTGGTTACTGAAAAGCGAATCAGTCAGGGCCGGTATATAGTACATCCAAGGGCTCTTATAATTGAGTGAGAAACCCCTTGTTTTAATAGCAACCAGGACATTAACACAACACAACTAAGATGTTATGAAATTCACTAGATAACGTCCTGGTTGCTAAAGTGAGAGAATTCTCACTCGATTATTGGAGCTACTGGATATATTTGCTTGTGACTGACTAGCTTTTTATTAGTAACTGGATGTTACTTTTAACATACCAAAGGAAACATAAACCAAATGTATTTGGATACAAATCAACCTCTTTTTGGTGAAAATGATAAAAATAAAAGATCTTACAAATTTTCTCTAACGCAAGTTCATCCATTTTATTTTAAAGATGTGACGTCATTACAATAGAGAGATTTCGCAACTCAATTATAGTATGTTTATTATTGCCATATAATGTGTATGAATGTTTGATTATATCGGCATTTATTACGCAGCTCTATACGTCCATTCTTATGTATAGACGATGATTTATAAGAATGTCACTCTTATGGATTGGATGTATAGAGCTGTGCAATAAGGGATAACGTAATCAAACGCTTCATAAGTTACACATTTTACGGGAATGATAAACATGCTATAAGTGAGTTGCGAAATTTCTCTAATGTGTTGGTTAAGAGTTAACTATACAAGATGCATTCTTCCTTGATGTCACTTCAACCTTGGCATGACCTAATCTTGGGAGGGGCATACTGACTTGAGGAACATGTTCATATTTGACATGAAAACATTTATGCACAACTTCATATTTGCTCTCTTTTGTCAGCATAATCTGAAAATTGTATTTTTAACTGTGTAAAAATTAACCAATAATGATGAATTGAAAACAACTTGAGAATAACTAAATGTCTCGTATAGTAATATGGCAATTGTCTTATACATATATTACTTGGGATGGATTATATTTTTTCACCATTAGTATCTGGCGAGAAAATTGTTAGGGATCTTACTTTTGGCTCACCATGTGAGTCTATAGAATTGTCCACTACTCTGTCTGTTTCTCTCGGTCTAACTGCAACAATTTTCTAACAAATGGAAAATGGCATTCATCTGAACCATTCACCCCATCCCCCAAAAAGGGAATAAAGGAATTATGTAAAATTTGTTGAAAAAACATTAGTAAATTATAGATTGAAATGCTTAGAATGCACCACATACAATGTAATTTTTAATTTCCAGGGGTGAACCCTGTACCCTCCCTCTTTGCGGCTCTCTTCTCTCGCAGTAATGCAAATCCAAATAACCGCACCACCCTTGAAAATTGCTGGCTTCACCCCTGCAATATGTATGTAATTAATAAATATGTAATTTATATTTGTCTATTGATAAGCGCGTCTAAATACTTTGCTATAACAAACAAAGGAATATAAAACAGGGAGTTTTTCATTGTATTAAGAGAGATTATTCTAGTTATTGCGCAGTATTAAAGACCTGACCTGAAATGAATATTGGCATATAGCTAGAGTAGGAAGTATTACTTCACTTAGTACCTGGATGTGCTGAGTTATTGAGTTACAGGATATGTTTCATCTTGATTAATGTGGAATTAGAAATATTCTCGATAATCAAATGTATCTATTGGGTTTTGAACTTGATGTTTGTTTTACTGATTTTTATGTCACCATCACAAAGTGGTGAAATATTGTTATAGTCTCCAATTTTTTATGAACAGTGTTTGGCAGTTGGTGTCTGTAACAAGTAGCAGGTGGTGACATTTTACATGTTATTAGGCGGGCAGAATTGGAGGTCCAAAAAAAAGTTTAATATACAGTTGCAACATATTCATGAATTTGGTACCATTGGAAAGCTTGAGGTGCCTTGTTTACTTAGCATGGTACAAATTCTGTTGAACACAGGATTTGACATTTTATTTAACTGTGCTTTTCTGTGTCATTTCAGAATGATGTTTGTTACAAAGTTAGAGATGGGGAGCACCCTTGGCCGCTATTATTTGCTAGCCTGTTAAAAGCCTGAATGAGGCAAATCCGTGATACCACAATCTAAAACGAGCCACTCAAGGCAGCAAAGAAAGCTTACGAAAGGAATCAAGAACTGAAGTTAGGAAAGCAAACCTGTGCTTCGTGAAATATCCGAAGCATTAAAGAATATTTACCACCAACGTAAAGAGATTGTTTATCGTGCATCACTGAATCCGAAGATCTAAATTCAAGATGGCGGATCTGGATGGCGATTATGAGTATGACGATATTGGAGATATCATGATGTTTCCTTTGGATGTGGATGATCATGATGAGAACTCTAACGGAAAATCGTCTATTGACAGTAAAAGCTCTGAAAGTAATAAAAGTAGTTCCGAGAGTGAAGATGAGGGGTATGGGAGGACGCATAAAAAGCTCCCACTTCGTATGCGAAGACGTTCAAAAGCCCAAGAGATCCCAAAACTTAACTTAAATCTTACACCGAGCAAACTCCCACATCTGTCATTTTGGAAACGTGCAATTAATAAAGCGAAGAAAGCTAAAGATCCCTGGGAGGGGTTCCATATAGATGACTATGAGACAGAAGAGGCCACTAGGCATCGATACCACCCTATTCACCAAAAGTGGGTTGTTGATAAAGTTAAAGTCAAGATGGAGAAAAAAGTGAGCATAAAAATATTTATGATCTTTGAATTATTTTTCTGTTTTGACATTTACGTTTAAAGCCTAAGTGCATTTAAAAAACAACATGCAGTCCTTTGTTCAACATTTGAGTATATCTCAAGGTTGTTACATTTTATTCGTAAACAACATATTGGATTCACCAGGAATTCACCAAAAAGTATAATTTGCATGCATTTAAAGTTAATAGGACGATTTGATAATTATTCCCTATTGTAAACTTCAACTCATCATATGGCCCATAAGTTAAGATTCTGTAAGTCACACCAGTCTTTGAAATAGGAAGTTCCTCAGCTTGGTATAAAACAGTATAATGGTATATTGTCAGACAGCACAATTTTTGTTGATATTCATTGGCACAATTTTTTTTTCTTATGTTGATAGACATAACACTGTGTTATATACACATTGCCAAAACTGAAATATTCTGTCAGTAAAAATAGATCTTCATCTTTTTTCTGGAGATCAAAGAATATATGAGAAATAATTTCTGATCACTTTCCGATATAATTTATAAATACAATTATTGCCATTAACTGTGACGCATGTAGACAGTTATTTGCTTGGAGCATAATATATTGCTTTCCCTTGTTGAACATAGACTCGCTGATCCAATTAGCTGATCACATTTTATATAAATTGCCTCATGTACAAGGCCAATATGCATATTAAACCCTCGACATCGAAAACATCTTCACCAAAAATTGACATTAAAACCTATTTAGGCAGTATTGTAAATATAGTCCTTCAGGACTAAAGTTTCTAACATGTAGTTTTTTTTGTATGTACATGCACATGACAATCAAAATGTATTCATAGTACATCTGTACGTGAAAGAATACATGTGTGATTGTAATATTGAAGGCCTTTGAAAGTTGATTAAAGTGTTTGTAACAGCCCAAAATCACAAAAAAATGTCCCCAAAAGTTAATTAATTCAATCCTTTGTTATATCAACATAGTATCTATCTACTTACGTGATGTTGATCGTATCACATTAGTCTGAAATAGGCGAATTCAAATTTTAAATATTTTGGCTTCTGACGTCACGATCCGAAGCTTCCGGGATGCACCTCTAAAAACAATATGGCGGAGATAGGGGAAAAATAAAACTAAGAATGGTACGCTGGTGTGTACTCGGAGGGTGCTCCAAATCGAGAGAAAACGACGGTGTATCGTTGCATGAGTTCCCAAAGGACCTCTCTATCTCCAGAAAATGGCACAGTTTTGTCTTGAAAACGCGGAAATGGGACATGCCTCCAGAGACCGCAATTCGGAGAAAAGTGCAAATTTGTTCGGATCACTTTGAACGGGATTGCTACGACAGCAGCCATTACAATCAATGGAAGCTAGGTTATGTCAAGTATGTTGAATGGTTATACTTTTCTGCTTTATGTTTTACTTAAAAATAGACTTTTTAGGTCATTTTTGAACAATAATTTGTGTCCTGCAATAAACCGGAAATGAAAAATCGTAAAATTGTAAATGGTTCGTTGGGCTACGTTTCAATGTAATCAATCATAGAAACGAACATAAATTAATAAAAACATACATCATTATAACAAAAAACAAGTTTCTTATTATTCTGGGTGTGTGGAAAAAAAACGAGTATCAAGTGGGCGTGGCACATCAATAGGTGGGCGTGGCACATCGTTGAACACATTGAGAACTATACTTATACACCTACATGTAGGTACTGTGCATGCATAGGGCACAGTCTGGTGTCTCAAATAAACGAGTAAAAAGTGGGCGTGGCACATCAACAGGTGGGCGTGGCACATCGATGAACACATTGAGAACTATACTTATACACGTACATGTAGGTACTGTGCATGCATAGGGCACAGTCTAGTGTCTCAAATAAATATATATTTATTATTAGTCTCCTCATATTTTAGGTTCCTGATGTTCGACAAAAATAGGCCTACATATCCAATACCAACAATATTGCCACCAAAACCAGAATCCCTTGATCAAAAGGCCAAAAGACAAAGTATCGAGGACAGGAGACTGAAAACTACAAAGAAGTTGAAAATTGCAAGAGTATGTATTACTTTAGTAAAGTATGAACCTGTAAGTGAAGCTACTCAACATATAGATTCATACATATACATTCATGTGACCGATATTGTTTACATGTAGGAGACAATATAATATCCAATAAAACATAGTCCAAGACTAAGTGAAGTGCTTGTTTACACACATTTTAGACTTATGTCATATATCAATATGGAAATTGGTAACAAAACATAACAAGCTATACATGAGTTACAATTACAAATGCATAATAAAGTTCATTATCATTGCTTTTCTGAGTTTTGGGAATTACTCCATTGATTTTGAAATTTGCCTTCATGTTTATGTGTTGCTTGACATGTTAAATTTTCCAACATCTAAATTATTTTTCAGATGAAAGCAGAATTAACTTCACCTAGGCCAAGCAGTAGCACATCTTCTGTTCAAGGAGATGATGAAAATTCTTCTGAGGCGTCCTTTGAAGACCCAAGTAATGTTTCAAGTGTGTCATCTGTTGACTCAACTACATCAGACCCAGGTGTTGTGCAGGACAGTGAGGACACAGATGCAGTTACAATAGTTGGGTCACCTATTCAGCTGGAACTTGATACTGATGTACCTGTCTTATCAGCTGAGTCCGCTTCATGCAGCCAATTGCAAACCATACAGTACAAACCTTGTATTACGCGTGAGGCCTCAACACAAACCAGTGAGACATGTAAGTGTATAGTTGCAAGTAATTATTAAAAATTAATTAGCGAATGAATATGATTTTATTTTGAAGGATAATACTCTGTTGACAAATGAAAATATATTGATGGAGAGCTTCAATCAAAGAGTTGATTTGATCTGATCTCGATCAATGTTATAATGCGCTAAGAAATCCATATCCTTACTAATTATTTATAACAACCTATTTTTTTTATTTATTTTAGTCTTTATTTAGACATTAGCCTACATGTTTAATAAGAAGATTTTGATATTATCTTCATCTTAGGTGAAAAAATATATTTTTATACAATTTCCATTAATTCAGATTTGAACATAAAATTTATCCTATCAAATGTTTTTGGTTTTTTGTAATGTAAGATTTATAAATACTGCGTGCAAGGATGCTTGTAAAATAATTCAAAAATAAAGTATGTAGATAGCTTTAGTCATTTGTAACCAAATATAATTTTTCTTTATGAAATATGAAGTCACATGTGTTAAATATATGTGTCCACATATCTTTTGACAAAACAAGTGATAACATATACATGTTCAATTTGGCAATATACATGTAGCTGTACATGTGTGTATGTTACCTGTTATCATTGTTCAGGATCAAATACTCTACTTTGTACATGGCAAAAGCAGGTGGTGACATAAATCATGCATTGGTAATATTTTTCAGGGCCTACATTGTTAACAAGATATGGAACTCCAAAAGATTTAGAGGCCCATGCTCCATTGCCAAAATTACCACCAATGGTACGGCGTGTAACCAAGGATTCATTGGAAACCATCGGCACTGTGAAGGAAGCCAAGGAGAAGTATGAGTCACCACCACGTTTTATTCAGCATCCATCAGATGATGATGGAGAAGATGAAGAGGATGATGACCCTGATTATAAGCCAATTGACTCAAGTGGAAGCCCAAGCCCAAATGAATCCCCAATAAGGTACATCATGGATATATATTCTTTATATTTTTGAGAGACTAGCTCAGTAGAGCCAACATTATGAGAAGTGAAAATAAAGAAGCATTGACGGTTCTTACGTTGTTGTGATGGTGAACCAATACATCATTTACATTTGCCATATTTATTATTATGGGGGAAATAACCAAAAATTGGGAGTCAGAAGAGTTATCACAGATTTTTTTTAAAAAAATTTCTGACTGCTATTTGCATTCTTAATTTTTTTATTTCATTGTTGTGAGTTATGTTTATAAACCTTTGTTTTTCAGGCCCCCCAAGAAAAAGCTAAAGAAAGAGAGAATTATACCCAAACACAAACCCCTAGATTCAAATAGGAAGTACATAGTTTTTGAACAAATGTTGTTGAAATTATTTACCATATGTTTCAACTGTAGAAAAGATGCCCGTCCATTGATTCAAAATTTTGTTGGAACAATGATAATCATTCATCAAGAGTGTACCAATCTTCATTGCCCAGGATACACCTGGCACTCTCAACCATACATCAATAATCTCGCTGCTGGCAATCTTTTACTATCAGCTGCTATTCTTTTTTCTGGTAATCTGCCATCTAAAACTTTGAGAATGCTCAATTTCTCTGGCATCAAAACCTTTTCAAGAATGACTTTCCACCGTATGCAGAGAAATTATCTGAATCCTGCAATCTATTCTGTTTGGGAATTCTCTCAGAAAAACCTCTTTGAAGACCTACCAAGTAGCCTGCTGTTAGGAGGAGATGCCCGTTGTGACAGTATGGGCCACACAGCCAAATATGGCTCATACTCCCTGATTGACCTGAAAAGGAACCAAATCATTGCCATGGAGCTTGTACAGGTATGATGTGCAGTAAACTATCCATTTATTTAATGTTATATCATCTATTTGAGTAAATACATGTACTTGAATAATGAGCAATATGTTTTTTTTAATTGCCTTCCTTTGTCAATTCCTAGAGCTGTGTTTTGAGATTATATACTATAAACTGATGTAATCATGATACTAATGGCAGAAGGAATCTTGAACTGATCTCAGAAAAAGTAAGAGTATGGTTTGACTGTTGCTTTCAGAAGAATGAGGTACCCAATTCATACCACATGGAGTTGGAGGGACTCAAGCGATGTAAAGGCAAGCTGGAAGATATTTCTACTGAGCTTGACACAGAACCAACAAAAATTACATTGGTCACTGACAGGCATCCTCAGATTAACAAATGGTTGAGGGAAAATTGGCGAATTAGTCACTATTTCGACATCTGGCACATAGCCAAAGGTAAGTCAGTATACTAAATAAATGAGAATTTGGTCATGCAACAAACCAATTGAGATTTTAGTAAGAGCAGACCGTAAGCTGAATGACAACATACTATATAGTATTTTACATGCATGTAAATCAATATATTGAATGAATTGAAGTCCAGTCACAAAACTCATTATGGTTATATAAATAAATCATTATGCAATAAACAGATTTTTTACACGTATGGCATCATACAATTTGGAAACTGAGTAATAAGAGATATAAAAATGTTTTTACTGTACTGTAATTAAATAAACTTATTTTTGGACACTTATTATTATACATTTTTTTAGGTTTGAAGAAAAAACTAGCTGTGCTGGCAAAGAAATACCCGGATATTCATCAATGGAACAGGGCAATTATCACCCATTTATACTGGTGCGCTGTTTCCAGCAAGATGGAGAACAATGATCTTGATTCAGAATTGTGCCTAGAGAAATGGAAGAGTCTCCCAAATCATATCTCCAACAGACATGTTCATGACAATGACAGGTTTCCTAGATGTGCCCATGGAGATGTTACACCAAAGCTTTGGTTAACTCCTGGTCAGTACCTATCTTTAAAATTGAAAGATCAATGTGTACATAGAAAATGGAATTAGCTCACTGTATGTATATTATTTTCACTGTGTTGTTAAACTTTTACATATCTAAGCACAGGCACCAAAAGGGAAGAGATTAAAAACCTACAAAAACCAAGCAAGAAAAGCAAAGTCTAGTTAATTGAAAATCTGCAATAAAAATAGACCCTGTATTTGGGGTCTTACATTCATATTTATATGAATGTGAATGATGTGTATGGCCAGGTGAGATAATCATGTTCAGTAAAATATTATTGTAGTTTTAACATTATTTATCATTTAACAGGTACCCAGCAGTATGAAGATCTTCTTAAGATTGTCGAGACTAACTATATGCTAAAAGATGTTTCTAAAATGTCACCGATGGGTCAAACTGGTTCCCTTGAAGGTTTTCACAGCCTTGTAAATCAATTTGCACCAAAGATGGTGCACTTTGGACATGCTGCAATGAATAGCAGGTATGTATGTAATAAAATGTATTTTTGGTTTGATTTTATTTACTATCAAATAATTTCATTTGATAAACCAGGTCATATAATGTGTTATACCAATGGCATAACTGGGATCTAAAAGAAGACCAGAAAAATTAGTAAGCATTGTTCAGTTTGATTTTGTTGAGATGGCTTCATACCCAACTCTTTGTTGTCATAAAAAATTTAATCTGTGTTCTTGACTGAGAGTAAATGCTTTATATTCAGGTTGACCTTAGCTGTCTTGCATTATAATGAGAATGCTCGGCGCTGTGCTGCCACCAATAGAGGAGGGGCCATACAGTGGAATCTATCCTACTCAAAGGCAAAGGGCGGAGAACCAGTTGTGCGTAAAATCAAAGTAACTTGTACATATGGTATGTTTAATCAAATAACTGAATACATCCACAAATAGAAAATATCCTAGATATTTGCTGTGTATTTGTCCTGATTATTTAGGTTCTGGCTTTCTTTTTACTTGGTTAATTAAGTAATATATCAATCTGCCAAATTAAAAAATGAAATGTTGATTTCAAATCTTTTGTTTATAAAGCATTGACAGTAATTTATTCTATTAAAACTTATATTTGTTCATATCATACATTGATCTTTTTCATTATTTTCAGAGTATGTGAACCATCTTCTGGAGAAGACCATATACCTTGCCAACAACAGACATGAGGCACTTGCAATCCAAGGAGTCATAGAAGCCAGGGCCCCAAGAGCACCATCAAAGGACTATCCCCAAGTTAATAAAGATGCCCAGATTATTGAACTAACCACAAGATTCCCAAATATGTGCGACCAATAAAACATTTTTCAATTATTTTAGTCATGGTATTATCAGGTCTATGTGTAGCAGCAGGTACTGAAGTAGTCTTGAAAAATTTTGAAACCTTTTTTTCAATTTCATAACATTGTCTTTGTCATATCTATTTTCAAAAAATCACCAGGGCTGATACTTTATTGAGGAAAACTAGCTAAAGAATTTTACAATGGTGCATTTACCTTTCTATTTACCAACTGATTACATATACTGCATCTTTAGACTACATGTTACTTGCAATTCTATCTCTCCATATAAATCTGATTCTGCCTTGTACTATTTCAAGACATTTTTCAACAATACCATGAACAACAATATGAACTATAGAATATACATCACTCATATTTTATTGAAAGGACACATTGTTTGAGAATTATAGAAAATCTTTAAAGGATTCAAGCTTAGGACTCCCGACAATTTGAAGGATGATCAAACAAGAAATGTCTTGTTTGCAAGCTGTTTACAAATGATCAGAAAAAATAGTGATAACCATAGTGCTTGGCTACATATGTTCAAGAATGTAGATTGAAAACTGATTGATTATTGTAAACATGGATATTGCAATGTATGAATTATAACCATAGTGCTCGACTGTGTTTTCAAGAATGCAGATTGATAACTAAATTGTTCTGGTACAATGATATAAAATACATCACTGCCAATTTGTATCTCTTGTAGTTGTTTATATTTTTGTTGAGAAATGCAACACATGAGAATATGGGTAGGTCATACACTATATATGGTACAGGTAGGTCATACAACACCCTATACAGGATACAGGTAGGTCATACATCACACTATATGAGTACAGGGTACAGGTAAGTCATATGACACACCATATGAGGATACATGTAGGCCATACAACACACTATACAGGGCATAGGTAGGTTATACAACACTATATATAAGTGTATTGAGTACAGGTATGTCATACAACACACTACACAGGGTACAGGTTGGTCATACAACACACTCTTTGAGTACAGGTAGGTCATACAACACACTACACAGGGTACAGGTTGGTCATACAACACACTCTTTGAGTACAGGTAGGTCATACAACACACAACAGGGTACAGGTAAATCATACAACACACTTTATGAGGATACAGGTAAGTCATACAACACACTATATGAGTACAGGTAGGTCATACAACCTACTATATGAGTACTAGTAGGTCATGCAACATACTATATGAGTACAGGAACGTCATACAATACACTATACAAGGTACAGGTAAGTCATACAACACACTTTATGAGGATACAGGTAAGTCATACAACACACTATATGAGTACAGGTAGGTCATACAACATACTATATGAGTACAGGTAGGTCATACAACATACTATATGAGTACAGGTAGGTCATACAACACACTATACAGGGTACAGGTAAGTCATACTACACAATATATGACTACAGGTAGGTCATACAACACACTATATGAGGATACAGGTAAATCATACAACACACTATATGAGTACAGGTAGGTCATACAACACACTAAACAGGGTACAGGTAAGTCATACTACACAATATATGACTAGAGGTAGGTCATACAACACACTATATGAGGATACAGGTAAATCATACAACACACTATGAGTACAAATAGGTCATACAACACACTATACAGGGTACAGGTAAGTCATACTACACAATATATGACTACAGGTAGGTCATACAACACACTATATGAGGATACAGGTAAATCATACAACACACTATATGAGTATAAGTAGGTCATACAACACACTATATAGGGTACAGGTAAGTCATACAACACACTATATGAGGATACAGGTAAATCATACAACACACTATATGAGTACAAGTAGGTCATACAACACACTATACGGGGTACAGGTAAGTTATACAACACACTATATTAGGATACAGGTAAGTCATACAACACACTATATGAGTACAGGTATGTCATACAACACACTACACGGGGTACAGGTAGGTCATACAACACACTATTTGAGTACAGGTAGGCCATACAACACACCATACAGGGTACAGGTAGGTCATACAAGACATTATACAGGTAAGTCATACACAAGCTATACAGGGCACAGGTAAATCATACAACACACTATATGAGGATACAGGTATGTCATACAACACACTATATGAGTACAGATATATCATACAACACATTATATTAGGATACTGGTAAGTCATACAACACACTATATGAGTACAGGTAGGTCATACAACACACCATACAGGGTACAGGTAAGTCATACAACACACTATATGAGGAAACAGGTAAGTCATACAGCACTATCCGTAACATTCATTACTCAACTTAGGTAATAAATTTAGTGCAGTGCACACTGAACAACACTATTCATTTCATATTCATAAAACCAATTTCTCTTCTGAAAGAAATGGGTCCTTCTGTCTGAAATTCAGACTGAAGGAGATGGTAGCGAAACTCGCTAAAGTCAGTCCATCTGGTCCTCTTGATCATACTGTTGGAAGCCAGTATACACTGGGTCCAACTCAGGCGCAGGGAATGTCTCTCTGATGAGGCTCACGCAACAAGATGGGATGATTATCCGCACATGGCGACCAAGGTGACCATGTATCCACTGTTGATACTGTCTATATGCTATATGACGCATCTTCTTGTGGTCCGGACCTTCATAGCCATCAGGATACTGAGATTTGTAGCGCCCCCAAGCTGTTTCTAGGACATCCCGATCCATGCACACACCACGGAAACCACTATGCCTAGTAATGCATCTCCGCCTCTCAGTTGTTGTTCCACGTAAAACCTCCTTGTCTAACTTCTCCATTGCTGATGGACTTTCCACGCAACACTCTCTCTCAATGGGGTTTGGAAGTATTGTGCAGTGAAGATCACACTCACACCTGAAAGTAGACAAAATATGCAAATGTAGACCAGCAACACAAACTAATGTCCTTTAGACATATAGGCTGAATATGCAATACTTCAATCAAACAATGCCAAGAGACTTGACTGTATTCATGTATTTATTTTACAACAACTGTTATGTTTGAATGCTATCTATAACTGTTGAATAATTTCCTATAGAAATTCAACGCTACTGAGAACTGCATACTTTATTCAAATTCCATCTTTAGAATCTAATGGTCACAGACTTCGAGCCAGATAAAGTCCCCGTTTGTAGTAGGCTCAATAAAATAATAAGTATATTCATTGAGCCTAGACACTGAGTCGAGAATCTGGAAAAGGTCCGTGGCTTTTGTTTACAAAATTTTGAAAATAATTGTCAGACTTTACGTTCAAATTACGAGTCAAAATGACCATTATCCAAAGAACTTCCGAGGGAAAAGTACAGTCACAACATAAAATTATCAAATAAATAGTTCAGAACTTACCAATCTTCCAATCTATTGCGATAATCTGGATCATTTATTGTCAGGACATCAACTGGTCCGACATGATGATCAGGGGCTGGGGGATCGTGGATGTACGGCTGCACTTGAACTACTCCTGGGACATTCAAAGCGAATGTATCCGACTCTTCTTCACTGTCAGTGCTGTCGGAGACATCTTGACTACTCTGCCGCGAAAGATAGTAGTCATCCATCTCGTCAATGTTTAGATATGCATCGTTTTGTACGGAGTTGTTTTCTAGCGAAGCCATTTTGTATTGTAGAAAATTTTCTAGTCTGACCTATTTTCGGATCGTGACGTCATTTTTAGCGGTAAAAATAAAATAAACAATTCTGATTGGCTGAATCTCCGCTCCTAATGTATACATTTCAGAATTTGTTCAACCTGTAAGATATAGATTTGTATTCTGTTTGGATCGTAAAAAGCTCATTTTTTGTGTATTTTACACTGTTACAGACACTTTAAGTATATGTTTAATGTTCTGATGAGGGCCAAATTTTAGGAGGGTGGAAGAAAAAAAAAACATTAAAAAAACTAAACCTTTATTTAATGGATTTCTATTTGGACTTTATTTTATTCTAATACTTGTAGTAGAAATACCATGAAACATACAAAGATTCAGCAATCTATAAATACCCGTTGATTTCATTTGAATTAATTTGTGACCACCACTTGGCATATGTAACAATCATTACACTTTTGTCATTTCAATCTGGTGGTTACATTTTGTCATGCTAATGCCATGTTTTGTATATAGTTCTATATTATACATTATGGATCACATCATTGAACCATCTTTCATTCAATTTCACAGTGACTTTGCCACCTTCCAACTCTAAAATGAAAAGTGAATTACGACTTTGAAATTGAAATTGAATTATAACTTAAGACAAAATTGACATTGTAGTTGAGCATTTATTTTAAAAAGGAAATGTGTGAAGTTATTAGAGGTTTACTCCCTCCATCCCCCATTTTGACCATTTAGAGTTCAACTTAAAAATTAGAATTAAAATTGATGAATTTCCTTTTCGACTTTTCCAGACATTTGCTAAAGGTGCAATGAGAGAATGCTTCAGACTGTAAGTAAATCTATTTACTATAGTCATTAATAATTTTTGTCAATTTTTGGAGTCAAGGAAATGTATATTTTAGCCTTTATTTGTATTTTTCAAACCTGCAAAATTGTCATTCGCAATCTTTTATTCTATTTTAGTTTTGAAAAGCACGTTTACAGATCCTTGAGTCACTTACAGCTGTAACTCATTTTCAAATGTTAAAGTAGAATTCCTTTATTTTATATTCCAGTAAAAAGTTGTCGTCTTTCTCCCACTCGAATGATTGGAAGCGAGCGCAGAATTATGTGTGTAAGACTTATATGGAAGACGTAGACAGAGAGGTGTACTTTGAAGATGTGAGGCTGCAGATGGATGCTAAACTGTGGGGAGAGGAGTATAATAGACATAACCCACCTAAGAAGGTAGAGTTTATCATAGTTATAATTTACATTATTTACATGATTCTTACAGAACCTACATTTTAAAAGTTACAATATCAAAATATTTTAGATAGTTTTAACAAAAAAAATTTAAGATCTTTTATGTTAATTCTATGTTAAGGTATAAACCATAACCTAGTGTATTCTTTGCCATTGATTGACAGTCCTTAAGCCCACTGAGATATTATAGTATAAGGTCCAAAAATTCGGAGAAACACGTTTGCATAATTCTATGCAAAATTACTTGTTTCAGAAGTCAGAGTTATCATTATTGCTCTTTGTTCTCATGCTGCCACTTTATTGGGATAACAAGCATAGCTTTTTGTGTCACAAGTATTACATCGCAATCAGTAGCTGATATTTTGTCACATTAATGCATCTCACCTATCTTTTTCAGGTTGACATATTCCAGATGTCAATTTTGGAGTTCCAGAATCGTGAAGGTTGTCCACTGTACCACCTTGAACACTTCATAGAGGGAGAGTATGTGAAATATAACTCCAACTCTGGTTTTGTGGATGAACACATCAGAAGAACCCCACATGTATGTTCTAAAACACAATGTTTTTGATGGGAAAAGGGGGTTTCTGTTGTACAATTCAACACCCACCTTTGCCAAGAGTGCAAGTTAAGGAACACTGTTCAAAACTCACATTTGCCACTACCAATGGCACTTTTACTCTTGATAAAGAACTTGGAAAAATAGGGTGCCTAATTGGAACTAATTTCCTGAGCCTGGATGATTGTGGCAATCACATTTCATCCTTGCTTTCTGTAAAAGTTGTCTCAGTTGTGCATGCCAAGCTGAGCTAATCAATTAAAAGACTATAATACATTTATGACTCGACTTGATAACTATACGGCATAAAAAATGATTATCTTGTATTCCTCTGAAAACTTAAATTTGATCACTTTTATAAAAACATTATCTAATGCGTGTAAAGTTGCAATTTTTCATGTGGAACAGTTACTTTGTTATATTATCACCACTTTTCCTTTTGAAAAACATCAAATTAATTCATATGTATCATATCATATTAAATGCCCCTGGAATTGTTAACCTAGTAACTGAATTAGAGTTCAAAGTGGCAAGATAAAATCCAGGCACTAGCAAAAAGCGATCTGTGTAATTACCTTTTGAGAATCATAATAGGCAATTTATAATGCTTAACAACCAATTATAATTACATAATGGACCCTTAGAAGAGAAATATAGTTCAAAGGACCTTAAAACATTTGTTGCACAGTACTTTTTGTAATTTCCTTATTTTAACCCTTCTAGGCATTCAGTCACTTCACGTTTGAGCGTTCTGGTCACCAGCTGATCGTGGTTGATATCCAGGGGGTAGGGGACCTATATACTGACCCCCAGATTCACACATCCTCTGGCACAGACTATGGGGATGGTAACCTGGGTACCAAGGGAATGGCATTGTTTTTCCACTCCCATGTCTGCAATGATATCTGCAACAGCCTAGGGCTATCAGAGTTCGATATTGCCCCCAAAGAAAAGGAGTATCAACAGAAATTCCTGAAGCTTATGAAACAACAGGTTTGTGAAATTAATATTCGGGTAATATCCATTTCACCCTCTTACCATGAGCTGATCTTGTAGTCCACGATTATTCATGAGCTGCTCAACTACTAGAAGAGTTCAGCCTGATTTTACAGGAGCAGCTCAAGATTGACCAAATATATGTAACATGAAAATATTACAACACCAAATGCAAAATAAACAATAAATGATGTATTAAAATCAGTTTGACATCTAAAATGTTGCAGAAATCAAGTATTAATATGCTAAAAGCATGTTCCACTGTAATGTATATTACATGATTTTATCTAACATTTGTTCATATTTAAACAGAATGCTGCCATGACGAGGATCCGTGGTGATGAAGAGATGTGTGTGAGTCCATCTCCACATGAGAAGATTGATATTTCAAAGTTTCTGACGAGACCGAGATCTTACTCTCAGTCCTCCATGGACCGTCACGGCTCAGACTGTGACAGCGAGCCATTCTCACCACGATCTATAGGTGCATCTAGGAGCATCAGTATGTGTAGCACAGGTAGGGATTTATCAGTTTTGTTGTTCCTTTTATTCACTTTTTTTTCGAAGATAAAATAGTTTTATAGTTTATTGTAGGATTTAGCATTGAGGAAATAAAATAAATGTGCCTAAAACTAGATCACTGCTGCCATCTTTGTTCAAAATATAGATCATTGAAGTTGGATTTTTTGGGTTGGGGTGAAAATCAATTAAATGAGGGAATTATGATTTTTTGCATTTTGAAATAAATATATACTTAAATATGCAAGTACAGGTATAAGAGATCATAGTGAGATCAGCATTCATTACATACATTAAATTGTTCATAAAATGTTGCCATTCACGGTGAAACATACCATCTAGTTTATACCATGTTTAAGAGCATAGCACAACATTTATTATTTATTGAAAAGTACATGCAAAATGATACAAATGGGATTTTAAGTTAAACATAACCACACTGTCATTTCTCATGATTTACTTATGGCCTTGCATTTATTACATTCTATGTATAAAGGCAATGGACCTACATTTGTAGATGAACAGGATTCTGACCGCATGTCTGAGGGATCTATAACTCCACAAAGTGGAAGTGAACAGCGCCCTCCTTTGTCCAGCGCAGACATTATTAGACGACGTGTGCGATTCATCAGCGAATGTTCTGATCACAATTACGACAGTAGCACTGGAACATTGACTGAGGTATGTAACCAATGAAACTTTATTACTTTATTGAATTATATTGATGTATAATTAATGTTTAATTGAAGTTCAGTGTAAAACTGACGGCTCGTGGCAGATGTTTGGATACCGTGGAAGTAACGAATGCATGAAGTATAGCATGTATGGCTTTTGATATTGTATTTTTTCAGGCCACTTTTCAATGTTTGAAGCTGCATGTGTTAAATGTTTTTGGTTTTCGTTGTGATACAAACAGATATGATGGTTTTTAAATATCTGTAATTTGATTGGTGTAACATGATGAGTAGCTGCCTTTGGACCAATCATATGGCAAACATCAATACTGGCATAAGCCATTATGAATTATCATTTTGTTGAACGAAAACCATATTCTGTTGATGATATATGAATATTTCCAAAATTTTGAATTTTATCATCTGTTCCTTTTCATTTGATTTTATTGATGTCACATCAGAATGAAGTGAGTATACCAGTTACACAACCACATAATAGCACCAATCCAATCCAATCCAAACCTTCTTTGTAGATGTGATCTCAATTTATAGATGCTGTCACAAGATTTTATCCACACAGGGTTGCTTTAGTTGTAAACATAGTTTTTCACATAGTGTCACCCAGAGTATTCAACCTAGGATAAGTGTTGAGTATAATTAGATGCTCATCTCAAGTCTGGGGTCCATTTCTGGAAAATATTATTATGATTCTTGAAATCCATTTGTCAATGACGACATTGGTAATCTGTGAGATGAATAAGTTTCATAAAACCTAGTATACTATTTTCCCAAGAAATGGCCTCTATGATCTTTAAGCTCACATGAAAACATCAATTTACTAACGTTAGAAATCTTAATGTTATTAACCAAATGAGAGAGGCTCTTCACTCAATTTTATCACAACTCATGTCAGCCCCAAGCTAACTGAATTTCACAGTTGTGCATTGATGTTTTTATGTGATTTTTAAATTCAATGCTTTTTTCTTCAAATAAATGCTATAATTATCCCAACGAACAAAGTTCGGTAGGGATAAAGTGAAGCCCTCCGTCCGTCCGTCCGTCAGTCAGTCTGTCTGTCCGTCCGTCCGTCTGTACAGTGTATCTATATATTACAAGATGTCCGTCCGGAAGAAAACTTGAATACTAGTAGACGGATTTTCTTCATATTTAGTGGAAAGATGTATATTGGTGAATAGTTTTACGCAAGATGGCCGCCGCTTTAAAAATGACGGGACTTTTTCGCAAAAATCATAAATTTTTCATTCTAAACCAAAGTAATTAATATTATTGTTTGAAATTTTGGTAGTATATTCACAACATTTATCTATTTCACATATATTTCATATTTTTCATCCTGACCTCAGGAAAACAGAAATTTTCGCTAATTTTTAGATCTTTCTGAAATATAGCTTTATTATACTCAAATGAAAGGCAATTAAGAGTAGATTGCAAATATTGTATCTTTTTCTGATTTGAGCCTCGTAAAATTCAAAATGGCCGTCTTATGTACGATTTCGCAATAATTTTTCGATCCCTTCAAAGTATGGCTATATTATACTCAAATTGAAGGATTTTTGGAGTAGATCACAATTATGGTATTATTTTTTAGATTTGTACCTCAGAAAATTCAAAATGGCTGCTTTGCAGGAATTCGCAATTCTAAAATCTAATTTTTAACCAAAGTAATGAGTATAATTGATTGGAATTCGGTAATTGATATTTTGTTCGTTGGGATTTGCTACTCCGCTGAGTTGCCATTATCTAGTTTTATACTTTCTTAAAGATTTATTAACAGTGTGCACTAGAAAAACCATTAGTATCTATAATTTTAGGAAAGGGCTAGACTGACACCTATAGATTTTCCCCAAACTGTTTTACCTATATATAATTCTTATTTTATTTTTAGCTCCAAATACCATGGTTCTACAACTTAACTATGTGTTATATCTTTTTCATTTTGTGTTTTAAAGCTTTCAGTTGATTTTCCCATATATATATTTTCTCTCTCACTGAGGAGTATTCCTTTATATATGTACTATATTACAGAATCTTTATTATAAGAAAATATAGTTTTCTATTTATATTTAGTCCTATATGCATACAGGTTAGATTGGAAATTCCCTCTTAGCCATGCTGGCAGTAAGACAAAAAAAGTTGAAGTTTGCGTGTCCTAAGTCGTACTTTCAAAATGAATCATCAAATTTAGTGTCATAGTTTGGCTTACAGACCAGTCTGGATGGTAACTCCAACCCCAGTACATTGAAAGTTCCTGAGACACCAGAAAGCGGTTCTACTACATCATCCAGTGGTTATTCCTCCATTGGTTGGTCGTCTCAAGTATGTGTATGAATTGTAGCATTCATGCATGCATACATAACACAATCATAGTGTGTCTATGCTAGGGCTTACTCATTGGGGGGGTGTTCTCAAGTAGGGGGGGTGTTCTCGAGTCTATGAATTTTAGAGTTCATGCATGTATACATAACACAATCATAGGGTATCTGTGCTATGGTTTAAACTTTGGGAGGGGTCTATTCAAGTATATGCTATGTATCTATTTAGAGGTCATTCTGGCATACATACCATGATCAGACTCTCATGGGTCTTGTCAAGTATGCCCAATGTATAAATTGTAGAGTTCATGCATGCATACAGAACACAATCATAGTATGTTCATGCTGGGACTTACTCGTGGGGGTTTTCTCAAGTATATCTATAAATTTTAGAGTTCATGCATGGATACATAACATAATCATGGTGTATCTCACAAAACATATTAAAAAAGTTGTGGTTACTTTTATATCTTACTGTAGCCATATATGGGGATTAACATTGTCATTCTTACATGTACATAATAGCTTTCACTATAGCAGTACTAATACATTGGTCATCCCTTTAATTGTAGCATAAGATAACCTGCTATAGTTTACCAGGCTGCTAACAAACTGAATATTCCTGTATATAACCTAAAGAACTAATAGCATGTCAGCTATAGCTTAGTGACTGTGTCGTTTGTATATAGTTTTGTTTGAGTCTTGTGTCTTTGTGTCTTGTATTTAGGACTACAGTACACAGTGAACCTGTGTAATGGGGAACAACTTTGGTACCTTTTATTGAAGTGTTCTATTTTGGAGTTGTTCACTTACAGAGGTGTTCCACTCACAAAGGTGTTCTCTTTACAGGTTCTGATATATAGATGAATGGAGATGTTTAATCATTCTGTTCATTTTAGCTAGAGTTCACATTTAATGTTATTCATCAATTTAAGTCAGATTTTTGAAATGTAAATGGTCTAAATTAATTTGGCATGATTGGACAATTTTGGTACCACTTGACATTTTTACAAGGCTGTGTTTCATGTTATATACCAACTGCCAGATTCTGACTTTCATAATAAAATTTATGTTTAATGAAAAAAAAAAAATTTAGCTGGATGTTAAAATAATTTTTGTTGAAATTGAGTTGAAATTTGCTGATTGTTTAAAAATGGTGTCTATAAACATTATGAACTTATAAGAATAATCCTATATTACGACTAGTAATTATCTTTATCAATTCAGAAAGCATTTCATTGATAAAACAACTAATTGATCGCCTCCCTTTAATTATCCAGATTACACATTGTGCTGACAGCTTCGCCTGCTCAAGGTGACTGTCTTGGAACATTGCGATATGTACATCTTGTGTATAATAGGCTAACAAGTCTTCTTCCTATTCATTCTGTTGCATGCAATATCATACATCTTTTCTGTTGTTTACCTTACAATACTGCTTCAGTACTTATTACAGTGATTATTCATGATGTTAAGTAGTTTTTGTGCCTCATTACATTTATAAAAATTTGTTCCTGTTTACATTTTATTTCATATATTTGTTTATTTAGTTAAAGTAAATTTATTTAAAGTTTTGTTATTTATTCTTATTTACGTTTACTGGATAAACATCTTAGATTATAGAGAGGCTTTGCACAACATTTTTAGCTCCGGTAACGAAAATCCCTAACGCACTCACCAGATTTATGCAAAGCAGTTTAATTAAAATGAGATGCAGTTGCGGATACATATTAGCTACAACCCGTTGTGTGAAACCTATCTAATATCATAAGCATTACATATTGCAGAATGTTGAACATCATTATAATGTTTTGTAGGAGGAGGATCGTGAGGCATTTTCCCGCGTGATGCTTCAGAAGCAGCGGCCATCTTGTGTCAATCACGAGATCTCTCTGAGGAGTCTGCAGAATAAAAGAATCGGAGACTCCACTCTTGGCTTTGTAAGTTCTTTATACATCAACTTTTTTCAGCATTAAAATATATGGGAATTGTACAAATTGTAAAAGTAGTAAAGCTTAGTTATTGACATGAAAAAGAAATGTTTGGAACATAAATATTTTTCTATGTATATGTGTCATATAAATTAAAAATATGAGCAAATAATTAGCTCATATTCAATAAAAATAGAATCAAAACAACATTCACAAAATAGTTACATGATAAAAATGTTGTGTACTTACAGTGTCATCATGATATGGCAAAATATCACGAATTGGGACGTTTCTCTGAGAATGATGACCCAGATAATATCGATTGGGAGTCAGCCATCTTTCATGAAGAGCATGCAGCCCAGCTTGGCGTACTAGAGGCCATCGTTACCATGGCAAAGATCTATCTGAATATGCAGCATGACGTCCTTGTCAATTGTGAAGTACCAGTAAGTACCAGTTCATTTTGTTTTTATGCACTACCTGCAGTGGTAACCTTCCATGAGATGAGAGATCTGATCAAAACTTTTGTGTTCACCACTTGCTATTTCATCTTATTTTTTCATTGTACTTTAAAACAAAATAATACCAGTCGCCATATGGCATTACAGGTAGCTTTGGTTTGATAGATATAGTTTTTGTGTGGCTGTAGAAACTGAAATGAAACAAACAAATATATATGAACACCTCTCTAATCTGAACACCTCAATCAGAACTTCTCACTCCCAATTTTGTTATCTCAAATTCAGTCCCAGTGGTGTTCAGATTAGACAGGTTTTTCTATACATGTATTAAAAGTACTGTGATCTCTTTCTAGGCCAATGAAGAGAATACCAATCAGGGGGTAGACTACATGTTAATGGCTGCTGAAGCAGGGGATAGGGCATCTATGATCTACATGGCTAATGCCTTTGAGACTGGTATTGGACTGGGATCAGACAGGTGAGTACAGCTGCACTTGACCCAATTGAAAATGTGACTTACTACAGTATATCTAGTTCTTGATTTGAAGAGACATGATAGTTCATTTTCGTAACTTCTCTAAAATTGTTGCAACCCATCAGACCAACAGCCAGTACTTAAATACTTGTACTTTAGGTATTTAAGTTGAAAAATCTGAAATATTTGTTCATAGATTGACAATGGTGATTTAGCTTCAATAATAATTTGAAAGTGGGTTAATAACAAAGAGAAATTATGAAAATGTACATAAATGCAGGATTTGCTTGAAAAAAGAATGATTTGAAGCAATTTTGCATGTATTGGAAGCTTCTATAGAAAACACTAGTCATGGATTTTGTGAATTTCATCTGTAAGTTGATAGAAAACCTTGATTTTGTTGTATATGTACCTATTAAACTCTAATAGTCATAGAAAGTTCTTTGCATTCACACAACTGCAGTTATTTGTAAGTATAGCTTCTTACATATGAGTATATAAATGAAGCTTGTACTAATAGTTATAATACATCTATGTAACAAACACCATTCAATGAAACTCTAAAGTACAATGTATTGATCTTAAATACTTAAGTAGCACATAAGCTTGTCGCCTTCTTGCTTTTCCCACTTTTAATTGGCAGATTAAGCCAATAGATTCTGATTGCTCCATACTCGCTTGAGGATCTCATATGTACATGTAGTTAAGAAAGAATACCAGTGTTTGGTTTTGATGGATACTGAATTTAATCATTTGACATACAAGGTCAAGTCAAACACTGTCAAAATTTGAAAAATTGATTCCTAGATTTTATAAGTTATCATTATATTTGGTGTTTGTTCCATTTTGATGTATGATGTTCATATGATGTTTGTCAGTACTGTATATTAATCCGATTCTGTATTGTTTCGTCTATTTTAGACTCACTAACACTCCTAGGTATATATTTTATTTATTCAGAATGTCCTAGATATTATGGTCTGGGTATAGACAGTGGTGGGTATTAATGAAAAAATAAGCGAAGTATTTTGAGTGAGTTTTGGAGTTAATTTGGTTATACGAGTGTATTCTATTTTGCTGGTTTAAAAGGAATATTTTTAGCTTTGTGTTTGGAAATAGGTTTTAGGGGTTTTCAGTGTATGTGTTATCCCATTATGTTCCATGTATAAAATTTACACTTAGATTGTTTTTTTGTGAATGAATGGAGAGTCTTATAATTATTTCTTAGTTGTCTAGAAATGTGAGTGGTCCATAGATTCTTATATTCACAGCTAACAATACATCACCTCTATGCATGACTATATCCATTTTTTTTATCTATTTAGTTGAAACATAATGACATTTGTACATATTTGTGGCTGTGACACCTTTAAGAAATGCATGCTGTAGTAATGTTGTACCAGTACATACTATTTTTAACCTTAATTCTATGATAAAAAGAAAATATTGATCTCTGATTATGTTGAGTAGAAAACATAGTATATTATGTAGTAGTTGTAATACAAACACACATCGAGGAGGATTGGGTCCCAGGATTCCACGTCGATCCTCTAACGTGTGAGTTGTCGATTCTGACACACCCCTCAACATGAGCAGCTGATCAACAGCATCTTTTGACTTTTACGTGATAATATTAGTAATAGTATATGGAGGGATATTTTTATTATTTTTTCTATGTTATGATTTTAAAATTCGAAATTCAACCTGATGGCCACTTCAGAGAGCAACCAAAAAGTATACTAAAGCACTTAACTGAATTTATAGCCAGTTATGTTGTCAGACAATACTGTTAATCATTCTTTCCCTATCGCCATGGTGAAGGAATCTTGGTTGAGCCTACCTCAGACAGAGGAAATACAAAAATAAATTAATTGTTTTGAAACTGTTGCTTTTATTTCATTTCTGTATAAAGATAGCATATAATCCTTTGTTATGGCACTTTTAATGTAAGGAAATAGCATCGTAATGTCTACTATAAAGCTCTGTGTTAAGCATGCTGTATTGTTATGATTTAACAATCACATTTCCCTTGTGTCAGTTCTGTTTAAGGGAATTAAGATATGCTGTGTGCAAATCACAAAGATTTATTCAAAATGGGAGCTATTATATTTCTAAATTTGGAAGATAATTTGATCCCCTTTTTAAACTCCCAACTGCATACATAATTGTACAATAAAGGAATAAAGGATGCCTGTTCTATTCATGAGGTTGCAACTGTTAACTGCTGATGCGGACAGTTGGATTTGGGTTCTTTATGTGAAATTCTAGATGTAGATGTCACCAGTGTTTTTTTTATATTTGGACCTCCTTAGACCTCCGATTACCATAGACTCGGGTTTCATGCATAAAAAATATTTAAGTCCCCAAACTTTGAAAAAGCGCTGTTTTGTCGTCATCTTGTTTTCTCTATATTCATATTTGTGCTTTCTCTTCAGGAGCCAGAATTGGAGTGAGGCCATGCATTTCTATGAACAGGCCCTGAACAAGACAGAACATGATGAAAGTGGTGAATATGACTCTACACTGGATCATCCACCACATGAGCTGCAGGCTAAGATGGCTGAAATGTACCTAGAAGGAAAGTTTGGTTTAGAGAAAGATCCACAGAAATCTGGTAGGTTATTGATTTGATTTATTTTTACATGTGTACTGAATAACTTTGAAGTAATTCTAGTTTAGAGGGAACAAATGTGATGAAAACAAACAATGCATGATGATTAAAGACTACTAAAAAATAAGCTTGAAACTGCAAAGTGGACATATTATTACGGACTAGTTGCTCGGTGGGGGGACACATTATTTCAGCTAGGTTAAAGCTTAACTCCTATTAAACAAGCAATGAGCAGAATTGTCTTGCCCAAGTGCTCCTCTGGGTTCCCATGAGTGACTCTTTTCTTAACATTTGATTTTTCTCCCAAGTGGCCTATAAAGCATCAAGCAAGCTTTTTAAAAATGAAACTAAATGAAGGTAAATGAAAAATAGAAAAAACTGAAGGCAACTGAAAGGATATGACAAGAAATAGTGTGATCAAAAAGATTTAAAAAATGTTCCTAACAAAGTTGCTCTGTATCATATTCTCCCTTTTAGTCAATTTTCATTCATTTTTCAGGTGATCTTTACACTGAGGCTGCAGACAATGCTATGGCTGCAATGAAGGGACGTCTGGCCAACAAGTACTACATGCTTGCAGAGGAGGCCTGGGGTGAAGTAGAGGAGGAGGGGGAGGAGGAGGGATAGAAAACGACCACATCCCCTGAGCTCCGCCCCACTCTAAGCTAAGGAGGCCTCAGAGAAGTGGAAGTGACGCAATGGAGGAGAGTCATATAATGACCCTCTCCAGCCTCGTCCGACTCTTAAGACATAAATCGAAAGAAAGATCGGAGAAAATATTTGAATATTTATTTTCTGATTATTCGTTGTTTTGTGATTACACAAAAGGATTGGGCTATATCAAATCCAGAGATGTTATGTGGTGTTTAAAATTTACACTTGCACCTGTACATATATATGAATGGCAGCATATGGAAAGATGGCGTGATTAAAGTGAAATTTCAACAACTTTCTAACGTTATGCATTAAACTTGACAGTCGCAAATATTTCAACTCGATTATTTGGATAGGCCTAGCATATGAGTGAGGTTCGAATCAGATATGTTTACACAAGAGTTCAGATATCAATCAATCTATACCGGTACAAACAATACATAAAGTAGCCAAAATCAGTGCTTACGTAATGTGTGCTGTTATATTGTTATTTTGCCTTTAAGGCGTTGCAGTATCTACGGAATAAAACGGGGAAAAACAAATAAAAAGTCAGAAAGGATACTCAGCCTTATGTATATAGCTTAACTGACAAAATATAAAGGACATGTAGACCATAAGATTTACAGTAAAACTTGTATATGGAACACCCTCTGTATATGTTTCCTTATACTCACATTTTCCTTCATGAGAGGGTTCGTTTAACATGTAAATGAATGAGATTGGGATCCTTTAAAAACATCTCCTTGGAGATTTTCATAACAGAGAGTGTTTCATCTGACAAGTTTTAATGTACCCAATTCTACTAGCGGGTGACTGTTGCCATAGATACCAATTTTTGTGATATAGAACCAAAGTAACTAAATGCAAATCTACAAAACCACTAGCATGCAATACTAGAAAAGTTTATAAAAAAATAAGCTGTATATGAACAAACCCAGGCCATTTTTCAACATTTGTCTTATCTAATTAAAGCATCTCATTAATCTCTCCAGATTACACTTTGAGAGCATTATGCAAAATGTATTACTTAAATCAAAAGTTAATTCCTCGATGAAGATTAGTAGAAGAAGCTGCTTTAATTTCTACTAATCTTCATCGAGGAATATATGTTTATTTGTGTATGATTCCTTATACTTGAGAAATATTCAGGAGATTATAGCAATTATTTTTAAATTGCAGTTTTGTGGAACATAATATTTGTAAATGGTACCTTAAAAAGGATTTCATTATTTAGAACATGGGATCTTCAACAGATGAGTAATGGCAAATAAACTTGATCATCCAACTATTTTGGCTAGGAGTTTAACTTTCCATATATTTCTTGAAAAGAAGTTGCATTTCTTGTAGATGGGATTAGAATTGTGAATAATTGTATATAGATTACTATATTTTTGGGTGAAAGAGTTATTTTCTTAAAGGATTGTTTCTAAATAGTCATAGTCATTCAGTATTTACATTTTTTGACCGAAACATTTGATGTGATGCATATTTTTAGCTCACATGGATGAGTACTGAGCTATTGTTATTGTCCACTTTTTTGTATAGTATGCATGTAGAATTTCATATGTTGTGCATGATTTCATCATTTTATTACACAATTCTGTTCGTAAGAAAGTTCTATGTAAGCTACATATTGATAAATTGTGTAAACTTAGTGATGTTTTCGCAAATTTATGAAAACTACAATTAGTCATTTATTCATGAACTTGGTGAACTTAATGATGTGTTTCTAGTTCATGAAAACTTCACTAAATCATTTATTTATGAACTCTGGAAACTTAATGATGTGTTTGTAGTTCATGAAAATTTCACTAAATCATTTATTCATGAACCCTTTGAACTTAATGATGTGTTTGTAGTTCATGGAAATTTCACTAAATCATTTTTTCATGAACCTTATGAACTTAATGATGTGTTCCTAGTTTATGAAGACTTCAATTTAATAATTTATTCATGAACTTTGAGAACTTAATGATGTGTTTGTAGTTCATGAAAACTTCATTAAATCATTTATTCATGAACCCTTTGAACTTAATGATGTGTTTGTAGTTCATGGAGACTTCACCAAATATTTTATTCATGAACTTTGCAAACTTAATGTTATGTTCCTAGTTCATGAAAATTTCATTAAATCATTTATTCATGAACCCTTTGAACTTAATGATGTGTTTGTAGTTCATGGAAATTTCACTAAATCATTTTTTCATGAACCTTATGAACTTAATGATGTGTTCCTAGTTTATGAAGACTTCAATTTAATAATTTATTTATTAACTTTGAGAACTTAATGATGTGTTTGTAGTTCATGAAAACTTCATTAAATCATTTATTCATGAACCCTTTGAACTTAATGATGTGTTTGTAGTTCATGGAGACTTCACCAAATATTTTATTCATGAACTTTGCAAACTTAATGTTATGTTCCTAGTTCATGAAAATTTCATTAAATCATTTATTCATGAACCCTTTGAACTTAATGATGTGTTTGTAGTTCATGGAAATTTCACTAAATCATTTTTTCATGAACCTTATGAACTTAATGATGTGTTCCTAGTTTATGAAGACTTCAATTTAATAATTTATTCATGAACTTTGAGAACTTAATGATGTGTTTGTAGTTCATGAAAACTTCATTAAATCATTTATTCATGAACCCTTTGAACTTAATGATGTGTTTGTAGTTCATGGAGACTTCACCAAATATTTTATTCATGAACTTTGCAAACTTAATGTTATGTTCCTAGTTCATGAAAATTTCATTAAATCATTTATTCATGAACCCTTTGAACTTAATGATGTGTTTGTAGTTCATGGAAATTTCACTAAATCATTTTGTCATGAACCTTATGAACTTAATGATGTGTTCCTAGTTTATGAAGACTTCAATTTAATAATTTATTCATGAACTTTGAGAACTTAATGATGTGTTTGTAGTTCATGAAAACTTCACCAAATATTTTATTTTTGAACTTTGCGAACTTTATGTTATGTTTCTAGTTCATGAAATCATTCATTCATGAACCTGCTGAACTTTGAGAACTTAATAATGTGTTTGTAGTTCATTCAATCATTCATTCATGAACCTGCTGAACTTAATGATGTGTTCGTAGTTCATGAAAATTTCACTAAATCATTTATTCATTAACTATGTGAACTTAATGATGTGTTCAGAGTACACTTAATCATTTATTCACGAACTTCATAATAATGATGTGTTCATGAAATTTCACTCAATCTTTTATTCATGAAATTTTTGAAAACTTCACTGAACCATTTTCCTGGTCTGTTGTTGGTAAAAGATGAAGTTGTGAGTGATGTTCTCATGTGTTAAAAGTGTGAATATTCTTCAAGAGTTGTTGAGATTTATATTTGTATATTTTTTGAATCATTACCGTTTGAGTTCTTTTCAGTATTCTTGAGATGCCAAATTTATATAAACTGCAATATATCTGATTTTTCAATTTATTATATATGCAGAATGTGTTATGTGTATATGAGACCACTTTATTAATTTGTCTTAAGGATGTGACTATTACATGTGCCAGTTTTAATTTTAGTGATAGTCAAATGTGATTCATAGTTCATTGTTTGTTAATTCTGTACATATAAATGCATGTCAACAATAAATGTATATATTAAAACACTCACAAGGCAAAGGTTGCACTAAAATAGTCCTAAAGCATCCTCATATTTTGGATTTTTTTGATCAAACATTTGATATCTTCCATTGAGAAATAATAATGGTAGAAACCTGTTCTCTCCTAAGGGATCATTTTCAGGATCGCATCCTTGAGCCTTTTCTTTGAAATGCTTCATAGTACAGGATCTGAGAAATGCAAAGCCATTCTCCTGAAAACAACTAATTGTTGATATTGAATGATTGATCAAGAGAGTTTACCACTGAAAGGTAGGAGAAGGAATTGTCTGGTCTTCTCGTACTTGGAGTATTTCCTCCTATGTCTCCTAATCTAGAACTTGAATTTACACTTACATTTACTTGCAATTACACAAGTGAAGTTCTGAAAAATTTGAGAGATGCTGTACATATATTTTTAGATGTGCACTTGTCTATTGGATTCATGTGGTCAGATATAGCTTGTAAACTGCAATTTTCATGTTATACTCGAAGCATATTGTTTGTATTTTGTTAAGAATCGTATTTACTTCACTACAAAGGTGCAAAATATGTGCAAAATATATGCACAATGTACTGATTATACATGTGTTAAATGTACTAACTGTACATGTATTAAATGTACTGACTGTACATGTATTAAATGTACTGACTGTACATGCATATAAAATACACCACTGTTGCACTAGTTCAGTGTAGAGGTGTCAAGTATTAACCGGTTAACCGGTTAACCGCCGATAATGCCTTGACCGGTCTGAGTTTTTATGGGCGGTTAGTTGACCGTGTATAATTCTGTTATTTCCCGCGCTTATTTTGCATGCTAATCCGTTTGGTTTTATGGTGTCAGTTTCACGTAAGCTACTCATACATGTCATAAGTCCCATAACTCCTTACAAACATCCAATCAGCAACTTTAATCCCTGCCACATTGCTTTCCCGCGCTTACTTTGCATTTTAATCTGTTTGTTTTTCAAGCGTCAGTTTCATGTGAGCTACTCATACATGTGATAGGTCCGATAATTCCTTACAAACATCCAATCAGCAACTTTAATCCCTGCCACATTGCTTTCCCGCGCTTACTTACATAGAATAGCGTAAAGCTTGACGAACGTAAAAAATAAACGCCGATATATCATTTTTCCAATTTTTTTCAACTTTCAAGATCGAAGATGAAGATTTCATTTGAAATTATAAGTTCAAATTTCCCGCCGGTTAACCGACTTTAACCGGTAAAAACCCCCGGTTAACCGGTTAATGCTCAAGCGGTTAATTGACACCACTAGTTCAGTGTATAGATGCATTTATACGGGTTGTGATAATGGCATTTACCTTGCTGGGTGTAACACCTCACATTTTTTGTACGTCTAAATTGATTTCGAAGAAATCTTTAATGTGTCCAAATGCATGTATAATTTGGAAAATAACTTTATTGAAGTTAAATGTCACTTCGTTTTTTGGTGAGATTTATTAAAAAATAAAAATATTCTTACATTTACCATGGTACTGTTAATAGGAATATCCATTTGATTTAAATTTCCCTGCAGACAAATAAACTGTTGAATTCATTCATTTTTTGAATGGCTATAGTGTACAGTTTTGAAAAATTATGTACAAGTTGCTGCAAATTTTCTTGGTATTTTATTATTAGTTTCCTTAGCAACATCAGTGACATCCGATCACAACTTTTTAAACTAACAAGTTGAGAGTTATTCTATTATGTCACAGTTTTTATAGACCTAAAGGATGTTCATAACTTTTGATCTGATCAGTATTACTTTCAAATGTCTCATTCAATGCTTTCTTATTGCTAATGGGTCACTTACATGTATATGAGCCCAAAGATAAGGAACCATGTGATTGTTAGAACGAATATGGTATCTATTCCCTGGTCCATATATGGATTGATTTTCCCAATTCATATAGTTTCAGACCAAGGAGGATTGGCTCCCAGAGTGCACCACCGATATTCTGTCCCATATATGGAAATGTCGTGACACAAAATTTGAATTCAAACGGCCATTTTGTTCACTTCAAGATTTGAATCGTGAATTTTGGTCTTACATCTTAACGAAAAATTCCAAAACTCACAAGAAATGATCGAAATATTGGTATGAATCTTCTGGACTGTTTATTTTGAATTTATAGTCGCTTATAATTTCAGAAAATAACGACATTACAACGTTTTCATTGTTGGAAAATATCGATGTTCGATCCTGGGAGCCAATCCTCCTTGGTTTCAGACATACTTTAATTGCTAACGAGGTATAGTTTTACCTGTAAATCAAAGGTAATAACCAGACCTCATGATAGGGTGAGCTTGCTCGGCAGTATCATGGATAAGGCACGGGGCTATATGTATTGCGAGCTTGGCAGTATGTTCAGCTCATTGAGGATCCTGGAATACTTCTGGTACATTGAGGTCTGGTCTGATACACATCTGCCTATAACATGCATTATGTGCCAACCTGTTCTTGTTGAATGATGGTTGATAGGTACAGCTAGGTAACTGTAATTCCACTACTTGTAATTATCCCATCGAACAAAGTTCGGAGGGATATAGGGAACGCCTCCGTCCGTCCGTCCGTCCGTCCGTCCGTCCGTACGTACGTCCGTCCGTCCGTACGTACGTCCGTCCGTCCGGGCAATAACTCAAATACCGTTGGCCCGATTTTGTTCATATTTTGTACACATATACCCTATGGGGGTAGAAGTTCTGCTCGAAAGCCAATTTTCAAAATGGCCGATCATTTCAAAATGGCGGCCATTTTAGTGCCGATTTTACAGTAATTTAGGTGTAATATGTAAAACTGTAATAGCAATATGTTTTAAATGTAAAAAAATTATAAAGGACATTAATAATGCTACAAATGTAGATATTAAAGAAGCACATGGCAGCCATCTTGAAAAATGGCGGCCTTTACTCGTCATTTTACGATTTTTGCTGTAACTCAAAAAATAGTGGAGCGATTTTGTTCATATTTGGTATGTGAATTCTATAAGCATTGCACACTGTCTAAAGACACTTTTGGTAGAAGGCGGCCATTTTGAAAAATGGCCGCTATTTTAACGTCTTTTACTATAACTCGAAAAGTAG